GAAGTATCCTGGGGTAGTGTAGATATTAAATTATTAAAATCATGACCCCCGGGGGTAGGGCAGGGCCACAATAGGGAATCCAAGTTTTACATAGAAATATATAGAACAAGTCTTTAAAAATCTTCTTCTCAAGAACCACTGGGCCAGGAAAGCTAAAACTTACGTGGAAGAATTCCTTGGGTAGTGTAAATATTAAATTGGTAAAATCATGACCCCTGGGGGTAGGGCAGGGCCACAATGGGGAATCCAAGTTTTACATATGTGGAAGCATCCTTGGGTAGTGTAGATTCTAAAGTTTTAAAATCGTAAAAGGGAAGGGGGTAGTGGGCATGATAGGTATAGCAAGAGGGGGGATCTGGTAAAAGAACTGCATCACCAAAGTTACTCAAGTGAGCGATGTGGCCCATGGGCCTCTTGTTTTAGTAGAACTATGTAGTTAGAATGTAGACTTGAAATCAAGCTGGAACTTACTACAGAACCATTATTTATGTTGACGGAATATATCATCTACGACTTTACGGAAGCCAAACGTGAAATACAATGCGCACGGCTAGTCTAGTGAGGGGCTTGTGCACAAGGCCAGGTAATGCTGTGATCTCAGCCTCTTGTCGATATTGTGACCGTATTTGCCGATTTTTAGTGACATTGTGCCGGGGATTTCTTTATCAATCGGACTATATATACTCTCTGGCTTGAAAAAACTGTTTATATGCAGAATTAAAGGCCCTAGGCTAGGGGAACAATTCGACGCATGCGCAAATGGGTTAGTCCATGCGCCGCACGACTAACCCTCTTATAACACAAAATGCAAAACATCAAAGTTCTAATCCCATTTCCAAAAACATAAAAACATCACCAAATACAAACAAAATATTTCAAGAAAACATTATAACAAATAAAAAACAAAAAATTTAAATTAAAACATGCGCATATTAATTGTTTATACCTAGGAAAATCGGTTCCTACAAAGAAAAAAGGTGTTAATTTCAAGTCTACATTCTAACTACATAGTTCTACTCAAAAAATCAGTGATATTTGTTTTTCTGACTTCTAAGTAAATCTTCTACACTGAAATTTACCTCATGACCATTTTTTAAATTAAGTTTGTCAATACTGATCGGATTTTTGCTTTTTAGCTCACCTGAGCCGAAGGCTTAAGTGAGCTTTTCTGATCAAAATTTGTCCGTTGTCTATCGTTGTTGTCGTCGTAGTCGTTGTTGTTGTTGTTGTAAACTTTTCACATTTTCTTCTTCTTCTCAAGAACCACAGGGCCAATTTCAACCAAACTTGGCACAAAGTATCCTTGGGTAAAGCCTTTTAGCGGACTTCAAGTTTGTTTAAATGAAGGGCCATGCCCTTTTACAAGGGGAGATAATTATGAATTAGAGAAAAATTAATGGCATTTTTAAAAAATCTTCTTCTCAAGAACCACTTAGCCAGGAAAGATGAAATTCATGTGGAATCATCTTCAGGTAGTGTAAATTTAAGTTTGTTCAAATCATGACCCCTGGGGGTAGGGTGGGGCCAAAATGGCTGATCAAAACTTTACATAGGAATATATAGGAAAAATCTTTAAAAATCTTCTCAAGAACCATTGAGACAGGAAAGATAAAACTCTTGTGAAATCATCCTCAGGTAGTGTAGATTCAAATTTGTTCAAATCATGATCCCCGGGCTAGGGTGGGGCCATAATGGCCGTTAAATGTTTAATATAGGAATATATAGGAAAAAATCTTTAAAAATCATCTTCTCAAGAACCACTGTGCCAGGAAAGATGAAACTCATGTGGAATCATCCTCAGGTAGTGTAGATCGATTCAAGTTTGTTCAAATCATGACCACAGGGGGTAGGGTAAGGCGAAAATGGCCGATCAAAGATTTACATACAAATATTTACATTTCCATTGTCTTTGTCCGAGATAAAATTACCATTTGTAAATGTACTTTATTTCCCCATCAATGTATTGGCACGGTTCCAAAAAAACCACGTGCAGGGCGGGACAAACAACTAGACAGAAGGAGGGCTTGGAGTACGTGGATTGGCGGAATCAAAGCATGTAAATATAAGGAATAACTGTCAGAGTTTTCAATTTCATGAAGATGATCAATTGATTGGCTTGCGTGATAATTTTATGCATAAACACCTTCAGCGTTTATGCAAATTATCACGCAAGCCAATCGATTGATCACTTCATGAAATCTAAAAATAAGACTGTTATTCCTTAAATATATATGAAAAATCTTCAAAAATCTTCTTCTCAAGAACCATTGAGACAGGAAAGTTAAAACTCATGGGAAATTGTCCTCACGTAGTGTAAATTCAAATTTATTTAAATCATGATCCCTGTGGCAAGGGTGGGGCCATAATGGCCGTTAAAAGTTTTACATAGGAAAAAATCTTTAAAAATCTTCTTCTCAAGAACCACTGGGCCAGGAAAGATGAAACTCATGTGGAATCATCCTAAGGTATTGTAGATTCAAATTTGTTCAAATCATGACCCCCGGTGATGCATGGGGTGGAATCAAAATGGCCGATCAAAATTTTACATAGGTATATATAGAAAAAAATCTTTAAAAATCTTCTTCTCAAGAACCACTGGGCCAGGAAAGATGAAACTCGTATGAAATCATCTTCAGGTAGTGTAGATTCAAATTTGTTCACATCATGACCACCGGGGGTAGGGTTGGACTAAAATGGCAGATCAAAGTTTACCATAGGAATATATAGGAAAAATCTTTAAAAATCTTCTTCTCAAGAACCACTGTGCCAGGAAAGATGAAACTAATGTGGAATCATCCTCAGGTAGTGTAAATTCAGATTTGTTCAAATCATGGCCCTCTGGGGTAGGGTGGGGCCAAAATGGTCGATCAAATTTTTTCATAAGAATATATAGGGAAATCTTTTAAAATCTCCTTTTCAAGTACTTCAAAGCCATGATTAGTGATATTTAATTTTATATGGAATCATCCTCAGGTAGTGTACATTCTAGTTTGTTCAAATCATGAACCCCTGGGGGGGGTGTTAAAATTTAAGCCCCCCTCCAACCTCAGTAAACTTTCATTTCTGATCTGATATTTGCTTTTTCCTTGCCAGTGTGCTCAGGTGAGCGCTGTGGCCCCTCCATGGAAAATCTTTGTCCAGAGCATATTTTCTCTCCCCATGACCAGAGGCAAAATTTATTCATATAGGGTCATTGGATCAGGGGTGATTGCATGTGCAGTCGTTAATCAGATTTTTTTTACCTGGCTTAAACTTCACCTGTAAATTATTTCCCTGTGGGTAGTCCTTTTAGCAAACTTCTATGATTAATGGCTAAGGTTACAGAAAATCTCTCTTCTCTTGAGGGTCTGTCTTCATTGGGCAGAGCATACTTCTCTTCCTCTGGCTTTGTCTGGCTCAGACTTCATCGTGGTATCAGTGATTCAGCCTCTGGACCATAGCTGCAGATCTTTTTTTTTCAAGGTTTTTCAATGGGTGGCACTGTAGCTCTCTGGTCTGTCAAAATATATTTTTCGGAGAGCTACAGATCTGCAGCTACTGGATCATTGATACCCATTTCACATTGTAATGTGTTCCCTTTATAGTATTATCTAGTGCCTGATTCAAATTAGAATTAACTCCAGTATTGTAGTCCTCCCGGGTTCTTTGTGTGTTATTCTCACCCATCGTAGCAAACCACGGCCAAAATGTACTATCCTCTCCTATTCTGGCCGTGTTTGAATGAGAAGAAAATATTTAGTATTCATTAAAATATTGACTATTGCTAGTAATACAAAGTCTGAAAATGAATTTTGTTGTGACCTTTCAATACCCAATCGCAAATTACAAATAGTTTTGTGTGCTGATGATGTCGATGTTGATTTCAATTGCAATAGAAACAAATATTGTCATTGGCTGAATATAACGTCACAGAATAGAGGCGTAAATATTTCAGATTATGACAATTCATGTGATCAAGTAGCCACAGGTAGGAGAGAGCTATATGTGGACTTCGGACTGTGGCTTAAAGGCCGAGGTTTTCAACCATACGGTTTTCCTCAGGTAAGTTTGGTGTGGGGTGGAGCTTAATCCAAGCGGCTGAGAAACCCTGAGGGAACGACGCTGGCTTGTGTATACTACCTAAATACACAGGATGTTCCTGGGCCCCTGAGTGTATTACCTGTATGCGTTTTCCTACGACTTTGTAAACCGAGGACGTTTTTTTTCATGTTTAGCTCATGAATTGAAATGCGAAATAAAGCATATTTTGTTGCAGACAGAATCCTTCTCAATTTCTTTCTTTTAAAATAGTTGGTATTTTTAATAATTCGTCATTTTTTATATACAATACTAGTGTGTTTCTTAATGAAGTGTTATAACGAAAATACATTTAGCACCAAAATCTGTCATTGTAATCTGGCGACGAAAAGGGAAGTAATTCAAATTACATGTCGTCTACGCAAAAGGAAAGAAAAAAGTGAATCATGAAACAGTCTCTCAGTAAATAACAACGAAACTTAGAAGCGATGTTTTGACAATAAAATGTTGAAGTAGAAATATTATTGTCTAAATAAATATCTTTTTAAGATAAATTCTACTTGACTTTTCTATAACGCATGGTCGGTGAAAATGGCCAGGGTTCGGACCAGGGTTGATTCCCGACAGCTCTGAAATGGGAAAAGAATCATCTGCATTGTTTTTAGCTCACCTGAGCTGAAAGCTCAAGTGAGCTTTTCTGATCACATTTTGTCCGTCGTCCGTCTGTCTGTCTGTCCGTCTGTAAACTTTTCACATTTTTGACTTCTTCTCAAGAACCGCTGGGCCAATTTCAACCAAACTTGCCACAAAGCATCCTTGGGTGAAGGGGATTCAAGTTTGTTCAAATGAAGGGCCACGCCCTCATTCAAGGGGAGATAATTGGGAATTAATGAAAATTTGGTGGTATGCTTTAAAAATCTTCTTCTCAAGAACCACTGTGCCAGGAAAGATGAAACTTAATAGGAAACATTCGCAGATAGTGTAGATTCAAGTTTGTTCAAATCATGACCCCCGGGGGTAGGGCGGGGCCAAAATGGCCGACCAAAAATTTACATAGAAATATGTGGGAAAATTCTTTAAAAATCTTCTTCTCAAGAATAGCAAAGCCATAATTGATCATAATTATATGGAAGCATCCTCAGGTAGTGTAGATTCAAGTTTGTTCAAATCATGACCCCCGGGGGTAGGGCGGGGCCAAAATGGCCGACCAAAAATTTACATAGAAATATGTGGGAAAATTCTTTAAAAATCTTCTTCTCAAGAATAGCAAAGCCATAATTGATCATATTTATATGGAAGCATCCTCAGGTAGTGTAGATTCAAGTTTGTTCAAATCATGACCCCCGGGGGCAGGGCGGGGCCAAAAGGGCCGACCAAAGTTTTACATTGAAATATGTGGGAAAATTCTTTAAAAATCTTCTTCTCAAGAATAGCAAAGCCGTAATTGTTCATATTTATATGGAAGCATCCTCAGGTAGTGTAGATTCAAGTTTGTTCAAATCATGACTCCAAGTGGTAGGGCGGGGCCAAAATGGCCGACCAAAGTTTTAAATAAAAATATGTGGGAAAATTCTTTAAAAATCATCTTCTCAAGAATAGCAAATTAAGCCATTATTGTTCATATTTATATGGAAGCATCCTCAGGTAGTGTAGATTCAAGTTTGTTCAAATCATGACTCCAAGTGGTAGGGCGGGGCCAAAATGGCCGACCAAAGTTTTACGTAGAAATATGTGGGAAAATTCTTTAAAATCTTCTTCTCAAGAATGGCAAAGCCATAATTGATCATATTTATATGGAAGCATCCTCAGGTAGTGTAGATCCAAGTTTGTTCAAATCATGACCCCCAGGGGTAGGGCAGGGCCAAAATGGCCGACCAAAGTTTTACATAGAAATATATAGGAAATTCTTTAAAAATCTTCCTTCTCAGGAAAAGCAAAGCCATAATTGATCATATTTATATGGAAGCATCTTCAGGTAGTTTAGATTCAAGTTTGTTCAAATCATGACCCCCGGGGGTAGGGTGGGGCCACAATGGCCGACCAAATTTTTACGTAGAAATATATGGGAAAATTCTTTAAAAATTATCTTCTCAAGAATAGCAAAGCCATGATTGGTCATGGGACTTCTTTTGGCTTTAAACTTTTCAATAATAAACCAATTTTACTTTTTTCTAACCATAGTGTTCAGGTGAGCGATGTGGCCCATGGGCCTCTTGTTTTTTTTCTTTCGTGACTCATTATTAATTTCAAACATTAAATACAAAGCAAGATGTTATATTCCGAGTAATTTCTCTTCTAAAAATTATAAATTATTATACCTTTAACTTCGTCACCATGTCTCGAAGGTTTGTCTTATAAATTCACTTGACTCATGAACAATGTTACAATGTTGTCATACTTGTTTTTAAAAAGTAATTTTATTTCCATGATACTAGCTTCAAACGCAGGTCGGTTTGTTTTGCTAATTAATGGAGGAATAAATGTACGTTAACTCATGTTTTGACACGGAAATTAAAATTATCGATTGTAATCGTGATATGAAATCCTCCCTTTTCAAATTAAATTTATAATGTAAATGATATAGCCATGATTTTTCTTGTCATCTATTTAATTATTTGATAGATTGATTATATTTATTGCATATTCTTTTGAATTCAAAAAAGAAAAGAACGATTTGTTTGCTTCTTTATCACGTTGGCATGTGCGGTAGGCATCAAAAGCCTTAAAGTTAATTCGATGGTCGGTACGATCTCCAGACAAGGTACACAAGACATACACAACAGCAGCAAACTAAATGTCAATCAAATCAAAGTATCCAATCCCAGGCTTAATTTCAGATGATTGACAGTGGTTCTAAGACCAGGTAAATTCGAAGGAGTTGCTTATTTCTTCCCCCTTTAAATTGAGATGCTGATCCTCACCTGTAATTTGTGTGTGAGGTTGTGTGAATGAGGTGAAAGTTTAATTAGTGCAGTTTGTCAAACAAAAGAAAGTATGGCTAACACATACAATACATTTACAACTTAGAAGTCATTTTTAGAGAAAAAATATATTTCAAATCAAAACTGTGATTCACCATAGAAAAAACACAAGGATTGGGTGAACGGCAATGTACCTGGTCATTGATGCCTTTGGGCACTCTTATAAATTTTCATCTTTTTGTTTTGTGTTACAGAAAAAATAATATGGTTCAGTTGTCAGTCAGCAGTGCACTCGACAGAGAAAGAAAAGAACAATACAGCTTCACAGTGCAAGCTAATGATACAAAACATGTAAGTATTAAACTACAGACCTAAGTTGTATACAATGACGATACAACTAGACACTAAATTTTGATTTCAAGTTTATTTAAATCATGGCCTCCAGGGGAAGGATCGGACCACGATGGACATTGAAATTTTAAATTGGAAATGCATTAAGAAATTTAAATACTTAAAAAATTTTCTTCTCCAGAAAAGCAAAAGAATGATTAGTTGTAGGGCTGGGAAATAATATCGATATTTCAATATATTGCCATACAATTTTGTAATATTGATATATTGGCAATATGCTTAGATTAAGGAATTTTATCATTAAATATAAAAATGGACTTACGAAAGTACGTTATTAAGCCAAACAGTAAAACAGAAGTTGTTTTATGGGAACATTTCAGAGCATAACTTAAATGAAATGAACAAGATTTTTTCCGTGTTGGTTACTTATCATAGTTAAGTACATTCTGCATTCAAATTAAAGTAAATTGATATAGTAAGAAAATGCCATTTAAATTACATGAAAATGTTGCAATACATATCGCAATACAGTTTAAAATATCGCAATATATTGCAATACGAAATCTCAGACCAATACCCAGCCCTAAATTTAGTTGTATTATTATAGAAGCTTCCTCTAATTGTGTAGTTTCACTTTGTATAACTCCTGACCCCTTGTGAGGGTGGAGCCAATATTGCAGGTGGCCAGAATTTTACAGATAAGGAATGTATAGGAAAAAAAATCTTTAAAGAGCAAAGCTTATATTGAAGCATCCTTGGCTAGGGTAGATTCAAGTGATTTGAAATAATCCACTTTGTTGAGAGAAAATGTTGGTATTTTATTGACATTTAAAAGCTTGTTCAAATCATGACCCCCCAAGCTTGTGAGTTTTGTACTGATACCATTTAAAGCTTTTACGGTGTTACTCTATGCTTTTTTTTCGTACCCTGTAACAGGTGATATCGTGGAACTTTACATTTGACATCACTGACGTCAATGATAACGCTCCAGTCTTTAGCCAACTGAAGTACAGTGTAAATATTACGGAGGAGACAACTCAGAATACCATTATAACAGTACAGGTAGGAAGCAGCACTTACACATAAAAGGAGGAAAGAGTAATAGGTCACCTTTTTTTTTTTTGAAACAGGCATGATTTTAGAGATATTATGATCATATTACAGTTGTTTTCCATATTTATGGACACAATCCTGAAGGTGCAATTCCAGTTTTTTGATGTGAGTCATAAAAAAACACAAAATAATATTTTTTACATTTTTTTGAGAGATTTTTTAAGGTTGCATTTCATAGTGACATAAATGTACACAAGGTTCACAAAAAACTTTTACAACATTTTGATACAGAATTGATCAGATTAATATAGGTAGGTCTGAGATTTACACATTCAAAGAAAACAAAGTACATTCATTCCAAAGTTTCTAACATAGATCCATCTTCAGATGTTCCAAACTTGTAAAAAACTGAATGATCATGGGATGGGTGTATAGGTTCAAAATATCTATTTTGTTTGACTTGCTTCCTAGGCCTATTGTACTCAGCAATTAATTATATTTCCCTTTCTTCAATTGAGTTTTCTTTTTTTTTATTAAAGAAATCAATAACTAGCACCCGATGAGTTAACTTCAACAGGGATGATGCTAACACTCTAACAAGATAGATGAATCAATCTTAATATTGAGCCATTCGAAATCATTATCTTTGGAATTTTGGAATTTTCAGATAATGATCGAAATACTGACAGTCTCTGTAGTCATTATATGGCATTACTTACAGCCAACGAGTGTATATAAATGACACAAATATATTGAAAATATTTCTGAAATAAACTCGTCTACTAGTTTAAAAAAAAATCAATTTATTAATGTGGCCAAAATTGACTCATCATATATATATAGTCCTTTTGAAAAGAGGATGTAGTCATTAAAAATGTTCAAAACCCACTGGGGGCCAGAAAAGGAAATCTTCTATGAAAGTGAATCACTGGGCCAGAAAAGGCAAAACTTCTGTGAAAGTGTACTAAATAAGAGTAAATTATTTTGCAAATTGTGTCCCTTTGCTTAGGGTAGGGCTACAATATAAGAAAAAAAATAAAGTGGTTGAAATCTTAGACTTTGATTAAAAAGTATCAAACTTGTATCATTTATGAAGAGGTTTCATAAATTCATGGTTAGAAATATACAAGCTCCATTGAGCATTTTGTCAAAAGTTGATCATTTTGACATATATCACTTTAAATTACTGTGAATTTATCACAATGGAAATTAAACTGCACAGCAAGTTATTTTATAAGGATTTTAAAAATTGGGGATATGAAATAGTTATTGTTACATAAATTAAAAAATTATTTTGTTTTTCTTTTAGGCAACAGACAATGATTTGCAAAATACAGATAATTCCAATATAACCTACACCTTGGTGCCATCAAAGTGGTAAGGTTGCAACTTGGATTAATAGTTGACAGTCTTTATTTAAGCAATTTTTTTTTTTAAATTAGCTATAAGAAGCCAGTGTCTGAATTATTACAGGTAGGGTTTCACCTTAGAGGTAGAAGAAAACATTGGTGAATTGCATTTAATGTCCATTGAATTCTGAAAAGACAATGTGATGACTTTTGTACCTGATTCAGGAATGAGGTGTGAAATGATACACTTTCTTCACCATTTGATTTGTATCATATAATTTTGTCAGAGAATGGTTATATTCTATATTATGATACATTTTTATTGAAGGAGATAATATTAAGTTAACATATTTCTTAATTCAGCTGAATCATGCTTTAACAGAATTTATGTACAAATTGACAATAATTTGATATTATGAATTGACTAGTTATGTTCCCCAAACGAAGTTGGGGAACATATTGTTTTTACTCCGTTTCTTATTATTATTATTCTTCTTCTTCTTCCTGGGTACTTTTTTGTCCGGGAGTGATCTTGTAAACTGTTCATCCGATGTAGGTAAAACCTTTTTAGGGTCAGTAAACATGTTATGTAGATTTGTGGAATCAAGGTCATTTTGCGCGCACGTACTTGCAAGAGCGTGCACGTGCAACACGTGAAATGACCAATATAATAGATATAGCCGTAACTTTTCTATTTTTTGATGAAATGCTTTAAAACTCAAGGTTTGATTATCTATTAGTAGTATAGACATGATGTCATGGTCAAAATAGCAAGATCTCACGCGCATGCACGTGCGCTTTGCTCTGATTGGCTGAAACTAAAGTCTCTATATCTTTCTTGTTTTTCGACGAAATCCTATGAAATTTTGAACATAGCCATGCATTAATATATCCTACAATATGATATATAGCAATTGTCATAAAATCACGTGCATGCACGTGCGCTGCAATCTGATTGGCTGAAACTTTAAATGAGCTATAACTCCCTTGGTTTTCAACAAAACAGGATGGGATTTGGAACATAGATAGATATAATGAACTTCTACAACATGAAATGGTCACCATGCACATGCATACACGTGCGTGTACTTGCGCTGTAATCTGATTAGCTGAAACTGTAAACAGCTATAACTCCTTTGGTTTTCAACCAAACGGAGTGGGATTTAGAACATAGAGAGATGTAATGGACGTCTACAAGAAGATATGGACACCATGCTCCTGTACGCACGTGCGTGCACGTGAAATGAGTTAAATCAAAAATACCCGTGAATGAGCTAATTTTTTAAATACTTTTGGATTAAATACTTTAATATTTAGTATATTAAAATATATAGATTGTGTAGACAAGATGATATGATCATTACGCACATGCATTCACATGCGCACGCGTACAATGCTAAAATTTGAATGAACTTGGCGTTGTTAAAGTTTCAAATGCATAGATTTTGTCCTATTTAATGAAGCTTACAGGGAATATGGCACCAAAAGGGAGTTGGAGAGCGTTTGGGGAACATCTGTAACGGTCCCCGTTACAATTAGCACTAGTTGGATTATTATTCTACAATCTGTTAGTCTTCAAAAATTGCATTTTTAAAATTCAAAATTTACTATGTATCTTGTTTTTGGGAATGCCAAACCTGCCTGAATAATGATCCTGATTTAAAAAAAATGAACTTACCAGGTAACTGAAAATAAATAAAAAGTACCAATCATCCAGACAAGAAATACTGAAACTAGGGATAATTTACTGGGAGGTCAACATTGTTGCTACATTGCCAAAAATCTTAACTTCTTACTGCTACATTTTTTCAATAGGACTATTGTCCAAATTAACTCATTACCGCTACATTTTGAATCAGGCAGGTATGATACGGAATAACGACTAAAAACAAAATATGAAAGTGGCGAAATTACAAAAATTTACTTTCACCTCCCCAAGGTGAATAGGAGAAATATTTCTTGTGCATGCATATATTGTACTTAAAGATCAATCTGTACACGTATATTTAGTGTCTGGCTAAAAAAGGAAGTAAAGTAGCCGTAATGCATTATCTTTTAAAAGTAATGGTTTTTGTAGCAGTAATGAAAATTTTGAAAATGTAGCTCGGTAATTATATACACATCCAATTTATTATTTAGTGCTGGTATTAAAATTATCAATTACCATTGAACTGTTCTTTGTATTAAAGACAGATTTTATTGCCAAATTGCCATTAATATTGTTATATTGTTAGAATTAAATAAGTGCAAAATGTAGGCAGGATTCGAGTAGTTCTTTTTTCAAATCATGACCCCTTGGTGTCCCTTGAGGAGGGGCCACTATGGGGGATAAATTTTTTACAAAGTATTTATATAGAAAGTTAATCTTTTAAAATCCTTTTTTCTCCAGAACAGCAGTTACATGCTAATTTGATATGGAGGCATCCTCAAGACCCCCCCCCCCCATAAAATTTTCGATGCTGAACCAATTGTGCTTTATTTCCTAGTCAATATGTTTAGATGAGTGATGTGGCCCATGGACCTCTTGTTCCTTAAGAGGAATATTCTACAATAATTGTTAAATACAATTCCTCCTGTACTTTTCATTTGATTTCCTTATGATTCGGTTTTTGTATGAGGCTTAAAAAACATATATGATATGCAGATTTACAAAGTTGCAATGATGCTTTAAAATTTAATAGTGTAATTGTGCAAATAATTCTGATAATTTCCTTTCACTAGGAGTGATAAATTTACAATCGATGCTTCAAGTGGAGCTCTTAACCTTGTGAAAAAGATAGATGCTGATGAAATGGGTTCCAACAAGACTCTAGAGCTAGTGGTTATAGCAAAGGACCAGGGAATTCCATCGTTAAATAGCACCACATTGATACATGTCACCGTAGAAGATATCAATGATCATCCACCAGTATTCAGCGAAGCTCCTCAGAATCTTATATTTACATTTAATGAAACAGAAAACCCCCAAAATTTCTTCACGGCGAAGGTAAGCTCTCTATTTATAAGCACTACATCTTTACCTCTAGCATAACCATTGAGTCAGTTGACTGTGTTTTACAAACATTAACTCATGTACTGTTCTTTTTGTTGAAGGCCACTGACAAGGATGCAGACGATAAAGTGTTCTATAAACTGACAAATGCAACAGAAGCATTCCATATCAATAAAAGAACAGGACGATTGTCAGCAAACAGAACCTTACAATGGAGTGATAGAGGTGTGGTTGTGATTGAGGCTTACAATGGCAGAAATTACAGTAATAAAACAATACAGAATCCTAAACTTTTCATTGAGATCAATATTAAGGTAAGCTGTAGCTTTTACTGGGGCTTTGTTCCATGAACAGAGTTTCCGAAAACCATCGGTCCTACCGGCAAAACCGATAGAAAATCCAAATGTCCGATGAAATTGGCCATAGTACCGATCCGTGTGACCGATTGTGGTTAGGGCTTGTCCTGATTAATTTATTATACTCTGATCTTTATAAATGAAAATTTTCAATGCAGCTTGCTCTTATTCTTCGTAAATATCCATAGTCTTATCCATTTTGCAATTCTGCTTGACTTTTTTAATTCCAAAAACGATCGTTTTTTCCTAATCCGAATTTCCTCCATTCCTCTGTTAATGGTTAACACGTGCAGTATATAGGTCATGAAGTGCAATGCCCATTGAGAAAATGTAAAGATATTCTAAATTTATTAACATTTTGAATTTTTATCACAATTACTGCTATTTATATATGATTCAATTTTACAATTTAGCATTAATATTCAAATTTAAAAAGAATTCTAGTAACCTTCAGAAATGTTCTTTGTCTGACAAGAATTTTTTTTTTTTTCATAATGTTACATGTAGTTGTTTCCCCAACATTTACTTGGAGCTAGTAACTTTTTTTGCTGCCACAATCTTGTTCGGGCTGGTGCCATGGTTTATTATAGTCGCATTACCCTGGTATCACAATCAGCGTTTGTGAGCCACGAATTTTTTTTACATATTCAATGCCATTCTCTTTTGAATTACATCTGACGTGAAATAAACACTGTATTTTCTAAAATTTATTCGGACTGATAGAATATGCTTCGGACTGGTAGAACGCATTGAGTCACCAGTCCGAATGACTGATAGAAATATTTGGTTTTCGGAAACTCTGCATGAACTTTGCATTTGAGCTTTGAATTTACTTATGAACATATTTTTTCTAAAAATTTCAAAATAACATTAAGACATTCATTAAGATTTCATAGTTGTGGCATGATAAAAATAAAGAGTTTTTGTTTTGCAATGCTTTTTAAAATACTTTTTAATTTTTATTTATTAAATTATAATGCATGGTCTGTTACTGCTGGCAATTAGCATGTGAACACAGGCTTGCAGTGGTAAAAGATTGTCTAACATGAAATTGATGTTACAGTAAAAAAAAAATTCATAGTAAAATGTTGATAGTTGCTGGTAAAAAAAAAAAAACCCCACTTGAAATCACCCTCTACACCGGTTTGAACGGCGCATTCGGGATGGCGGTGGGGCGAGACTCGGGGTGGCGGCACCAAAGCAAGAAAAACACCATCAAGGTGTGTTCACCTGAATTTTTAGCTCACCTGAGCCGAAGGCTCAAGTGAGCTTTTCTGATCACATTTTGTCCGTCGTCCGTCTGTCTGTAAACTGTTCACATTTTCGACTTCTTCTCAAGAACCGCTGGGCCAATTTCAACCTAACTTGCCACAAAGTATCCTTGGGTGAAGGGGATTCAAGTTTGTTCAAATGAAGGGCCATGCTCTCATTCAAGGGGAGATAATTGGGAATTAATGAAAATTTAGTGGCATATTTTAAAAATCTTCTTCTCAAGAATGACTGTGCCATTATAGATGAAACTTATTGGGAAACATCTTCAGGTAGTGTAGATTCAAGTTTGTTCAAATCATGACCCCTGGGGGTAGGGCGGGGCCAAAATGGCCGACCAAACTTTTACATAGAAATATATAGGAAAATTCTTTAAAAATCTTCTTCTCAAGAATGACAAAGCCATAATTCATCATATTTATATGGGAGCATGCTCAGGTAGTGTAGATTCAAGTTTGTTCAAATCAAGACCCCCGGGGGTAGGGCGGGCCGAAATGGCCAACCAAACTTTTACATAGAAATATATAGGAAAATTCTTTAAAAATGTTCTTCCCAAGAATGACAAAGCCATAATTGATCATATTTATATGGAAGCATGCTCAGGTATTGTAGATTCAAGTTTGTTCTAATCATGACCCCGGGGGTAGGGCGGGGCCAAAATGGCCGACCAAACTTTTACATAGAAATATATAGGAAAATTCTTTAAAAACCTTCTTCTCAAGAATGACAAAGCCATAAATCATCATATATATATGGAAGCATGCTCAGGTAGTGTAGTTTCAAGGTTGTTCAAATCATGACCCCCTGGGGTAGGGTGGGGGAAAAATGGACGACCAAACTTTTACATAGAATCTTTAAAAATCTTCTTCTCAAGAATGACAAAGCCATAATTCATCATATTTATATGGAAGCATGCTCAGGTAGTGTAGATTCAAGTTTGTTCAGATCATGACCCCCGGGGTAGGGCTGGGCCAAAATGGCCGACCAAAGTTTTACATAGAAATATATAGGAAAATTCTTCAAACATCTTCTTCTCAAGAATGACAAAGCCATAATTCATCATATTTATATGGAAGCATGCTCAAGTAGTGTAGATTCAAGTTTGTACAAATCATGACCCCCAGGGGTAGGGCGGGGCCAAAATGGCCGACCAAAGTTTTTAAAGATATATATAGGAAAATTCTTTAAAAATCATTTTCTAAAAAAATAGCAAATTCATGATTGGTCATGCGACTACTTTTGGATTTAAACTTTACAATAAAAAGCCATTTTCTACTTTTTCCTACCCTTAGTGCTCAGGTGAGCAATGTGGCCCATGGGCCTCTTGTTTTCATATGTTCAGACGTCTTAGATCAGAAAATTGTATTCTACGGAAGAGAACAAATATCAACGTACCTCTGACTGTTTAAAGCAGCCTTTGAGAGTGCTCTGCTTTCTCAAACACTCCTCCTCACTTTTCGGGGTATCAACGTTTTCGACTTCTGACATGATATTCTGTTTCAAAATTGACCTCAAAGGAGTTTTTTCCTCGCATCATCGACAGTAATCAAGTTGTACGATAGAATTTAACTTCAGTCCCACTTTAAATGTCAATATATGTTACTAATTAAGCCAATTTCGGCTTCAAACTCTATGTGACGATTGGGTTGGCGGTTTTTATGCCTTGCAGGTTGGCAGCATGTCCGAGAAATAAGGATTATTTTTTTCTTCAGCGTTCCCCTAGCCCCTTTGCGAGACGAAAAAGATTCAGATCTCTAAGAGAAATTTAGATTATGGCATGGCATGATGTTATTTAGCTGTAAATGTGGTTATGTCAAACTTTAAGAAGTTTATTTTTATAATTTAAAGTCTGAACTAACATGAAATTGAAACTTTAGTTTCATTTCTTCAAAAAGAAAACTTGTATTTATGTATTCTAACAGGGATGATATAGGGATGTCAATCTTGAAACATCACAAAGTCACTGTCCATTTCGGTTCTGCATGTCCCGGATAAGATTTTGATAGTAATGCATTGATTGGCGCACAATGTTTTTCCAGGAATATTTTCCAGCAAACCTTGCTTCATTGAGAAATATCTGTAGATAATTTAAAATATTGTATTTTTAAAAAAAAATTGCCAAATATCTTGTATAAAACGAGTGATCTGATTATTGTTGGAGTGCCCATTATCTGATCTGCGATTGGCAAAAAGATAAGACAAAAATAGTAAACTTCAAAGAATAATAAACACGAAAAGAAAAATTGTAAAAAACGACTATGGTTTGTTATAATGATGTGTTGTTAAAGCACTAGGTTAGCGAATACTTAAAAGTTGAATGGAAATCATGTTATTTCAAATTATATTTATCCCTGAACATTTTTCATGTCCCATGTTGAGGGGGGGGGGGGGGCTCAGGGACGTTTTTTACTCTACCACATACATAATTTTGTATGTTACCGGTCTTGTAGAGTAGGTTTTCCCCCCTAAAATCCCCCCCCCAGAAAACTGGCTCTTAAGTAGACTTTCCCGCGGACAGCTGGATCTAGAGTAGAATTTCCCCTATGGAAATCCCACACCAGAGTTAATTTTCTGGGTGGGGGGGGATCCTAATCTGTATAGTAGTTATAGAGTTTGATTTCCTCAGAGTCAACCCCCCCCCCCCCCCCCCCCCCACATGAAATATTATAATCTAAGGACAGATGATACAAACAAACCTTGAAAATTACAATTTATGTGCTACTGAAATCACTTTTTATTCGCTAGAACTTTATTTTCGAGTAATTACGCGAGACAGTGTGCTCGCAAAAATTTTATTCTTGCGTATAATAGTATTCCGTAGAATTATATAGAGCAAGAACCACACTTCGTGAAAATTTGTCTCGCTTATCAAGAGTCAATGACTATCTCGCGAAAATAGGTGCCGTGAAAATATAGTGATCTACAGTATTTAAATGTGTAAAATGCTTGAAAGTTAAAATTTTCATGAAAAGTTTCAAAAATGGGATTTAAGGAGATTTAACAGACGAAAAATTGTATAGATTAATAAGGATGGTAACAGAAAGGTGGAAATTTGAACATCATAGTAAGGGTGAGTTCACTGAGTTGTGCATGGGGTTTTGAAAAAGAAAATGAAAGAATATTGATCTATCCTAACACCTCCCCCAAGAAACATGATTTAGCATTTGAATAATTTACTTCTTTTGCTTGTCAATTTTTTTCCGGGTTTGAATTTTGTTCTCTTTCAATTAGCACCATCCTTTTATTTTTAGCTCTACTGGTCAGAGACCAGAAGAGCTTATGCGATAGTAATGCGTCCGGCGTCCGTCCGTCTGTCCGTCTGTCTGTCTGTCTGTCCGTCTGTCTGTAAACAATTTTTCAAAATGCTACTCCTCCTACAGTTTTGGTCTAATTTCAATATAACTTGGCACACAAGTAGACTACACTAAGATACGTAATTCTGTGTATCGGTTTTTGATTTCGATGAACGATGTTGCCGTGGTTACTAAAAATAGAAATTTCTGTGAAATTCTTTCAAAATGCTACTCCTCCTACAGTTTTGGTCTGATTTCAGTATAACTTGGCACACAAGTAGAATACACTAAGATACATAATTCTGTTTACCGGTTTTTGATTTCGATGAACGATGTTGCCGTGGTTACTAAAAATAGAAATTTCTGTGAAATTCTTTCAAAATGCTACTCCTCCTACAGTTTTGGTCTGATTTCAGTATAACTTGGCACACAAGTAGAATACACTAAGATACATAATTCTGTATATGGGTTTTTGATTTCGATGAACGGTGTTGCCGTGGTTACTAAAAATAGAAATATCTGTAAAATTGTTTCAAAATGCTACTCCTCCTACAGTTTTGGTCTGATTTCAGTATAACTTGGCACACAAGTAGACTACACTAAGATACGTAATTCTGTATACCGGTTTTTGATTTCGATGAACGGTGTTGCCGTGGTTACTAAAAATAGAAATTTCAGTGAAATTCTTTCAAAATGCTACTCCTCCTACAGTTTTGGTCTGATTTCAATATAACTTGGCACACAAGTAGAATACACTAAGATACATAATTCTGTGTACCGGTTTTTGATTTCGATGAACGGTGTTGCCGTGGTTACTAAAAATAGAAATTTCTGTAAAATTGTTTCAAAATGCTACTCCTCCTACAGTTTTGGTCTGATTTCAGTATAACTTGGCACACAAGTAGAATACACTAAGATACATAATTCTGTGTATCGGTTTTTGATTTCGATGAACGGTGTTGCCGTGGTTACTAAAAATAGAAATTTCTGTGAAATTCTTTCAAAATGCTACTCCTCCTACAGTTTTGGTCTGATTTCAGTATAACTTGGCACACAAGTAGAATACACTAAGATACATAATTCTGTGTATCGGTTTTTGATTTCGATGAACGGTGTTGCCGTGGTTACTAAAAATAGAAATTTCAGTGAAATTGTTTCAAAATGCTACTCCTCCTACAGTTTTGGTCTGATTTCAGTATAATTTGGCACACAAGTAGAATACACTAAGATACATAAATCTTTATATCGGTTTTTGATTTAGATGAACGGTGTTGCCGTGGTTACTAAAAATAGAAATATCTGTAAAATTGTTTCAAAATGCTACTCCTCCTACAGTTTTGGTCTGATTTCAATATAACTTGGCACACAAGTAGAATACACTAAGATACATAATTCTGTGTATCAAATTTTAATTTTGATGAACTGTGTTGCCGTGGTTACTAAAAATTGAAATGTCTGTAAAATTGTTTCAAAATGCTACTCCTCCTACAGTTTTGGTCTGATTTCAATATAACTTGGCACACAAGGAGACTACACTAAGAACATAAAGAGAATTTATCAACGATCATTATTCTATATATTGCTGTTGTAAAGTTTCAAATCCCAGCTGCTTAAGTACTCTTCTCTTCCTTTGCTATAAGTTCAAACCAGTAGAGCTTCAGTCTCGACAGAGACTTCTGGTTTTCTTCTGAAGCTAATGTATATAAAGTTTTTGTCCATAATTGAGGACCGTATTGGGATTTGTTAAAGTGAAATTATTTGTTGATTTGCATTTAGAGGATGGGATACCCCCCTTCCCGCCCCAGTTAAAAGATATAGGAATGGATAGCGATCATCTATGATAGATTTTCAAGTTTTTTGCCCATAATTAGTCAAATTTTTAAAAATTGGCCAAACCTTCTGCACCTAATTAATGCATTTCACAAGTCAACTTCTTGTAAAACGCATAAATTAAGTGCAGAAGGTTTGGCCAATTTTAAGCAATTAGTGTGATACACATAAATCGACAATTTCTAGTAATTTCACATCTTTCAGCTATGAACGTATGTCCTGAAGAAACAGATTATCACAATATGATAATTTAACAACAGTCACTCAGTTGTTGTTTTGTTAGTTTAGGGACAAGTACAAAGATGTTTATATGTGTATAAAAATTGTGATTGAAATTATCTTGATTATTCTGCTTAACTTGGACTTTTGTTCAAAAATTAAATGTAGCAACTGTACATAGAAATACGCACCACTACATTGTATCATTATAAAGTGTCTATTCCTTGTTCAGTTCGGACTTTAAATTATAAAAATAAAGTTCTTAAAGTTTGACATAGCCACATTTTTAGCGAAATAACATCATGCCATGCCATAATCTAAATTTCTCTATGAGATCTGAATCTTTTTTGTCTCGCAAGGGGGCCAGGAGAACGCTGCATGAAAAAGTAATCTTATTTCTCGGACATGCTGCCACCCCGCAAGGCATAAAAACCGCCATCCCGATCGTCGCATAGAGTTTGAAGCCGAAATTGGCTTAATTAGTAACATATATTGACTTTTAGAGTGGGACTGAATTTAAATTCTATCGTACAACTTCATTACTGTTGATGATGTGAGGAAAAAATCCTTTGAGGTCAATTTTGAAACAGAATATCATGTCAGAAGTCGAAAACGTTGATACCCCAAAGAGTGAGGAGGAGTGTTTGAGAAAACGGAGCACTCAAAGGCTGCTTTAAACAGTGAGAGGTTAGTTGATATTTGTTTTCTTCCGTAGAATACAATTTTCTGATCTAAGACGTCTGAACATATAAAAAAATTCAGATGAACACACCTTGCTGGTGTTTTTCTTGCGTCGGTGCCGCCACCCCGAGTCACGCCCCACCGCCATCCCGAATGCACCGTTCTATCCGGTGCTCTATGGGGATGTGGTAATCTTTGATGATTCCACATTAGAAATTGTTCTGATGGCTTAGCTAACTACTTCAATTGATCATAACCAAAAAGTTATAAACTGATTTTGCTCACAAGAGCTAGGATAATGATATGAATGTCTAAATTGATGAGTTATGAATAAACCTCTTCAGAGACTGGGGTTTTGCTTTATCTTGTAGGATATTAATAACAATAGTCCAGTTTTCACCCCAAATAGCTATGCGGAGAATATTAGTGAAGGTTCTCCTGTGGGATCAGAGATTGGCAGGTAAGACTGATGGATTGAATTTTCTAATATTCTTTGTAAAGTGTAAGTTATAAGAATTTATTATAAAATTTCCATCACTGCAAGAAGATAGTACACATGTATCACAAAGCCATGGTATCAACATGATCAATGAAAATAAATTTTGACCTCTTAATTTGTAGCAAAGTTTTCCTTTTCCTTGACACTAATGAGAAATGGGTTTTAAAAATTCTGTTTCCAGTCATATAATACCTACTAGTTTAAAATATTTGCTGTATTTTTCTTCTTAACCAACTTATGACATTGATTTGAATGCCAATTTCATGCATACTCAAGTGTAAAAATGTATATGGAGGACCTTTAATAGTTAAAGTTATACACATGATTGTGTTGTAAGTTACTTATAACGCGGCTGTGTGAACTTGGGAAATTATATGAAAGTAATGTTTCCATGAACAACATGATAAAAGCAAAATTGGTGTGCAAGCATTCCCATGTTGCATGCAGTTCATGGCCCCTGCAGGTTTAGAGAGGGTATACAGATATTTTAAAGATTTTTTTAGATTGAAGTGTATCAACTTCCCGAGAAGACTATTAGTAAAAGGTTAAAATTTAACATGATGGCAGTTAGTATACTTGATGTTCAATTTGTATTTAAAACATAATTAGATCATTAGGTTTTAAGGCCACAGAGATGTCATATATACATGCCCTTCAATGAATGGAAGCCAAATGTTTCCATTTTATAGGTACTGGCAGCTCATGAGTCAATTGTTTTTTAGCTCACCTGAGCCGAAGGCTCAAGTGAGCTGTTCTGATCACATTTTGTCCGTTGTCCGTCTGTCCGTCCGTCCGTCTGTAAACTTTTCACATTTTCGACTTCTTCTCAAGAACCAATGGACCAAATTTAACCAAACTTGGTACAAAGCATCCTTGGGTGAGGGGGAGTTTAAATTGTTAAAATGAAGGGCCAGGTTCCCTTCCAAGGGGAGATAATCAAGAAAAGACAAAAATAGGGTGGGGTCATTAAAAAATCTTCTTCTCAAGAACCACTGGGCCAGGAAAGCTGAAACTTATGTGGAAGCATACCTGGGTAGTGTAGAAATTAAATTGTTAAAATCATGACCCCCGGGGGTAGGGCGGGCCACAATAGGGAATGCAAGTTTTACATAGAAATACATAGAACAAATCTTTAAATATCTTCTTCTCAAGAACCACTGAGCCAGGAAAGCTGAAACTTATGTGGAAGCATCCTTGGGTAGTGTAGGTATTAAATTGTTAATATCATGACCCCCGGGGGTAGGGCATGGCTACAATAGGGAATGCAAGTTTTACATAGAAATATATAGAACAAATCTTTAAAAATCTTCTTCTCAAGAACCACTGAGCCAGGAAAGCTGAAACTGATGTGGAAGCATCCTTGGGTAGTGTTGATATTAAATTGTTAAAATCATGACCCCCGGGGGTAGGGCAGGGCCACAATAGGGAATGCAAGTTTTACATAGAAATATATAGAACAAATCTTTAAAAATCTTCTTCTCAAGAACTACTGGGCCAGGAAAGCTGAAACTTATGTGGAAGCATCCTTGGGTAGTGTTGATATTAAATTGTTAAAATCATGACCCCCGGGGGTAGGGCAGGGCCACAATAGGGAATGCAAGTTTTACATAGAAATATATAGAACAAATCTTTAAAAATCTTCTTCTCAAGAACCACAGGGCCAGGAAAGCTGAAACTTATGTGGAAGCATCCTTGGGTAGTGTTGATATTAAATTGTTAAAATCATGACCCCTGAGGGTAGGGCGGGGCCACAATAGGGAATGCAAGTTTTACATAGAAATATATAGAACAAATCTTTAAAAATCTTCTCCTCAAGAACCACTGAGCCAGGAAAGCTGAAACTTATGTGGAAACATCCTGGGTAGTGTAGATATTAAATTGTAAAAATCATGACCCTGGGGTTAGGGCGAGGCCACAATAGGGAATGCAAGTTTTACATAGAAATATATAGAACAAATCTTTAAAAATCTTCTTCTCAAGAACCACTGGGCCAGGAAAGCTGAAACTTATGTGGAAGCATCCTTGGGTAGTGTAGATTCTAAAGTATTAAAATTATGTAAGGGGAGGGGTAGGGGGGCACGATAGGTATAGCAAGAGTGGAAATCTGCTAAAGAACTGCATCACCCAAGTTACTCAGGTGAGCGATGTGGCCCATGGGCCTCTTGTAATTTCATCTTGAGTTTTAATTTTGGGACTGTTACAGTGTTAATGCCACTGATTCTGATTGGTCAGAAGAATTTGGGTCAGTTTACTACTGGATAACAGATGGAAACTCCGAGAGCCATTTCTTTCTGAATGAACTCAACGGTACCCTGTACCTGGCTAATACTACTGATTACGAAAAGGAGACAAAATACAACCTCACAGTATGTATCATAGAATTCAGAGGAAAAAAATCATAGGTTTGACAACTCATGGATAAGATAAATTAAGGCATATAATAAACATATAGATACAACAATTCATTGATACTCATTGAAACTGATTTTAAAAATGAAGCATATCATAATTGATGTGTTTTTTTAACTCATTATATTATACCCCCCACAAAAGAAATGGGGGGGGGTATACAAGAATCACCTTGTCTGTCTGTCTAGCATTCTGTCTATCCATCTGTCTGTTGTTTGTCCATCTGTCTAGCATTCTGTCTATCCATCTGTCTGTTGTTTGTCCATCTGTCTAGCATTCTGTCTATCCATCTGTCTGTTGTTTGTCCATCTGTCTAGCATTCTGTCTACCCATCTGTCTGTTGTTTGTCCATCTGTCTAGCATTCTGTCTACCCATCTGTCTGTTGTTTGTCCATCTGTCTAGCATTCTGTCTACCCATCTGTCTGTTGTTTGTCCATCTGTCTAGCATTCTGTCTATCCATCTGTCTGTTGTTTGTCCATCTGTCTAGCATTCTGTCTATCCATCTGTCTGTTGTTTGTCCATCTGTCTAGCATTCTGTCTATCCATCTGTCTGTTATTTGTCCATCTGTCTAGCATTCTGTCTATCCATCTGTCTGTTGTTTGTCCATCTGTCTAGCATTCTGTCTACCCATCTGTCTGTTGTTTGTCCATCTGTCTAGCATTCTGTCTACCCATCTGTCTGTTGTTTGTCCATCTGTCTAGCATTCTGTCTATCCATCTGTCTGTTGTTTGTCCATCTGTCTTGCATTCTGTCTACCCATCTGTCTGTTGTTTGTCCATCTGTCTAGCATTCTGTCTATCCATCTGTCTGTTGTTTGTCCATCTGTCTAGCATTCTGTCTATCCATCTGTCTGTTGTTTGTCCATCTGTCTAGCATTCTGTCTACCCATCTGTCTGTTGTTTGTCCATCTGTCTAGCATTCTGTCTACCCATCTGTCTGTTGTTTGTCCATCTGTCTAGCATTCTGTCTATCCATCTGTCTGTTGTTTGTCCATCTGTCTTGCATTCTGTCTACCCATCTGTCTGTTGTTTGTCCATCTGTCTAGCATTCTGTCTATCCATCTGTCTGTTGTTTGTCCATCTGTCTAGCATTCTGTCTATCCATCTGTCTGTTGTTTGTCCATCTGTCTAGCATTCTGTCTACCCATCTGTCTGTTGTTTGTCCATCTGTCTAGCATTCTGTCTACCCATCTGTCTGTTGTTTGTCCATCTGTCTAGCATTCTGTCTATCCATCTGTCTGTTGTTTGTCCATCTGTCTAGCATTCTGTCTATCCATCTGTCTGTTGTTTGTCCATCTGTCTAGCATTCTGTCTACCCATCTGTCTGTTGTTTGTCTGTCTGTCTAGCTTTCTGTCTACCCATCTGTCTGTTGTTTGTCCGTCTGTCTAGCATTCTGTCTACCCATCTGTCTGTTGTTTGTCTGTCTGTCTAGCATTCTGTCTACCCATCTGTTGTTTGTCTGTCTGTCTAGCTTTCTGTCTATCCATCTGTCTGTTGTTTGTGTAGCTGTCTGTCTACCCATCTGTCTGTTGTTTGCCTGTCTGTCTAGCATTCTGTCTACCCATCTGTCTGTTGTTTGTCCATCTGTCTAGCATTCTGTCTATCCATCTGTCTGTTGTTTGTCCATCTGTCTAGCATTCTGTCTACCCATCTGTCTGTTGTTTGTCCATCTGTCTAGCATTCTGTCTACCCATCTGTCAGTTGTTTGCCTGTCTGTCTAGCTTTCTGTCTGTCCATCTGTCTGTTGTTTGCCTGTCTGTCTAGCTTTCTGTCTATCCTTCTGTCTGTTTTTTGTCCGTCTGTCTAGCTGTATAGCTTTCTGCACAAACATGTCCAGTCCAAATCTTCTTACAAAGGAACCTTAGACTACTACTTCACACAAAGATTGCTCATGACCTACAGGTGTGTCATGACCTTAACCAAGGTAATTTGGACAAGTTCATGACCACAGGGTGTGTCATTACTTTGAACCAAGGTCATTTTTGCAAGTTCAAGCATTAGGTCACTTAAAGAAAAAAAAAGTTCATAATTTGTGTCTGGTCCATATCTTTCATAATTTGTGTCTGGTACTGATAAAAAGATAGTCCTATATTGACCAAACTTGCATGGATGATACATCTAAAGATGCATAGCAACACGCTTGCTTCAGTTGCAGGATCTGACCTTCATTGCTGATGCATACTGATGAGAGCTATTCAACTGCATCGACACTTTTTACCTTTCCTTTGACCTTGACCTCACATTTCCTAATTCAACGTCAAACTTCATATGCTAGTACATACTGATGTAAGCAATTCAACTGCATCAACATTTTTGACCTTGACCTTGCATTTCATTGTGACCTCACTTTTATCAAATTGTGTTTAAATCAGTTTGAAAGAAAACACTCATATTTTTTTCAACTTCTTATGCTGATACATACTGATGAGAGCTTTTCAACTGAATCAACATTGTTTGACCTTGTCACTTCCTTTGACCTTGAACTCACCTTAAAGAAATTCATGTCAAACTTCATATGCTGATACATACTGATGTAAGCAATTCAGCTGCATCACTATTCAAGATATTCTGATCAAATTTCATGCACTTTTACAAATTTTCATGTTGCATTACTAATATTCCCTCTACGGGGCATTCATATCCTTTGGACATACTTCTAGTTTATTTATTATTCAATACAAGTGACATCAGTTGTCATCAATTAGTTGTCTTTCTATGGCTTGTTGCATTAAGGAGTTTTATTTTCAGTGAGTTAAATAGTGAAATGTACCTTTTGGTGAGTTGTCCAGAACCCAGTCTATGTTTGACGTTACATGTACAACTTCATTATATCTGAGCACATTTAATATTTATACTGAACAATATGCAGAAGATTTTTGTTCATTAATAAAATAATAAATAAAAACTTTTGTTCATTCAATAAATATTTAAAAGCACTGGTAAATTGTTTGATGATTAAGTGGTCATTTGACATAGTATATGCATACATATGTGTACAGCTGTCAGTCTTTGCAGTCCAAAAATAATGACAATTTGGTATTCCGATCATTCTTATTGTTAAGGAAGACCAATGGTTGTTTTGCAGATCACCGCTTTAGATTCAAGGGAGCTAAGTCAGACTATAACCAATCACAGAACTACTGCCTTCTTTGTTATCAACATTCTGGATGTAAATGACAACTCTCCCAAGTTTACACAGGGTACTTATAGCATCCACATATTACAGGAATTCTGTACTCAGAACTCATAGACATTCATATATCTTGAAGAAGAAACTTCAAAAGAATTGAAAGGGTTGGGTTGATTGAAATAGAATATCAGCCTTAGGCTTGGAATATTACAATTCCAATTTTAAAGAAATCTAAGGAAATTATGAATGAGGTATATTCTTAATTAGAGTTGTACATGTAGTTATCTGGGAGTTACCATTGTGTTTTGTAGACTTGTACCAGTGTAGTGTTAAGGAATCTACTCTAGATTTTGCCTGCCAAGTAAAAGCTGAGGATAAAGACCTCACATCGGATTTCAGCCAAATTGATTATCAGTTGGTTAATGGATCCGACAGTAAGGTAAAATGATCTTCAATCAAAACTGCATGTAGAATTGTTTCGTTTGGGCCAATGTTTGTGTACTTTCTGGAGACTTTTGGTGGTGAAAGCTCTACATGAAAGATATGGTCTATATATGAAAAATGGTATTTTATGCTGATGGGAAAGTTAGTTGCCCACAGATGACTGTTGGTCTACAGTGCTGTCTTTGTATCATTATATATTTTTAGCTCACCTGAGCCGAAGGCTCAAGTGAGCTTTTCTGATCACATTTTGTCCGTCGTCCGTCCGTCTGTCTGTCTGTCTGTCCGTCCGTCTGTAAACTTTTCACATTTTCGACTTCTTCTCAAGAACCACTGGGCCAATTTTGACCAAACTTGGTACAAAGCATCCTGGGTGAAGGGGAATTTAAATTGTTAAAATGAAGGGACAAGTCCCCTTACAAGGGGAGATAATCAAGAAAAGACAAAAATAGGGTGGGGTCATTAAAAAATCTTCTTCTCAAGAACCACTGGGCCAATAAAGCTGAAACTTATGTGGAGGCACCCTGGGATAGTGTAGATTCTAAATTGTTCAAATCATGACCCCCGGGGGTTGGGCGGGGCCACAATGGGGAATCAAAGTTTTACATAGAAATATATAGGAAAAATCTTTGAAAATCTTCTTCTCAAGAACCACTGGGCCAGAAAAGCTGAAACTGATGTGGAAGAACCCTGGGGTAGTGTAGATTCTAAATTGTTCAAATCATGACCCCCAGGGGTAGGGCGGGGCCACAATTGGGAATCAAAGTTTTACATAGTAATTTATTGGACAATTTTTTGATTATGTTCTTCTCAAGAACCACTGGGCCAGAAAAGCTGAAACTCATGTGGAAGCATTGTGGGGTAGTGTAGATTCTAAATTGTTCAAATCATGACCCCCGGGGGTTGGGCGGGGCCACAATGGTGAATCAAAGTTTTACATAGAAATATATAAGAAAAATCTTTGAAAATCTTCTTTTCAAGAACCACTGGGCCAATAAGGCTGAAGCTGATTTGGAAGCACCCTGGGGTAGTGTAGATTCTAAATTGTTCAAATCATGACCCCCGGGGGTTGGGCGGGGCCACAATGGGGAATCAAAGTTTTACATAGAAATATATAGGAAAAATCTTTGAAAATCTTCTTTTCAAGAACCACTGGGCCAGAAAAGCTGAAACTGATGTGGAAGCACCCTGGGGTAGTGTAGATTCTAAATTGTTCAAATCCTGACCCCCAGGGGGTAGGGCGGGGCCACAATGGGGCATCAATGTTTTACATAGAAATATATAAGAAAAATCTTTGAAAATCTTCTTTTCAAGAACCACTGGGCCAGAAAAGCTGAAACTGATGTGGATGCACCCTGGGCTAGTAAATCATGACCCCAGGGGGTAGGGCAGAGCCATAATATGTATTACAAGGGGGAAATCTGGTAAAGAACAATATGACAAAAGATTCTCAGGTGAGCGATGTGGCCCATGGGCCTCTTGTTTTTCTATTTGTAGTTCCAGATAATCGGTGATGGAGAAATAAAACTGAAGCAGATGATGGATTATGATGCCGGAGATCACAGTTTTATTCTTACTGTAAAGGCCATTGACAGAAATGAGAGCAGTCTCACAAGGTAACCATACAATATTTTACTGTCACATCAGAAAAGTCTACAATACTCAATTTTTTATGGGTATTACTGGGACATTGATAAGACATTTTGGTTGTCATGTTTGTAGTGACTGTAGTGTAGTGTTACATTTAGAGATAATTATTTTAACTTAAGGGGGACATATATACACACACATACAAAAGAATGAAAATGAGTATTGATGGTTTGAAGCTTCAATTGCATGATGTCGCTTAAAAATGTTCAATATGAAGTTGCACATTTTCATTACACAATTTAGAAAATAAACATCTACTTTTTCATTACTGCTTGTAAAGAAGTTATCTACTGGTATCATCGTCACAAGACATGGGTTTTGTGTCTATAACTTATATACCATGCAAGTAAATTTCAAACCATTTTTATGGTAAAGCAATACTTCAAAATTATTAATTGCTATTTTTTTCTGTATTGAGATGAAAATTAATTGGCTCATCTTTGAGGTTTTGTTTTTGTTTTTTTATGATGGCATACAAATTTTCAGTGGTTATTAATTAAGAACATGAATGTCTTTTAAAATTCTTTTATAGTAATACTTTTGAAAAGAATTTTGCTTTTTTTTCTTTTTATAAATTCAGCAATTCCTTATTTCAGCATGTGTAATGTGATGATCACTGTGAACGACACTAATGACGAGGAGCCAGAATTTCAGCAGAGTGAATATAAGTTCAGTGTAGGAGAAAATCAGGATAGTGGGACAGAAGTCGGGGTAGTGAGAGCCGTGGACAGAGATTCTAACTCAGTTCTGTCGTACTCAATAAAACCAGTGAATGAGAGTAAGTCCAATAAAGAAAAACTTCTGATCAATTTGGATAAGAGATTAGAAAGCAAAGTCCATTGTTTGTTTTGATAGGTGATGTCTTCTGTCAGTTAATCTATTAATCATCACTTTCATGGAATTGTTGCATTAATTATAATACTTCATAGTATATTCACCTATTTGCAAATCAAGATTGAAACTGTTCTATGAACAGACTATATTTTCAATTTTGAATTAAAATCTCATAGAACTATTTGATCTGCATCAGTGAAGTGATTACATTTTAATTGCAACAACTCATTTTATCTTTGATATTTTCAGATTTCTCTGTGAATTCTTCATCAGGAATTATCACAACACGGAAAAAATTTGATTATGAAAGCAAAGCATCGTATAACTTCACTGTTAATGTCAGTGACGGTAATCACACAAACACCACTTCTGTTTACGTGGAGATCAGAGACATGAATGACAACGCCCCCGCCTTCAATGCTTCAGTATACAAGGCATACATTCCAGAAACTGATGTTAACAAGGTTATCTTGAAAAATGTAAGTCAATATATAGGCTTGTTTTCTGTCACTTGTTTAAAAATACTTAAGGAATTTAGTAAAAACCATGTGATGTATTAATATATTAAGTTATTGTACATAATACATGTATTATGAATGCATGATTCTAGGATAGAATGCACTTTACCGGTACGGCCGCCATTTTGATTCTAGATCCGCGCTTGAGGTGGCACGGCGTAAAAACTTAGCAATGTATCAACTATGATGGGCGACGCCATTTTGTTAGCTCTTCTGAGCCAAAGGCTCAAAGAGCTAATGCTATGGCCATTTGTGCGGTGTGCGTCGTGCGGTGTGCGTTAACTTTTTAGAATATGGGCCATAACTCAAGAACCCCTTGGCCAATCAGTGTCAAATTTGTCACAGGGTATCCTTGGCCCAAGGGCTACCATTTATACTAAAATAAGGGTTGGGACCCTGAATCAAGGGGAGATAATCAGGAAAACAAAACAAAAAGTACTGGTTGCTAAAAAATCTTCTTCTCCAGAACCACCAGGCAGATTTTTACCAAACTTACATACAAGGATCAGGATATGTTGAAGATTAAAAATTGTTCAAGGCATGACCCTGGGGCAAAATTGGTCTCAAGGTCACTTTGAAGTTGACCTAAATTTACAATTAATAAAAATGTTTATATTTTGCTTACTATAAGGACTAGGATCATCAAATCTTGTAAGTTGATGCATCTAAGGACTTCACATCATGTTAACTCAAAAGTAGGTCACGGTGACCTACTTTTTAAATTTTGCGGGCATTTGTTTTCAAATTGATTTAAAGGTATATTTTGGATACTTTAAGGTCTATGATCATCAAACTTAGTCAGTTGATGCATCTTGGGTCCTTAAACAATGTCAACTTAAAAGTAGGTCACCGTGACCTACTTTTTGAACTTTATGACTTATCCTTTTCAAAACATTTAATCCCATTATTTCAGGCACTGAAAGGGTTAGAATCATCAAATCTTGTAAGTTGCTGCATCATGGGACCCTAAAACATATTTAAGAAAAAGTAGGTCACTGTGACCTACTTTAAGAATTTTGCAGGCATTTGTTTTCAAATTTGTTTAAAAGGCATATTTTGATTACCTTCAAACCTACGATCATCAAACTTGGTCAGGAGATGCATCTTGGGACTCTAAAAAATGTCGACCAAAATGTAGGTCAGGGTGACCTATTTTTGACATTTTATGTCTATATTTAAGTATCTTAGGTATTTATTGGCTTAGAATCATCAAACTTTGTGAGTTGATGCATCTTGGGTTTACGGATAGTGACGACCAAAATGTAGGTCACCGTGACCTACTTCGACATTTTATGGCTATATTTAAGTATTCTCCGGTACTTATTGGCTTAGAATCATCGAACTTTGTCAGTTGATGCATCTTGGGTTTTCAGAGAATGTCGACAAAAAGTAGGTCACGATGACCTACTTTTTGACATTTTCTGGCTATATTTATGTATCTCTAGTACTTATCGATTTAGAATCATCATACTTTGTCAGTTGATGTATCTTGGGTTTTCGGAGAATGTCGACCTAAAAGTAGGTCATGGTGACCTACTTTTGAATATCTCAGGTATTTATTGGCTTAGAATTATCAAACTTGGTCAGCAGATGCATCTTGGGACTCTAAAAAATGTCAACCAAAATGTAGGTCACAATGACCTACTTTCGACATTTTATGGCTATATTTAAGTATCTCTGGTACTTATTGGTTAAGAATCATCATACTTTGTCAGTTGATGCATTTTGAGTTTTCGGAAAATGTTGACCAAAAATTAGGTCACGGTGACCTACATTTGAATATCTCAGGTACTTTATTGGCGTAGAAATATCAAACTTGGTCAGCAGATGCATCTTGGGACTCTGAAAAATGTCAACTAAAATATAGGTCACGATGACCTACTTTGACATTTTATGGCTATATTTAAGTATGTTAACAAGGTATTTATTGGCTTAGAATAATCAATACTTTGTCACTTGATGCATTTTGTGATTTCCAAGAATGTAAAAAAGTAGTATCTAATTGGATTCTAGGATAGAATGCACTTTACGGCGTAAGAATCATCAAACTTTGTCAGGTGATGCAACTTGGGTCTTTAATAGGATACTTAGGGTTAGAGGCTTCAAATACAAGTGATAGGTTGTACAATTTAGCAACGTATCAACTTCAAGGCCCTTGGGCCTCTTGTTTTGTTAGGAAGCGAGCGAAAGGTAAACGGCGGGGGTTTGGGGGCAGCAGCCCCCAATGTATGCTACATTATGTGATTAAACTTACCTTTAGTCATCAAATAAGTCTGCACTGGCATTCAGATGGTCTACGTTAATTGTCATCGGGAGTCAAAGTGGCCAATGGTTGTCTTTTTTTGCAGGTGTAAATATGTTGATGAGGGAAAGAAAGGCGATAAATTTGTTGTCTACGTCTTTCAGATACTACTTTCTTATGCAATACTCAATTAGATAACTGTCGTAGTGCTGTTTCTGTGTTCCAGTTTTGGGTAGAGACTTCTTTACTGCATTCCAAGTAGATTCAGTAAGATTTGTACAGGCTCTAGTTTCCTTATTCTTAAACTCTATTGAATGATTGACAGTTAGATGATCATATCCCTCTGACTTCAAACTACAATAAGCTTTCCAACAGTCTGATAAGATAATGGTTCCAGGTTCTACAAATTTCTTAATAATAGGAATCAGGGTGTTTGTGCTCCTGTCCTCCACTACCTCAAAAAAACACTTCTTTGACTCTCTTTCAATCCCACCAAACACCCAAACACCGTCAACTCTCTTACCGCGATGGTACTTCCTCTTGCCAAACTTACTTTCGTTGATCTCTACGTGCTTTCCTGGCCCACCAATCCTCTCACTGTCCTGTTTTAAAATGCAGAGACACACCTCTCGCGCAAAATTTTTCCAGTCCACAATGGTGTGATCACTTCCAATTTTAAGTTCCCGTCCAATAAAATCACCGGGTAGTTCATGTACCCAATAGTAGGTTAATTTTACTGCCTGTTCTAGAAGTAAATGACTTCCGAAAAACCAAGATCCCTTGCTTACTGACGTTTTTTTGTTACACTGTCTATTACTACACCTCCAAACAATACCGTCCTTACTGTAAGATTTGTCCTCCACTAATTTAACATTTCCATCATTGCACGAGTTACATTTCCCACTAAAGTTTCTGAGAAGTCCAAAATTTTGCAGCCAATCAATTAAAAATCTCCGTTCACGGCATACCTCATACAAATCATCGTAAACAAAAGGCATAGTACTACAATCAGCTGATTCCACTGTTTACATTTAGCGCAACTGTCAAAATCTACATTATGTCACTTACCTTGACCAATTACAGCACTGAAATAAGTCACGTGCGTAACAACGTCATGACTTTGTAATGTGGCCGACAAAATGAAAGCCAAAGGTTTGTTTTGAAAGTGCTTTTAGTTTTAATTAATAACTTCATTAATCAAACGAAGTTTATTAACATGAAAAATGATGAGGAATTCAAAAAATAGGTTTACTTATTTTTGCATTTTATTGCCTTTTTAGCGAAATCGTCACGCTGACGCATGACTCTCTTATAGAGAAAGAGCACGTGCTATTTCCACGTTATTTGGACGTACCGGTAAAGTGCAGTTGTCCGTGATTCTATTAGCTAAAATAGTTTTTACTAAACCAAAAAAGAACTAGTTGATGATGCCTTGTCTTAATTGTTTCAGATCAGTGCTCTTGATGCCGACAAAGGCCAGACAGTAACATACACCCTGGAAAACTACAAAGAATTGTTTTCAATAAACAGCACTACAGGAGTCCTCTCCTTAATGAATGATAATAAGACGCTGGATTACGAGAGTCAGCAGACATATGTATTGTCACTGACAGCCAAAGATGGTAAAAGTCAATATCTACAAATTATAATGTTAATCTTTTGATGTACATTGTATAAATTTATTTACAAAACAATATCATAATATGAAATAGTCTTATCTTTGGGAGTTAAAAAAATCTGTTATATTTAGAATATATTTTGAAGACACTAGGAATGGAAATCACTTGGCTGTAAGTGTCAATGTATTATAGGCGTGTTTTACAGTATAAGTGTCAATGTATTATAGGCGTGTTTTACAGTATTTTTTATGCTGGTGAGTGTTAACTTCAGCAGTTGACCTCTGATTTATAGATGGTGACCCTCCTCTGTCAGGGGAGGCTACTGTGGAGGTACACCTGACTGATGTAGATGACACCTGTCCGGTCTTCACGAGGCCTGTGTATACAGTGGCTATTAAAGAAAACAAAACATACCCCAGCATCCTGCAGGTAACGTATTACAAAGTACTGATGTCAAACAGGTAATAACAACAGTACCTATAACATGTACTTATTTACAGGTAACCTATTACAAAGTACTGATGTCAAACAGGTAATAACAGCAGGTACCTATAACATGTACTTATTTACAGGTCAATGTACTTTGTTCTTATCTAAAGTTAACTTAATATTGTACTTACCCATATTTAGGAATTTAAGGGATGAATTTATTAGCTACCTAAATTAAACTGTTTAACCTGGGTTAGACAACTAATTCTCACTTTTAAAAACTTGAAGCAGTTTATTAAAGTGTAAACTGTTCCAACCCAGGTTATGAAAATTACTTGAGAAGCTATCAGATTTATTCCTTATATAGTTTAATTTTCTCTTATGTAGTGTAAAAAATTGATTTCTCTTCAAAAATAACTACAAATTGTGTATGCTTATTTAAATGCAACTTAATGCCAGGCTACTGTCCTTTAAAGACGTACAACACACTGGGGGAGATAACTCTTGCGATTTCAATTGAACGTTTGACGTGACGTCAAATTTAACGTCAACAATAAAGCGTCAAAATGATGAGTAAAACGATCCCGATGTATTTCAATCATTAAAGAAAAAATGGGATATGGGGCTTGGCTGTGATTATGCGTACCACACTCAATCAATAAGTATTTTTAATTAACCCGATTAAACTCCGTAAAAAGCAAGTAATAGACATAAAATACCATCCCTTAATGTTTATTTCATTTCATTCCATATACAATAAATTGTAAACTTGATCAAAGCGCAGCATTTTTTTTTATTTTGAACATTTTATTTTACATTGCCAAAATTCTCATTATGTACAATTGGCTATATAACATTCCGATTAATTAATGGTCTTCATTACAATTTGTGCATTTACGATATAAATATTGTTTTTCTTTTTTAATTTATAAAACAACAATAAACAAACAAAAAAGTTTTTACAATGTAAAATCGATGTTGTTATCAGACCCTTACTGATCAAAGAGGAACAACTCTGAAAATGTAGATGTTTATTTTCCTCCCTTTATTCACGGTTTTCCACAGAAATACATTTACAGCAAGATCTGATAAATCCGAGAATTGAATACTATAGACCTCATATACACAATGTAAGTATAGAATTGAAAAGAATTGTTCACTAGTACTGAAATTATCTGCATTTATGAATATCGCAGCAAATCGTTTGACTTTCTGTCACTCACAGCCAACAATGCAATGTCGGTTCGCATTTCCTCGAATCAAAACAAAACGTAGCCTATAAGATTTTTAAAAATATCAATGTGGGATTTGATATAAATTGAAATAAATGAAGAGTTTAATGTTTGATATTTTGAAGTTAATGTTGACTAATACGGAATTTTCATTTTAACTTTAGGAGCATCGACATTGAAAGAATGCGTACAATATCATGAGGGGTGTACGATGTCGATGTATCCCGACGGCCACATACTGTCTCGTTTGAAATTATAATGAGATGAAAGAAACTACAATTATTTCCATTTATATCACAGGAGAATTGAACATACACCATTTTTTTGTCCCCCGCTTGAAAAGTGGGGGATATTAATTTGGGTTTGTCCGTCCGTCCGTCCGTCCGTCTGTCCGTCCGTCCGTCCGTCTTTCTGTCTGTCTGTAACGCTTTGGTTTCCACACGATATCTCGAGAACCCTTTGAGCTTTTGCAATGAAATTTAGCATAGCAACTCCCTATGGACTAAAGAAGACCCCTATTGATTTTGAGGTCAAAAGGTCAAAGGTCAAGGTCATAAATAAGCAAATTCTGTCTGTTAAAACACTTTCGTTTCCACACGATATCTCTAGAACCATTTGAGTAATTGCAATGAAATTTTATATAACAACTCCCTGTGGCCTAATGAAGACCCCTATTGATTTTGAGGTCAAAAGGTCAAAGTTCAAGGTCGTAAATTTATACATTCTGTCTGTTTGTAATACTATCATTTCCGGGCGATATTTCAAGAAATTGAGCTTATGCAATGTAATTTTATACCAAAATACGTCTCTTGCCCCTCTCAAAGTGCCCCGCCCCGTTTGTTTTATTAGTATTTATAGTATTACATGTCGCTATTTTTAGCGCAGGGGCATGAGGAGAGTTATTGCGTATAAAACAGGTTCTCGGCGGACTTTATGTTCTTATTACATCTATTAGAACTTTAATAAAAGCTAAATAGATCAAACACCATGGATTGTGTAAAATATTGAGAATACCGAACATGAAAACATGAATATATACATGTATGTGACTTCAGTTCTGCATATACTTCATTTCGTATAAAGCGATTCCGTGGTCTAATGGTTGTGTCTCTCGCTTCAAATGTTTCCGGGATCGAAATCCTCTCTTTTTTTTTTTTTTTTTTTAAATACTTTTTTTTTTACTAAATGATAGTATTCAGCATGTGAAATGAAAAATTTATGAGGTTATAAAATCATCATTACAGTGTGATAAACATTCCATATAAAAAATCTTCTATTCACATAATAAAGAATAAGCAATCAAATCTTTATATGCATATTGACATACATGTATTTTATTTGCTTGAGTATACATGTATACATTTAATAATTCTACAAATTCAGTCAGGGGGAGCCGACTTTTTCCCTAAGCGGGGGACACGAATTCTCTGAATTAGCTTGTTTAATAATAAAATTAAAGAAATAAAATTAAAAATCAACATATTCAAGTTCAGCATAACTTGAATTCGTATCTAGGTTTCATGTGATATGGAATGCATAATGTGTACATATATGGACTTAAAACTAAAATCCTTCAGTAATTTTTTCCTGATACATCTAAAAACAGTAGTCAATATTTATTCTGCATTCATTAATTTAAAAAGTAATGCATACCTCCGGGATTCAAATAATGATACTAGTATATTTGCACTGTAAACGACGTAACGTCAAACGCTAACATTGGTCTGTGACGCAAAAAAAGGAAGGGGTGGGGGTGGTAGGGGAATTCAAAAATTGCCTATAAATCTACATTTGCATTCGCTTTACATATGAGAACTTTTAAATTTGTAAGTTAATATATTTTTGAAGCAAAAGCAATATTCCAATTTGATTTTTTTAAAATGTGTATTTGTAGATTCATAGCAAAGTGATCGACCCCCGTCTGAAAGACGCGCGGGAACGTGATTTATTGAAAAAGGGGGAGGGGGGAATTTTCCGCTATTAAATCAAAACTGGTCGTACAAAAATTATACAAAAAATTATGAAGATTATTTTTACTACCAGCTACCTAAAGAAAGTTTTTTACCAAAATTAAACGACAGGTTTTTTCACAAAAAAAATTTGAATTTGAAAAATACACAATTTTCAAGGCTTAGATAATTCATAATTTTTCAGTTTAAGGTCTTTAAAAATTGTTTTGATGATATGTATATCCAAAAGATGACTATGTTTTTGTGTTAAATGGTTAAAGGAATAAGTCAATGAAATTTGACATTTATATCTAACCTGGCTTTTTTGAAAATCAAGGTTTAAGTAGTTCATTGATTAAAAAATTTCTCTCCTTGTAAACAACTAAAGGGGGGTAACTTTTGGAAGTTCCTGTCCAAAAACCACTCGAACGATTTTGTCCAAAATGTGCATAGATGCAGTAGATATAGTCATGTCCTAAATATACAAAAATAACGAAAATTAAACGACAGGAATTTTTGGGGGTAGGTGTGTGGTACATCCTTAAATTGTATTATGATCAGGTAACTCGATACTGTACGTATTAACAGGTAACTGTACATTGTACTTATTGACAGCTAACTGTACTATTTAAGGAATCACTGTCTAGTTAGTATAGTATGCCAGGGCATCAACGATAGTGGGAAACATGGGATAATTTTCATAATGGGCTTCGCCAGTTTTAACAGTGATTCCTTATATTTCCATTTCATTGTGAAATAAAATTGTAGACACAGATTTAAATTACACGAGGACTCCCATGACAATTTCAAAGTAGTCCTCGGCCACTGACGACAAACACAAAGGCAGCCGCTCGAGATTTACATGCATATTTGGCCTCCTTAGGGCCAGACACAGAGACAGATGCGCACGAGATTTGCATGCATATTAGGCCTTACATGTAGCTCCTGACCTATCGACCTGCCTAATTTACATTCCGGTAGAGTTATCAAGAAATTAACTCCTCTAACTTTCAAAGAGTTATCACAGAGAAAAAAAATTAGAAATGGAAATATTTACTTATAAACAAATAACTGTACACTATACTTATTGACAGCTATCTCTACTTTTTACTAATTGACAGGTAACTTGACTCTGTACATGTTGAAAGGTAAAGGGACTTTCTTCATGTGAACAGGTAACTGGACTTTGTACATGTTGACAGGTGACTGGACATTGCACATGTTGACAGGTGACTGGACATTGCACATGTTGACAGGTAACTGGACTTTGTAGTTGTTGACAGGTAACTGGATTTTGTATATGTTGACAGGTGGACTTTGTACATGTTGACAGGTAACTTGACTTTGTACATGTTGACAAGTAACTGGACTTTGTAGTTGTTGACAGGTAACTGGACTTTGTATATGTGGACAGGTGGACTTTGTACATGTTGACAGGTAACTGGACTTTGTAGTTGTTGACAGGTAACTGGACTTTGTACATGTTGACAGGAAACTGGACTTGTTATTGATTGGCAGGTTAATGTTCAGTGTACGCATTTGCAGGTAATAGTACTATGTACTTATTCACATGTAACTGTTATATATACTTGCTGACAGGTAATTGTATGCTGTACTTATTGACAGGTAACAGTACCATAAATTTATTTTATACTTCTAGGTTTCTGCACAAGATAAGGACACACCTCCAAACAAATTAGTGTACAAAGTAAAAAATAATGAAAAGTTTACTTTTAATGGAAGTAAACTAGTAATGAAAGAAAACACTACCCTAGATGTAGATAATCACCAGCCTAAAGTTATTAATGTTACAGTTACTGTCACTGACAATTCTGCCATACATAACTGTAGCAACACATCTACAATCCAAATAACAGTGGAGAACATCAACGACAACCCACCGGTGATTGACACAAGCTCCTGTGTGCAGCCGATAGCTCAGAACTTCTCCGGAACTGTATGCAATGTTAGTGCTTCTGATGCTGATCTGAACAGTGGAGATTTTACATTCTTTCTCACACAGTCTTATGGAATATTTAGCATTGAGACCAACACTGGTGAACTTTCAGTTCTACCAAACCAGACACTCAAGGCAAATTTTACTTACAATGTTAACATTGTGGTCAGTGATCATGGCAGTCCTCCGCTGATGAGTCAAGACAACATAAACATTTTTGTCATTGCTGCAAACAATTTCCCTCCTTTGTTTTCTAACAAGACTGCTACAGTTAATATTGAAGAACATTTGTTTCCCCATTCTGTATATAATATGACAGCTACAGATGGGGACATTGGAAAAGAAGGGGGAATACGGTACAAATTGGTTGAAGGGGATTCAGCTTTTAAAATTAACCAATTAACAGGGGAGATTACTCTAAATACATTACTGATATGTGATAGACCTAACAAGTTTTACACACTGAAAGTAGAAGCTAAGGACCAAGGCTTTAACCCAATGTCTTCTACAGGGACTGTTACAGTGAATGTTATCAATGTCAATGACAAGCCAGAGTTTATAGACATTGACTACAATATCTGTGTCAATCCTCCCATAGAGGTTAACACCAGAATTGCTCAAGTTATTGCTAAAGATACTGATTCAATGTGCACAGGAAATAAAACAGATGATCAAATTACATACAGCTTAATAGATCCTACAAAGAACTTCAAGATTAATGACCAAGGAGAAATAATGGCTGCACAGAATATTACTTCTCAAAGTTTTATCTATAGTCTGGAAATTGTAGCTACTGATGTCCATGGACTCAACAACAGCAAAACTTATAATATTTCATCTGGCCAAAAGGGGGAACCTGTGATTAAACCTAAAGTCACTGAAGTCAGGATATTTGAAAATCACACCATCAACACAGCTGTAACAAAGATCAGTGCAACTGGTGATGGTGAAATCTCGTATAACATCACCAAAACATCAAAACTGAGAGATGCCTTCAGTATAGATCCTAAAACTGTAAGATCATTAATTTGTGATCACAAACTTTTTATCAGCAAGTTATCACAAAAACTTGTAAATATTCTGTAGAGATTTAGAGATCGTCTTAAAAGTAATTAATAAAAATATTCTAGGAAGAAAAATGAATAAAACTTAAACTGCAAATATACTTTAAAAAGTGGGTTTCATATTTTAGGGGATTTGGTATGGACAAAAAGGAAGAACCATGTGAATCATTAATAAACAAAATGCATGGCATGGACATGCATGTGTAATGCTAAGTCATGAATACACCAACCACTTGATAACAGCAAATTAGCTAATACTGAATACAGGGTTATTTTTGCCCCGTGTTATTTTCGCCCTTTTACACTTGCTTACAAATTTGCCCCATTTTAAATTCACTCAATCCCAGCTCTGTTTACATGTAAGAATTTATACTGTGTTATTTGAATTTGCCCCTTTTTAAATTTGTCCACTCATGACAAGGGTGAAAGGGGCAAAAATTTCCCTGTATATAGTGTATCAATGTATATACATGTACAGCAAATCTCATTTTGTAAATACAAAATGACATGTATTTGCCAATTTTGTAGGGAGAAATCAGTTTAATACGTGAACTGGATAGAGAAAGGGATGGAAACCTTGTAGAAATGATTATAGAAGCTTCAAATAAGAATGGAAGTTGCACCTCTCAGGTAATTGTTAAGTGTTCATTGCACCTCAGGTAATTTACAAGTTTAAATGCACTTCTCAGGTATTCATCACATGTTCAGTTCACCTCTCAGGTAATGGACAAGTAATCAGTGCACCTCTCAGGTAATCAGCAAGTGGTGATGGACAAGTGTTCAATGCACCTGAAAGATAAGAAACAAGTGTTAGTACACCTCTCAGGTAATAGACAAATGTAAGTGCACCACTCAGGTAATGGACAAGTGTTAGTACACCTCTCAGGTAATAGACAAATGTAAGTGCACCTCTCAGGTAATGGACAAGTGTTAGTACACCTCTCAGGTAATGGACTAGTGTTAGTACACCTTTCAGGTGATGGACAAGTGTTAGTACACCTCTCAGGTAATGGACTAGTGTTAAGGCACTTCTCAGGTAATGGACAAGTGTAAGTGCACCTCTCAGGTAATGGACAAGTGTTAGTACAGTGGACCTTCAGATATACGGACGTCAGATATCCGGGTGCTTCAGTATCCGGACGATCTTTCATCGGAACGGAATTTTTTAATGTTATTTTTCCTTGTTTAACTGGTGATTCAGATATCCGGACGCTTCACATATCCGGACAAATTGACTGGGAACCAAAGCATCTGGATAAATGAGGCTCCACTGTACACCTCTCAGGTAATGGACTAGTGTTAAGACGCCTCTCAGGTAATGGACAAGTGTTCAGTGCACCTCTCAGGTAATGGACTAGTGTTCAGTGCACCTCTCTGGTAATGGACAAGTGTTCAGTGCACCTCTCAGGTAATAGACAAGTGTTCAGTGCACCTCTCAGGTAATGGACAAGTGTTCAGTGCACCTCTCAGGTAATGGACTAGTGCTAGTGCACCTCTCTGGTAATGGACAAGTCCGCAGTGCACCTCTTAGGTAATGGACAAGTGTTAGTGCACCTCTCAGGTAGTAGACAAGAGTTAGTACACCTCTCAGGTAATGGACTAGTGTTAGTACACCTCTCAGGTAGTGGACAAGTGTTAGTACACCTCTCAGGTAATGGACTAGTGTTAGTACACCTCTCAGGTAGTAGACAAGTGTTAGTACACCTCTCAGGTAATGGACAAGTGTTAGTACACCTCTCAGGTAATGGACTAGTGTAAGTACACCTCTCAGGTAGTAGACAAGTGTTCAGTGCACATCTCAGGTAATGGACAAGTTTAGTACACCTCTCAGGTAATGGACAAGTGTTAGTACACCTCTCAGGTGATGGACAAGTGTTAAGACACCTCTCATGTAGTGGACAAGTGTTAGTACACCTCTCAGGTAATGGACAAGTGTTAGTACACCTCTCAGGTAATGGACAAATGTAAGTGCACCTCTCAGGTAGTGACAAGTGTAAGTACACCTCTCAGGTAATGGACTAGTGTTAGTACACCTCTCAGGTAATGGACTAGTTTTAAGGCACCTCTCAGATGATGGACTAGTGTTAGTACACCTCTCAGGTAATCAGCAAGTGTTGAGTGCCCCTCTCAGCTGATGGACAAATGTTAGTGCACCTCTCTGGTAATGGACAAGTGTTCAGTGCACCTCTCAGGTAATGGACTAGTGTTAAGGCACCTCTCAGGTAATGGACAAGTGTTCAGTGCACCTCTCAGGTAGTAGACAAGTGTTAGTACACCTCTCAGGTAATGTACTTGTGTTAGTACACCTGTCAGGTAGTAGACAAGTTTAGTACACCTGTCAGGTAATGGACAAGTGTAAGTACACTTCTCAGGTAATGGACAAGTGTGCAGTGCACCTCTTTAGGTAATGGACAAGTGTTAGGGCACCTCTCTGGTAATGGAAAAGTGTTAGTACACCTCTCAGGTGATGGACAAGTGTTAAGGCACCTCTCATGTAGTAGATAAGTGTGAGTACATCTCTCAGGTAATGGACAAGTGTTAGTACACCTCTCAGGTAATGGACAAGTGTTAGTACACCTCTTAGGTAACGGACCTCTCAGGTAATAGACAAGTGTTCAGTGCACCTCTCAGGTAATGGACTAGTGTTGGTACACCTCTTAGGTAATGGACAAGTGTTAGTACACCTCTCAGGTAATAGACAAGTGTTAGAGCACATCTCAGGTGATGGACAAGTGTTAGTACACCTCTCAGGTAATCAGCAAGTGTAAGTGCCCCTCTGGTAATGGACAAGTGTTAGTGTACCTATCAGGTAATGGACAAGTGTTAGTACACCTCTTAGGTAATGGACAAGTGTTAGGGCACCTCTCAGGTAATAGACAAGTGTTCAGTGCACCTCTCAGGTAATCAACAAGTGTTTAATGTTGTGTATTCCCCTGTGATGAAGAGATCAAAAAGTAATCATAATTTTTTGGGTGTTTTTAGGTTATTATTCATATTGAGGATGTCAACAATAAGTCTCCATATTTTGTGGATATTCCATACAATCTTCAGATTCAAGAAAATTCTCCAGGAACAGACCAGTGTATATTAAATATTTCTGCAGGGGATCCAGATTTAAATAACCAGGTATTTATAATAATCATTACATTTACTGGTGCTCATATCATGAAAGTGTCAGATTAATAATGAAATGCATGTCAATTTAAGATGTTAATTTAAGTATGAATTTGAACTGTTTAAAGGGATTTTTATACCCCCCGCAAACGAAGTTTGGGGGGGGGGGGTATATAGGAATCACCTTGTCCGTCTAGCTGTCCGCCTGTCTGTCTGTCTGTGCAAACGTGTCCGGTCCATATCTTTCTTACGAGGAACATTAGAATCTACTACTCCACACAAAAATTGCCCATGACCTAAGGGTTTGTCATGACCTTGATCCAAGGTCATTTGGGGAAGTTCAAGGTCACTGGAAGAAAAATTTCATAATTCATGTGTGATACATATCTTTCTTATGGATAAACTTGGTAGGTTCTCATTTCATACAAAGATTGCCCATGACCCAAGGGTGTGTCATGACCTTGACCCAAGGTCATTTGGGGAACTTCAAGGTCACTGGAAGGAAAATTTCATAATTCACGTCCGGTCCATATCTTTCTTATGGATAAACTTGGTAGGTTCTCATTTCACACAAAGATTGCCCATGACCCAAGGGTGTGTCATGACCTTGACCCAAGGTCATTTGGGGGAAGTTCAAGGTCACTTGGAGAAAAATTTCATAATTCATGTGTGATACATATCTTTATTATGGAAAAACTTACTTCTGAAAAACCCGGCGGGGGGGTATTTTGTCCGGTTTGGACAGTTCTAGTTTTTATTGTGAAATATAGGTTAGAGGATAACAATAGTATTAATGTCAGTAGTGCTAAGCTTCCATACACAACTCACCAACCTTTTGTTTTGTAGCTAACGTTTAGTATAGTAAATGCCACTCTGGATGTGTTTAACATATCAACTATAGATGGTGAACCAAATCAAGCCTGTCTTCAAATAAAAAGAGCACTGGATGCAGAGACTGACCCTAATGATATTAGCCTATGGGTAAGATAACATTTACTTACTATGATGTTTGGGTCATTAGTTTACAAGTGATATATAATTACAATATTTTATACATTAACACCAATATTTCAAATGTTTGTTTAGCTAGCTAAAGAGTTTGATGATAACCTTTGAGCCTAAAGTTTCAAAAACAAACATTTTTTGTTGCTGACAAAATGCACTAGTTTTATTGGACTCTTATAGGTGAATATTTGGACAATAAAACAAAAGATAACATCAAAGCAAAGATTTAAAGGGTATTTATATATTTACAGGTGAAGGTCAATGATGGCATTCATTCCAACGATACAGAGGTGAAGGTCACAGTGCTGGATATAAATGACAACTGGCCCAAGTTCAACAAAAGTTACTCTTTCAATGTTTCTGAGGTATTATTTGGTATAATTTCTTGTATACTGTAAATTGGAGCACTAAGTTTAGCTGTACTGATCAAAGATCAAAGGATCCTGTTTAGAGATGAAATGTCTACATGGATTTTTTAAAATTTTCTCAAACAACTCTCAGATTTCAATAAAGGTAGAATAAAGTAATTGAGATGGAAATGTTTTTCCTAATATTACTCTCAATGAAAGTTCTACTGTAGTTTTTAAGAATATATTCATAATAATATAAAATCATTCTTAAATGCTTCTATTTTGAAAATATTTATCTGATTTGTGATTATTTGTGAAAAAGACTGGTTCGGGTGGGGGGATCGTTTTCTGTTTAATACTTTAAACAAACTTTTGGTTGCGAAAACTTTATTTCCCGGCAATTTCAGCACTTCAAGTTCTGGAGGAGCATGGGGTATGTGAGCTAAATTTGCTCACTTTTTCTTTCATTCCTCTTGCTTTTGGGCAAAATAGCTTCATCTGCCAGTTTATTTTGTTTTATTTCATACTTCTATAGATTCTTTACAGTGTTGTATTATCCTCAGGTGACTATTAAGGCCCTTGGGCCTCTTGATTATGATATATTGCCTTTTGTAGGATGTTTCATTGGGAAGACTAAAATCTGACATCATTTCTGCATATGATAGGGATGGACTGGACAAAAACAAATTGAGATATGCTATTATATCTAATGATAGTAAGTATCTTTCTAAGATTGAACTTTCTTGCCTCTTTCTTTCTAATGGTTTTTCTTTTTGTGCATTCTTCAAAAGATTATTTATGTTGTGTAAATACAAAGTGTTTGAAGATTATATGTATGTACAGACTTAAAATCTCCTAGTCCAGTACATGCAACTCTAAAAGATTAATGAATTAGACCTCGGTACTCCTTAATGGAATTCTAAGAAGAATTTTTACTTGAGCCTTAGAGGGGCTTGAGTTATCTAAATTGATGCTAAGTCATTGATTTATTCAGTTTAAAAACAGGAACATATATGTATTATTTGTATGAAAAAAACATTTCTAGAAACAAAATCAAAGGTTATCTTGAAAACATCTGTATATTCAAAGATATTAATCGTTAAATATCAGATTATATTCTATAACAAAGGAATGAATGAATCTATCAGCTGCAACAGTTCTATACAAAGATTTTTTGCAGGTTTACCCTTCGTTAAATTCAGACTTCTTTGTGTGATAGTACCGGGTATTTTGATATGCACACATGTTAACATTTATCCCAATAGGCCTATTATTTTGTTAATTAAAAAAATTAGGTTAATTAAGATAACTAATGGCTAATACTTGATTTTGTATGAAAGACTCTATCACTGGAAAGATAGATGGTACACATGTAGTACAGGCCCGTAGTGAACAGGATTTTATTTTAGGCTCCCTCTCCTTCAACTTTAAAAAAAAAGGTTTTCCTAAAAAAAAAAAAGGTTTTCCAAGAGAAAGCTATCGAGAAAGCTTTCTGACTTGCTGTTTATCAAATTTTGCAATGTCAATTAGAAATAAATACTTGGTATTTTAATCTCAATATAAACCTCAGTTTTATACATGTTTAGGTAAATGCATAAAAATAAAATGATTTAAAGTAATCCTTAAACCCCTATATTTGTGAGTAGTGTAGACTATATGGAGTGGAATGATAAAAAATAACAGATAATTGAATCCTCCCAGCTGCCTTTTCAAAATTTTAGTTGCAAAATTTTATACCCAATTTAGAAATTAATTGCTTGTACATATACAGTGGACCTTCAGATATCCGGATGCTTCAGTATCTGGACGATTTTTCATCGGAATGGAATTTTTAGGTCACCTGAGTCACTGGGATGAAAATCACTAAAATTAATGAAATGTTTAAAAATCTTCTTTAATCCTGGACAATAAATAAGCAGGCAAACTATTGGTGTGAATGTAAAGAGCATGGCTGCATTTCATTTCTGGAATTTTGAGCAATTATCAACTTTTCATTTCCGACATTTTTTAGTTTTCATTTCCGACATTTTTTTGTTTTCATTTCCGACATTTTTCAGATAGTATACCTTTAGTTACAGATTTGAAGACTTTACCTATAAAAAAAATTAAAGAATACAAATCATAAATAAATCATTGAAATCCAAGTTCTGAGTTTTTATAAATTTATCAATGAAACGACTGTGAAAATGAAAAAAGCAGGCATCTTCCTAAATTAAAGTTCGAGTGATTGACTCAATGTTTACTCTGTGCAGATGTAAAGCAGAAAAAAAAATAAAATTCTGTGTAGAGCAGTATAATAAATGCGTTATCAACCGAAGTAAAAACTTTCTTCATAACTACATTGTATACTTGTGATAATGCGTATGTATTAAGCAAATAAAGAATAATAAAAATGGTGCTGTCACTGATATTTTAGTGAAATTTGGAAACTGCATTTTCTTTTTCTTTTATAATTATATTATATTTAGTTTATACCAATATTTTGCATTAAATACTTTTGAAATTTCATTTACATATTAACGAAAATATTAAATTGCCGCACAGGTAAATTCCGGAAATGAAAACAAAATTATGTCGGAAATGAAATAAAAAAATGTCGGAAATGAAATAAAAAAATGTCGGAAATGCTATGCAGATTTCCGGAAATGAAATGCAGCGATGAGCATTGAGTCCTCTACCAAAATTGTTTAATTCATGACCCCTTGTCTTCTCTGCTCCTGGATATTAAGTAAACTAACTTAGTATATAGTTATGATGCCTTATTCAAATTTGTAAATTTCTTGACCCTTGTTATGTTCCCCAAACGAAGTTGGGGAACATATTGTTTTTACTCTGTTTCTTATTATTATTATGTTCCCCAAACGAAGTTGGGGAACATATTGTTTTTACTCTGTTTCTTATTATTATTATTATTTTTCTTCTTCCTGGGTACTTTTTTGTCCGGGAGTGATCTTGTAAACTACACATCCGACTTAGGTAAAACCTTTTTAGGATCAGTAGGCATGTTATGTAGATTTGCGGAACGAAGGTCATTTTGCGCGCACGTGCTTGCAAGAGCGTGCACGTGCAACACGTGAAATGACCGATTTAATTGATATAGACGTAACTTTTCACATTTTTGATGAAATGCTTTGAAACTCACAATATAAGGATATATTAGTAGCATAGACAATATGACATGGTCAAAATAGCAAGAACTCACGCGCATGCACGTGCTTCGCTCTGATTGGCTGAAACTAAAGTCTCAATATCTTTCTTGTTTTTTGACGAAATCCTTTGAAATTTTGAGCATAGCCATACATTAGGATATCCTACAGCATGATATATAGCAATTATCATGAAAACACGTGCATGCACGTTTGCTGCAATCTGATTGGCTTAAACTTTAAATAGCTATAACTCCCTTGATTTTCAACCAAACAGGGTGGGATTTGGAACATAGATAGATATGATGGACCTCTACAAGAAGGTATGGTCACCATGCACATGCATACACGTGCGTGTACATGTGACGCAATCTCATTGGCTGAAACTTTAAACCGCTATTACTTCCTTGGTTTTCAACCAAACGGGGTGGGATTTAGAACATAGATAGATGTAATGGACTTCTACAAGAAGGTATGGTCACCATGCTCATGCATGCACGTGCGTGCATATGAAATGAGTAAATTCAAAAATACACTTGAATGAGCGCATTCTTTTAATACTTTTGGATTAATTACTTTAATATTTAGTATATTGAAATATATAAATTCTGTAGACAATATGATATGGTCATTACGCACAGGCATTCACACGCGCACGTGTGCAATGCTAAAATTTGAATGAACTTGGTACACTTCTGGGTAAACGTTGTTAAAGTCTCAAATACATAGAGTTTGTCTTATTTAATGAAGCGTAAAGGGGATATGGCACCAAAAGGGAGTTGGGGAGCGTTTGGGGAACATCTGTAACGGTCCCCGTTACAATTAGCACTAGTTATTATTATTATTATTATTATTATTATTTTTCTTCTTCTTCCTGGGTACTTTTTTGTCCGGGAATGATCTTGTAAACTGTTCGTCCGATGTAGGTAAAATATTTTTAGGGTAAGTAGACATATTATGTAGATTTGCGGAATGAAGGTCATTTTGCGCGCACGTGCTTGCAAGAGCGTGCACGTGCGACACGTAAAATGACCAATATAATCGATATAGCGGCAACTTTTTTATTTTTTGATGAATTGCTTTGAAACTCATAATGTGAGGATATATTAGTAGTATAGACATGATGAGATGGTCAAAATAACAAGATCTCACGCGCTTGCACGTGCGCTTCGCTCTGATTGGCTGAAACTAAAGTCTAAATATCTTTCTTGTTTCTTGTCATAATCCTTTGAAATTTTGAACATAGTCCTACATTATAAAGATCTACAGCCTGATATATAAGAATTTTCAAGAAAGCATGCGCATGCACGTGTGCTGCAATCTGATTGGCTGAAACTTTATATAGTTATAACTCCCTTGGTTTTCAATCAAACAGGATGGAATTTGGAACATAGATAGATATAATGGACTTCTACAAGAAGGTATGGTCACCATTCACATACATACACATGCGTGTACGTGCGCTGCAATCTGATTGGCTGAAACTTTATACAGCTATAAGTCCCTTGGTTTTCAACCAAACGGGGTGGGATTTAGAACATAGATAGATGTAATGGACTTTTACAAGAAGGTATGGTTACCATGCTCATGTATGCACATGCGTGCACGTGAAATGAGTAAAATCAAAAATACACTTGAATGAGCGTATTTTTTAATCATTTTGGATTAAATACTTTAATATTTAGTATATTTAAATATATAGATTGTATCTGTAGGCAAGATGATATGGTCATTACGCAAATGCATTCACATGCGCACGCGTGCGATGCTAAAATTTGAATGAACTTGGTACACTTCTGGGTAAACGTTGGTAAAGTCTCAAATGCATCGAGTTTGTCTTATTTAATGACGTTTACAGGGAATATGGCACCAAAAGGGAGTTGGGGAGCGTTTGGGGAACATCTGTAACGGTCCCCGTTACAATTAGCACTAGTTTCAGGTGTTTTGCCATTTGGTGAAAGTGGGGATCTTTTGATTATGTATTGAAAATACATTTATTCTTTGAAAATCATTTTCTTTGCTCCGGGGTATTTTGCTAATGATCCAAGTTTATATATTTATGATGAAGTAAGGTGCATCTAGCAAAATGGTTAATTTCCTGCCCCCCTGGGTCAGGGGTATCGAGGGGGGGGGGGGGGGTTACATAGACTGAAAATAAATTAATGCTTTGAAATCTGCTCTTTGGTATTAATCAACCATTTATGATGAATTAAAATTCATGGTAAAATTTCCAAAATTTTTAAATATGTGGCCCCAGGGTCAGTGGTTTCTTTGGGATGCACAAGTGGTTATAAAGTGGAAGTGCATTTTCTCTTTGTTATTCTGATCTACCTCTGGGTATGAAGTAAATAGAGTAAGCATGCTTAGTTTATAATTATGATAAGCAATGGTGCCTCTTTCCAAATTTTCAGAATTTCAAGGCCTCTGGTTTAAAACACAAACCAAATTCAATTGACCTATAAGGCCCTTGGGCCTCTTGTTAAATGTTATTTTAATTGTCTTGTTTAACGGGTAATTCAGATATCTGGAAGCTTCACATATATCCAGACAAATTGACTGGGAACCAAAGCGTCAGGATAAATGAGGCTCCACTGTACATGTACAATTTTTTGTTAAAATAACATTATTAAAAATGTTATTTATGTCTAAGTTGTTTTAATTTGTTTCTGTTTGATACAGGTGAGAGTTTGCACTTTGGGCTGGATCCACAGTCTGGTGTTCTCAGTGTTGTACACAAGTTGGATAGGGAAACCAAGGAAGCCTATTCTTTAGATGTGACTGTTCACGACAGTTGGAAAAACCACACGGTTAGATTTCATGGCCTTTTTTAACATCACTAGAATCAATGTTGGCATTTGCAAATAAACTTGCTTTAATTAAAGTATTCTGTGATGTGGATTTAAATTACATTGGAATGTAAGGAGCCAATAATTTATTCTGAACTTGATAGGAAAGAAAATCCCAAGAAAGCCAGGTGTAATGGGAACCTTATGAAAAGAAAATGTAATTTTTTTAGAGCATGGCCTGGCTAATAGAGAGGTTCAAAAGTTTTTTGTTTTTTTTTTAATTAAAAATGAATTTGAAAAAGTTACGAAATTTTCACATTCATCATGAAATTTATCAAATTGAATATAGATTGAAGTTTGTTCTTATCATGATTCACTTAGGAGTAGCTGATGTTTGCCGTCAAGATTTACCGTATAGTAACTTTTCTAAAAATCAGATTTTTGGGAGTTAAATTTGGTCCAAAACTCTTTTGGGAGTTAAACTTTGGTCCAAAACTCTAGGTCCAACTTATAGACAAGTTATAAAAAGACTGGTATTTAAGAAGGTCAATCCCTCTAATATACACATGTAAGCTTTAAAAATACATTCGATTTATAGGCTAGTATTATACGATATAAAAGGGCAGAATGTAAGAAGGGCGAGAATCCTGTCTGTAAACATGTTAATAAGATGACCATTGAATTTTTATTGTCTTCTTGTAATTTGCAGGTATCTACCTTTGTGAATATAACAGTACTTGATATCAATGATAATACACCAACATTTGTGAACAAAACCATGACAAATTCTGTTCTTGAGGGTGAGTACATGTTTGCATGTCTATTTGCTAAAAACTATATGTCAGTCTTAAAAAAAATTGTATTCATTTCAATTTTTCACTCAGAAATATAAGCATAGACTAAACTCATATGATATTGTATGATATACATGAATTTATGGCTTGATAATTTTGTTAATTTTCAAATTTGTAGGAAGTGATAGCAAACAATTGACAATACCACTGACTGTTACTGACCCAGACTCGGGAGAAAATGGAACTGTGACCTTTACTTTGGTAGATAACTATGATGGACACTTTAAACTGGAGAATGAGTCCAGTCACACTGTGAGTATAATATAAGTTAGAACATGAATTGTGAGACCTGACTCTCAGAATAACTTTGCTTTTGTAGCCACTCTGCAAATAGGAAATGATGAACTAGCAACACATGGTCCATCGCTACCTGTCTCTATCTGTCCATATTTACCTGTCTCTACCTGTCTGTGTATACCTGTCAATCTCTACCTGTCTATCTACCTGTCTGTATATACCTGTCTGTCTCTACCTGTATGTATATGCCTGTCTGTATATACCTGTCCGTCTCTACCTGTATGTATATACCTGTCCATCTCTACCTGTCAGTATATACTGGTCTTTCTCTTCCTGTCCACCCTTACCTGTCTGTCTCTACCTGTCTATCTCTACCTATCTATCTCTACCTGTCTATCTCTACCTGTCAATCTCTACCTGTCTATTTCTACCTGTCTATCTCTACCTATCTATCTCTACCTGTCTGTATATACCTGTCTATCTCTACCTATCTATCTCTACCTGTGTATCTTTACCTGTCTATCTCTACCTGTCTGTATATACCTGTCTATCTCTACCTGTCTATCTCTACCTATCTATCTTTACCTATCTATCTCTACCTATCTATCTCTATCTGTCTGTATATATTTGTCTATCTCTACCTGTTTATCTCTACCTATCTATCTCTACCTGTCTATCTCTACCTGTCTGTATATACCTGTCTATCTCTACCTGTTTATCTCTACCTATCAATCTTTACCTGTCTATCTCTACCTATCTATCTCTACCTGTCTGTATATACCTTTCCATCTCTCCTTTTCTGTCTCAAACTGTAATTTATAAAGCTAAAACAAAACAATGTAAATATGTATAATAGAACAGGAAAACAATTTTATTACATGAATACCATAGAAATGAAGGAATATTAAAACAAAAGTTAAAAACAAAAGAAATCTCTCATTTGGATTCGATAATTAAATGTTAAGAACCAGGTGCCTCTTGTTACAGGCCAAAATTACTGTTGTAAAAGAGCTGGATCGTGAGGCTAAGGGTATCCTTATCACGTCTAATGGAAGTGCCCTGTATACATTAGAAGTTGTGGCAGCTGACCAAGGGAAACCTTCTCTATCATCGACAGGTACAGTAAGTGTTTCATTATTACTAAACAGTAAGTGTTCACTATTACTAAACAGGCTAAAATTGTTGAGGATGCATTGGTTCATGGGGAAATGTACATGTAATAAAGCAAAATATAGTAAACTAGGATTATTTTATTTTGTGTTATTACATTTTATGACAAAATTAATGCAGAATGTAATCATGCAATATTTTTTATTTCTTGTCTAAAATTCATGCTGATCAAGGAAATAACAAAATAATAATCTTTTTTTTTTTTTCATTTGCATTATTACATTTTGCATTGTTATTGATGAAAATGAAAGAACACAAAGTGGCGCATCAATCCTTGAATATAAACTTTTTGCATTGTAATTACATTTCACATTGTAACAATGCATATGTATGATACTTGTCAGTTCTAAGATTAATTTACTTTATCTAGTGCTTCACTTCTCTGGGGTAGGTTTTGTATATTTAAGTAAGCATTTTTGGCTCACTGAAATAAATGAATACATACTATCAAACTTGTGTTGGATGTTGGATCTGACTTACATTTGGATAAGGTCCATTCCAACATAGTTATTAGCCCTTCCTCTACCAACATGCATGAATGATGCATTAAGAAATGTACACTTCCAGACTTGCTTCAGATGCTGGAGCTGTCCTCTCCTCAAACAGTACCATTCCCATGTGACTGTAATATCTACCTATACAAAGTTAAATGGTATAAACACTACCAGATATCATTCGTTCTGATGATTAACTACATGTATATTCTCAAGCTTATTGAAACAGTAAAAATATTAACATCCCAAAAACATGCATCTAAAAATGTGCACTACTTGAACTTTGCATTGATGAGGTGAAACAATATTCTTTTGTAGATAACATTCCTCAAAGAAAGCTTTGTAATCTGTGATTAAAGCCTGTGTTTTTGTATTTAGGTACAGATATATGTAACTGACATCAATGACTGTACCCCTGAGTTTGAAAAAACAAACATGGGGGCAGAGGTAATGGAGGGCAGCAAAGAGGGGTTCTCTGTGTACCGCGTCACAGCCACCGATTGTGATTACAACCCAGAGTATAAAAACCTAACCTACAATATATCAGGTGCTGATCAAGGTAAACATGACTCACATAACTATTGTGATCAGTGATCTACATCACTCTTTAAATTCACATTTATAACTGTAAATTGTACATGCTGAGATGTGAATCAAACATTGATATGAACACCTTCCGATATATATCCAACTCGATCTTTCTATTGCTTATTAAGGTAAATGCAATATCAGGAAGTAATTAGCTGTCATGAATGTATGGGAATTGGGTTAGTTGGCCTGGAAGCTCATTGATAAAGCATCCACACTGTTGGCAGTAGGTCCAGGTTCGAATCCCAGTCTGTCTGACATTTTCTGAGTTTGTTACTTAATCATTTAGGTTTCTTTTTTGCAGAATACTTCAGTATTGAGAAAGACGTATATGGAGACTTCCAAGTTGGGGTTATAAAACTGAAGAAGCAGATTAGTATTGACATTAAGGAGACGTATGTAATTAACATCAATGTAACAGACGGAGTAAACAGCAATCAGGTATAAACTGCAGTGTATAGAAGAACTTTGGTTAACTTGGCTATCAATTTCAAAAAGATTGGATGAATTAGAATTTGTCTCATTTTGGATTTAGTTTGTGATGAAGACCTGGTAGCCATTTTGATGTCTCTAAGTTTTGTAACAGCTAGTGTTCTAGTATTTCATTATCTCATTATCATTATTCCTTCATCATTAAAACAAATGTGACATATTTCACTCATGTGGCACTGGGACTCATTGTAATATTAAATATTTACAGTCCATAAAAAGATTATTGGAGTTAAATGTACATTTTAATAGTCAGTTTTATGAGAGTGCTATTTTCATTACATCTTTATTTTAAAAAAAAGCTCTGTCATTTGGTTTTCAGACGTCATTGACTATCACTGTAGTGGATGTAAATGACCATGATCCAGAGTTTTCAGAATCACTGTACAACTTCTCAACCCCAGAAACTGACGACCAACCTCAGGGGGACCATCTCAGAGTTAAAGTTGGTCAAGTCAATGCAACAGACAGGGACCCATATAAAAATGGAGAAATCTCCTACAGAATTGTTACATCTGATGTGGAGAACCTCTTCAATATAACACAGGTTAGAACAATTTTATGGAAGATTTTCAACTTGGTTTCCTGCAGTTCTTAGAGACACTTTAATCCTTTTGTCTGTCTGTCTGTGAGATGAAATGATTTGTTTGTTGATTTTTGTGACCAGGACGGGGAAGTCTTTCTGATTGGTGAGGTGGATAGAGACCAGTGCACCAATCACAAATACACCTTTACCGTGATAGCTGAGGATGAAGGTTCTCCCAAACGAACGGTAAGGACAGTCAAATACAGTAATGGTAAAGACACGGTCAGATGCAGTAATGGTAAGGACAGTCAAATACAGTAACAGTAAAGACAGTCAAATACAGTAATGGTAAAGACACGGTCAAATACAGTAATGGTAAAGAAACGGTCAAATACAGTAATAGTAAAGACAGTCAAATGCAGTAATGGTAAAGACAGTCAAATACAGTAATGGTAAAGACAGTCAAATACAGTAATGGTAAAGACACAGTAAAATGCAGTAATGGTAAAGACAGTCAAATACAGTAATGGTAAAGACACGGTCAAATACAGTAATGGTAAAGACAGTCAAATACAGTAATGGTAAAGACATGGTCAAATACAGTAATGGTAAAGACATTCAAATACAGTAATTGTAAAGACACAGTCAAATACAGTAATAGTAAAGACAGTCAAATATGGTAACGGTAAAGACAGTCAAATACAGTAATGGTAAAGACAGTCAAGTACAGTAATGGTAAAGACACAGTCAGATGCAGTAATGGTAAAGACACAGTCAAATACAGTAATGGTAAAGACAGTCAAGTACAGTAATGGTAAAGACACAGTCAAATACAGTAATGGTAAAGACACAGTCAAATACAGTAACGGTAAAGACAGTCAAATACAGTAATGGTAAAGACACAGTCAAATACAGTAACGTTAAAGACACTCAAATACAGTAAAAACTCGGTCAAATAGAGTTATGGTATAGACACAGTCAAATACAGTAATGTTAAAGACACAGTCAAATACAGTAATGTTAAAGACACAGTCAAATACAGTAATGGTAAAGACAGTCAAATACAGTAATGGTAAAGACACAGTCAAATATAGTAATGGTAAAGGCAGTCAAATACTGTAATGGTAAAGGCAGCCAAATACAGTAGTGGTAAAGACAGTCAAATACAGCAATGTTAAAGACACAGCAGATGCAGTAATGGCAAAGACAGTCAAATACAGTAAGGGTAAAGACAGTCAAATACAGTAACAGTAAAGACAGTCCAATAAAGTAACAGTAAAGACAGTCAAATGCAGTTATGGTAAAGACACAGTCAAATGCAGTCATGGTAAAGACACAGTCAAATGCAGTCATGGTAAAGACAGTCAAATACAGTAATGTTAAAGACAGTCAAATACAGTAATGGTAAAAACTCGGTCAAATACAGTAACGATAAAGACACAGTCAAGTACAGTAATGGTAAAGACACAGTCAAATGCAGTCATGGTAAAGACACGGTCAAATGCAGTAACGGTAAAGACAGTCAAATGCAGTAATGGCAAAGACAGTCAAATACAGTAACGGTAATGACAGTCAAATGAAGTAACGGTAAAGACAGTCAAATGCAGTATGGCAAAGACAGTCAAATACAGTAACAGTAATGACAGTCAAATGCAGTAATGGTAAAGACAGTCAAATGCAGTAATGGTAAAGACAGTCAGATGCAGTAATGGTAAAGACACGGTCAAATGCAGTAACGGTAAAGACAGTCAAATACAGTTATGGTAAAGACAGTCAAATACAGTAATGGTAAAGAAAGTCAAATGCAGTAATGGTAAAGACAGTCAAATGCAGTAATGGTAAAGACAGTCAGATGCAGTAATGGTAAAGACATGGTCAAATTCAGTAATGGTAAAGACACGGTCAGATGCAGTAACGGTAAAGACAGTCAAATACAGTAATGGTAAAGACAGTCAAATGCAGTAATGGTAAAGACAGTCAAATACAGTAACGGTAAAGACAGTCAAATACAGTTATGGTAAAGACAGTCAAATACAGTAATGGTAAAGAAAGTCAAATACAGTAATGGTAAAGACACAGTCAAATACAGTAATGGTAAGGACAGTCAAATGCAGTAATGGTAAAGACAGTCAAATACAGTAACGGTAAAGACAGTCAAATACAGTAATGGTAAAGAAAGTCAAATGCAGTAATGGTAAAGACAGTCAAATGCAGTTAGGGTAAAGACAGTCAAATACAGTAATGGTAAAGACAGTCAAATGCAGTAATGATAAAGACAGTCAAATACAGTAACGGTAAAGACAGTCAAATACAGTTATGGTAAAGAGAGTCAAATACAGTAATGGTAAAGAAAGTCAAATGCAGTAATGGTAAAGACAGTCAAATGCAGTTATGTTAAAGACAGTCAAATACAGTAACGGTAAAGACAGTCAAATGCAGTAATGGTAAAAATACGGTCAAATGCAGTTACAGCAAAGACACAATCAAATACAGTAACAGTAAAGACAGTCAAATACATGAACTTATTAGTAGAAGAATTCTAGTATGTCTTTGAACATTGATCTTTCAATAAGTTTACTATGCTGTAATTACATGCATTATTTTTGAAAATCCATCAGCATGAAAACTTAAGTCTTAAATCAAAATATATTTGTGATATACATGTATTGACATGCCTGTGTAAAATTGCAGGGTTTTACGGAAGTTGTGGTGAACATTACTGATGTAAATGATAATTCTCCTGTGTTTAAGAAGACAAATTACACAGGGTCCGTAAAGGAAAACTCACCTAATGGAAGCAGTGTCTTGTTTGTAAGTGCTTGTTTAGATTGTCAATTAATTTCTCTGTCTAGATGAAAAATATTCTTATCTTATAATGGAATTAAATTTTATCCACAAAGTGCAGAAAAATAATGGTGCAGAGAAAATTATTTGCTTTTATTAGTTGGCATAATATGAAGATTTAAAAGGAAGTCAAAATGATCAAAAAACAGTGTTATTGGAAGAATTTATGATTTGAATATAATTATCAGATGAATTTTGTACAAATAATATTGTCTTTTAAATTGAAAGAAGATTTGAAATTTAAAAATAAAGTAAAAGATGATGGGGGAAGTAAAATAGCATACATACTTGTTGACTATTCACTAATAAGATACACCAGCTTTCAATAATGTATGAAAATGAATGTCATAGAATCCACCTATTTCTGCTGAGGATGAAGATGAGTCAATAAACGGGACTGTTGGAATTCGCTTCTTCATCACGAGATCTGATGCTGCTGAGTTACCATTTACCATTGATAAAACAACAGGAAGAATTCTGGTGAATAACTCAGCAATACTTGACAGGGAAACAAAATCTAACTACACAATCCTGGTGAGTGAATCTCCAAACATTTGGCAACATATTCTAGAGTGTTGTGGACTTTGAGGTTCAAGTTTTCTGACTTACTAACCAGCCATTTTTCTGTTTTATTAAAACATAAAGTCTGAGTAGAAACCATCTCTATAACATGTATCTTTTATCTACTATGCAGGTGGAGGCCAGGGATAGAGAAGGAGGTCATGGCTGTCGTTCAAACACCACAAACGTGAAAGTCAATGTATTGGATGCCAATGATAACCTACCCCAGTTCACCAATACAAGTTACAGTTTCAGTGTACTGGAGGATGCGTTGTATGGGGAATTAGTGGGCAGTGTTACAGCCCAGGACCCTGACTTAAATTCTGTACTTACCTACTACATAACCTCAGGAGGAGATGGACATTTCTCTATCAATGACAAAACTTCTGGTTGGTTTCCCTTTTTTCATGCTTCAAGGTTCAAAATTAGAGCCATAAATTCGTTGTAGTGTGTGTTTGAATGATTTTATAATAATTTTTTGAAAGTTTTATTAAATTGTGTGCACAGAATTACAGTTCCATTGGAACTTATACTTAGGTGATCAAATAAAAATGTATGGGATGTAGAGAGGGTACAGGTACATGTATTATGATTTGTTAAGTGATAGACATTGTAAGGTTTAACAACGCTCTGGAGTTTATTGGTTGGATTTGTATTTTGTTTTATTTTAGGAAACATAACTGTCAGCAAAAATTTGGACCGTGAGAAAAAAGCCAATTACAGCTTGGTTGTAAGAGTGACTGATGAAAAACATCACAGGAATGTAACTGTTTTAATTATCCTGGAGGATGTAAATGACAACTCTCCTGTGTTTTCCTCCTCTCTGCTCAGGGTCAGTGAAACAGAAGAAAGAAATGTCTCCTACCCAAAACAAATTTTTACTCTCAAAGCCACCGATGCTGATGAAGGGTTGAATGCAGAAATAAAGTATTTCTTGAATACATCAGCTTTAGGTATGTATAAATTAAAGTACTAAACAGTTTCTTCATTAAATGGAATTCATTACCACGTCTCTCCACACTGTTTTGCAAACCATAAGAGTTCTTTAGAAAGGAATGTAACCATCTATAGTCATTGCTTATTTTACAGTTCCAGCTTCAAACATAACCAAACTCTTCTTTCTAAATGAAACTGGTGAATTGTTCCTACGTAGAAAGTTGAACAGGGAGGAAAAGGATAAATATCCATTGTCAGTGTATGCAATGGATGGCGGGAATCGTACTACACCTGCCACAGTGGAGGTGTTGGTACTTGACATTAATGATAATGACCCCGTCTTCTACAACCATGACCACGGAGTCATCACGAACTATTCTGCCAGCGTGCTGGAGATGTCCCCCGTCAACTCCATCATATACCTCCCTGTGTGTCGAGATAAAGACGCGGGGGAGAACGGTACTATATCATTTAGTTTAAGAAGTCAGATCCCCAGTGTTAATGACCTTTTGGCAATAGATCCAGTTTTGGGGACCGTGTCCATCAAAAGTCCAATATCAGTGAACAGCCTGATACACATTACAAATGGAACGGACCAGAACAGCCTGATACACATTACAAATGGAACGGACCAGACCGTCTTCCTCACTTACATTATAACAGCCACAGATGGAGGATCTCTACCTCATTCTACCAACTTCACCCTGGAGCTTGTCGTGAAAAATATCAATGACAATGCTCCTGTGTTTGAGAAGCCTCGCTACAACTTCTCCATTCCAGAAAATGCAACAGCTAGTAAGTTACAAAGATTATTCATGTTTTATAAGTACAGTACATGTACTATAAACCAATTCAGTAGCCCATTTATAGACAACAGACCAATTATTATGAAAATTAGTTTCCTCCCATTTCTATAATTATTATTTACTTTAATTAGCAGGAAGTTTACTACAATATAACATATCTAAGATAGTTAAAATGAACATGTTCCTTAATTTGACTTGAAATCTGTCCTCTAGAAGATGCTTAGTTTACAATAATGCATTTATGCCCAGGAATGAATAACCATAGATTGTTTATTATGCTATTAAATTATCATAGCTATACAATATATTCTTATTAAGCTGTATCTAGTCGTGTACCCAGCAATGTTTTTATTTTGACAGATACTGCTGTGGGTGAAATAAAAGCGTTTGTTGTCAATGAGACTTTCCATCATCTGACCTACTCCATGATTGAACAAGCTGATGCCTCTTCTAACTTCACCGTCACCTCAGAAGTGAGTGGTCATGTGTCTGTGTTTTCTAGAAATTATGGAATAGAAGCAGTGTGACTCATAGCATTAAAATAAAATCTTATTGAAATAGTTTGTTGATCAGTACATGAAATTCAAAATAGAAAGTTTTCAATAAAAAACAATGCTTGTACCAGATTGGAGATTAATCGTAACAGTAAAATGTTCTCTTTTTTTTAACTCTTGGTATAATAAAGACTTTAAACGTTAATTTCTTTTAGGGAAAGGTTTTTACCAAGAGAGTCTTGGATCGTGAAACTAAAGGTCAGGTGACATTTGCTGCTAGAGTAGTGGATGGAAGGGTGCCTGAGAGGACAGCCTTTACTGTGGTGAGTGGTCAGGACAGTTAACAGCCTTTACTGTGGTGAGTGGTCAGAACAGTTAACTGAACAGTTAACAGCCTTTACTATGGTGAGTGGCCAGAACAGTTAACAGTCTTTACTGTGGTGAGTGGTCAAAACAGTTAACAGTCTTTACTGTGGTGAGTGATCAGAACAGTTAACAGCCTTTACTGTGGTGAGTGGTCAGAAAAGTTAACAGTCTTTACTGTGGTGAGTGATCAGAACAGTTAACAGCCTTTACTGTGGTGAGTGGTCAGAACAGTTAACAGCCTTTACTGTGGTGAGTGATCAGAACAGTTAACAGCCTTTAGTGTGGTGAGTGGTCAGAACAGTTAGCAGTCTTTACTGTGGTGAGTGGTCAGAACAGTTAACAGTCTTTACTGTGGTGAGTGGTCAGAACAGTTAACAGCCATTACTGTGGTGAGTGGTCAGAACAGTTAGCGGCCTTTACTGTGGTGAGTGATCAGACAGAACAGTTAATAGCCTTGACTGTGGTGAGTTCAGAGAACAGTTCACTGAACAGTTATCAGCCTTTACTGTGGTGAGTGGTCAGAAAAGTTAACAGAACAGTTAACAGCCTTGGCTGTGGTGAGTGGTCAGGACAGTTAACTGCCTTTACTGTGGTGAGTGTTCAGAACAGTTAACAGCGTTGACTGTGGTGAGTGATTAGAACAGTTCACAGAACAGTTAACAGCCTTGACTGTGGTGAGTGGTCAGGACAGTTAACAGCCTTGACTGTGGTGAGTGATCAGAACAGTTCACAGAACAGTTAACAGCCTTTACTGTGGTGAGTGGTCAGAAAAGTTCACAGAACAGTTAACAGCCTTGGCTGTGGTGAGTGATCAGAACAGTTCACAGAACAGTTAACAGCCTTGACTGTGGTGAGTGGTCAGGACAGTTAACAGAACAGTTAACAGCCTTTACTGTAGTGAGTGATCAGAACAGTTAACAGACCAGTTAACAGTATTTACTGTGGTGAGTGGTTAGGACAGTTAACAGAAGAGTTAACAGTATTTGCTGTGGTGAGTGGTTAGGACAGTTAACAGCCTTTATGGTGGTGAGTGGTCAGGACAGTTAACAGATCAGTTAACAGCCTTTACTGTAGTGAGTGTTCAGAACAGTTAACAGACCAGTTAACAGTATTTACTTTGGTGAATGGACAGGACAGTTAACAGCCTTTACTGTGTTGAGTGGTCAGAACAGTTCACGGAACAGTTAACAGTATTACTGTGGTGAGTGGTCAGAACAGTCAACAGTCTTTACTGTGGTGAGTGATTAGAACAGTTAACAGTATTTACTGTGGTGAGTGGTTAGGACAGTTAGCAGAAGAGTTAACAGTATTTACTGTGGTGAGTGGTTAGGACAGTTAACAGAAGAGTTAACAGTATTTACTGTGGTGAGTGGTTAGGACAGTTAACAGCCTTGACTGTGGTGAGTGGTCAGAACAGTTCACAGAACAGTTAACAGCCTTTACTGTGGTGAGTGGTCAGGACAGTTAACAGAAAAGTTAACAGCCTTTACTGTGGTGAGTGATCAGAACAGTTAACAGCCTTTACTGTGGTGAGTGGTCAGGACAGTTAACAGAAAAGTTAACAGCCTTTACTGTGGTGAGTGATCAGAACAGTTAACAGAACAGTTAACAGCCTTGACTGTGGTGAGTGGTCAGGACAGTTCACAGAACAGTTAACAGCCTTGACTGTGATGAGTGGTCAGGACAGTTAACAGAACAGTTAACAGCCTTTACTGTGGTGAGTGATCAGAACAGTTAGCAGAACAGTTAACAGCCTTGACTGTGGTGAGTGATCAGAACAGTTAACAGCCTTGACTGTGGTGAGTGGTCAGAACAATTAACAGCCTTGACTGTGGTGAGTGGTCAGAATAGTTAACAGCCTTTACTGTGGTGAGTGGTCAGGACAGTTCACAGAAAAGTTAACAGCCTTTACTGTGGTGAGTGATCAGAACAGTTAACAGCCTTTACTGTGGTGAGTGGTCAGGACAGTTAACAGAATAGTTAACAGAACAGTTCACAGAATAGTTAGCAGAACAGTTCACAGAACAATTAACAGAATAGTTAACAGAACAGTTAACAGCCTTTACTATGGTGAGTGATCAGAACAGTTAACAGAACAGTTAACAGCCTTTACTGTGGTGAGTGGTCACGACAGTTAACAGAACAGTTAACAGCCTTTACTGTGGTGAGTGGCCAGAACAGTTAACAGAACAGTTAACAGCCTTGACTGTGGTGAGTGATCAGAACAGTTAACAGCCTTGACTGTGGTGAGTGGTCAGAACAATTAACAGCCTTGACTGTGGTGAGTGGTCAGAATAGTTAACAGCCTTTACTGTGGTGAGTGGTCAGGACAGTTCACAGAACAGTTAACAGCCTTGACTGTGGTGAGTGATCAGAACAGTTAACAGCCTTTACTGTGGTGAGTGATCAGAACAGTTAACAGCCTTGACTGGTGAGTGATCAGAACAGTTAACAGAACAGTTAACAGCCTTGACTGTGGTGAGTGATCAGAACAGTTAACAGCCTTGACTGTGGTGAGTGGTCAGAAGAGTTAACAGCCTTTACTGTGGTGAGTGGTCAGGACAGTTAACAGAACAGTTAACAGCCTTGACTGTGGTGAGTGATCAGAACAGTTAACAGCCTTTACTGTGGTGAGTGATCAGACAGAACAGTTAACAGCCTTGACTGTGGTGAGTGATCAGAATAGTTAACAGCCTTTACTGTGATGAGTGATCAGAATAGTTAACAGCCTTTACTGTGATGAGTGATCAGAACAGTTAACAGAACAGTTAACAGCCTTTACTGTTGTGAGTGATCACCCAAGAACAGTTTTAATAGAACAGTCCATACCAGCTGTTGCCTTAAGGATCCTGATTCTATATCTATAAGTTATCTTCATCCAATACCAACAAAAGCAAAATATTTCCCTGTACATGCTTATTAAGAGTAGCCCAATCTTCCAAATATTGAATCCTATACCCTCTTCAAATGGCAAAATTATCATTTCAAGGTATTTAACTTTCAAAGAATATTTGTAATATTGTAAAATCTCATATTTTTGAGGGGTCAAATTTTTGTGCTTTATAGGAAAATGTATTGGTTTGTGGGGATATGATTTCGTGGTTGGAGAATTGTTCAGTAATAATATATGTGAAAATTTGCATTTTGTGGTGGACATGAATTCTGGGATCTCTTCATACCTTAAAAACAACAAAAATTAAACCCCCACGAAAATTATTGATTTTACAGTATCTCGGGTGTAAACACTCAATGTTCGAAAGTAAACTTTTACAACTTAGTCTAACTGCAATACATTGTGTATTAGTCACTGTAAAATAGAATTTTGTCTGCTAAGAGATCTGCTGAATAAAATTTATTGTACTGGCAGTGTTATTTTAATTGTGCAAATACTAGCTTACTCAGTACTTAAATCTGATTTAATCATACAGGTAGCCATAACTCTGGAAGATGTAAATGATAACAGTCCAAGTTTTGAGAAGTCAGACTACCAGTATACAGTGACAGAGAATGATGTCAACCCACCCCCTCTCATTGTAACAGCCAGTGACAGAGACGAGGGGGAAAATGCTCAGCTGACATACTCGCTTATAGGTGATACAGGTAATCCAGCTTACATACTCACTTATAGGCGATACAGGTATTCCAGCTTACATACTCATAGGTGTTAAAGGTAATCCACCTTACATACTCACTCATAGGTGATACAGGTAATCCAGCTAACATACTCACTCATAGGTGATACATGTAATCCAGCTAACATACTCATAGGTGATACAGGTATTCCAGCTAACATACTCACTCATAGGTGATACAGGTAATCCAGCTTACATACTCACTCATAGACGATACAGGCAATCCAGCTTACATACTCACTCATAGACGATACAGGCAATCCAGCTTACATACTCACTCATAGGTGATACAGGTAATCCAGCTTACATACTCACTCATAGGAGATACAGGTAATCCAGCTTACATACTCACTCATAGGTGATACAGGTAATCCAGCTTACATACTCACTCATAGGTGATACAGGTAATCCAGCTTACATACTCATAGGTGTTACAGGTAATCCAGCTTACATACTCACTCATAGGTGATACAGGTAATCCAGCTCTCATATTCACTCATAGGGGATACAGGTAATCTAGCTTACATACTCACTCATAGGTGATACAGGTAATCTAGCTTACATAATCACTCATAGGTGTTTCAGGTAATCCAGCTGACATACTCACTTATAGGCAATACAGGTAATCCAGCTTACATACTCACTCATAGTGATACAGGTAATCCAGCTTATATACTCACTCATAGGTGATAAGGTAATCCAGCTTACATACTCACTCATAGGTGATACAGGTAGTCCAGCTTACATACTCACTCATAGGTGATACAGGTAATCCAGCTTACATACTCATAGGTGTTACAGGTAATCCAGCTTACATACTCACTCATAGGTGATACAGGTAATCCAGCTCTCATATTCACTCATAGGGGATACAGGTAATCTAGCTTACATACTCACTCATAGGTGATACAGGTAATCTAGCTTACATAATCACTCATAGGTGTTTCAGGTAATCTAGCTTACATACTCACGCATAGGTGATACAGGTAATCCAGTTTACATACTCACTCATAGGTGATACAGGTAATCCAGCTTACATACTCACTCATAGGTGATACAGGTAATCCAGCTTACATACTCACTCATAGGTGATACAGGTAATCCAGCTTACATACTCATAGGTGTTACAGGTAATCTAGCTTACATACTCACTCATAGGTGATATAGGTAATCCAGCTTACATACTCATAGGTGATGCAGGTAATCCAGCTTACATACTCACTCATAGGTGATACAGGTAATCCAGCTCTCATATTCATAGGTGTTACAGGTAATCCAGCTTACATACTCACTCATAGGGGATACAGGTAATCCAGCTCTCATATTCACTCATAGGTGATACAGGTAATCCAGCTTACATACTCACTCATAGGTGATACAGGTAATCTAGCTTACATAATTACTCATAGGTGATTCAGGTAATCTAGCTTACATACTCACTCATAGGTGATACAGGTAATCCAGCTTACATACTCACTCATAGGTGATACAGGTAATCCAGCTTACATACTCACTCATAGGTGATACAGGTAATTCAGCTTACATACTCACTTATAGGTGATACAGGTAATCCAGCTTACATACTCATAGGGGATACAGGTAATCCAGCTTACATACTCACTCATAGGTGATACAAGTAATCCAGCTCTCATATTCATAGGTGTTACAGGTAATCCGGCTTACATACTCACTCATAGGTGATACAGGTAATCCAGCTCTCATATTCACTCATAGGGGATACAGGTAATCTAGCTTACATAATCACTCATAGGTGATACAGGTAATCAAGCTTACATACTCACTCATAGGTGATACAGGTAATCCAGCTTACATACTCACTCATAGGTGATACAGGTAATCTAGCTTACATAATCACTCATAGGTGTTTCAGGTAATCTAGCTTACATACTCACGCATAGGTGATACAGGTAATCCAGTTTACATACTCACTTATAGGTGATATAGGTAATCCAGCTTACATACTCACTCATAGGTGATACAGGTAATCCAGCTTACATACTCACTCATAGGTGATACAGGTAATCCAGCTTACATACTCATAGGTGTTACAGGTAATCTAGCTTACATAATCACTCATAGGCGTTTCAAGTAATCTAGCTTACATACTCATGCATAGGTGATACAGGTAATCCAGTTTACATACTCACTCATAGGTGATACAGGTAATCCAGCTTACATACTCACTCATAGGTGATACAGGTAATCCAGCTTACATACTCATAGGTGTTACAGGTAATCTAGCTTACATACTCACTCATAGGTGATTCAGGTAATCCAGCTTACATACTCATAGGTGATGCAGGTAATCCAGCTTACATACTCACTCATAGGGGATACAGGTAATCCAGCTTACATACTCACTCAAAAGTGATACAGGTAATCCAGCTTACATACTCATAGGTGTTACAGGTAATCCAGCTTACATACTCACTCATATGTGTTACAGGTAATCCAGCTTACATACTCACTCATAGGGGATACAGGTAATCCAGCTTACATACTCACTCAAAGGTGATACACTCAGCTTACAAACTCACCCATAGGTGATACAGGTTATCCAGCTTATATACACACCTCACACACTAACTAATAGGAGATAATGATATAAGGAGGTTCACCTCACACACCGACTCATAGGAGATAATGATATAAGGAGGTTCACCTCACACACCGACTCATAGGAGATAATGATATAAGGAGGTTCACCTCACACACCGACTCTTAATGATACTAGCAGGTTCAGATCTCATTCTTACTTATAAGATTTACAGAAAATAGAACAATTTGCTCATTTATGTCTAGGTCACATTAATCGGCCCGTGGCCGTAGACCGGTGGTAATCGCTGGTAATCCGTGGTGTGAGCGATGCCCAAACATCGGTCCACATCGGTCTAGTAATCCTTAAAGTATCAGTCACATTATCAAGCGATGGGGTACACGATGGGCAACCGATGCGTTTTTTGAAAAAAATGGCGTGGTTGCCGGCCGGACTTACAAAGGCCCAGCGATGCATTACTTATCAAAAAAAGATGTTTCAGGGTAATCGGCCGATGTATATTACATCGCTCATACATTGGTGAACATCGTTTGTACATCGGTAGACTATGGGCCAATGTTTGGGCAAACATTGACCAATGATCGGGCAATGTCTGTTGCCCACCACTCAACCCTCCGATGATCTTAGAATCAATGGACACTGGAGGATGCTCGGCCATACATCGGCCAGTCCTTGAAAGATGTGTAAATGATAGGTTGTCGATGAGGAGCAATGTGGGGCATCGGTGGAGACATCACTGATTTTTAACTACAAATTATCTTCTACCGATGACCCCACCGATTCGCAAAATGGTCTCAGTCACCGTCCGATTACTAGTGGTGTCCGACTGGCAACCAGGCCATTTTCATCAAAAAACGCATCGGTTTCTCATCGTATACCCCATGGCTGGATAATGTGACTGATACTTTACTTGCATCTACATGTTTCTAGGTGTAAGTGGGAAGTTTGTACTGAATGGAACAACAGGGACACTGGGGGTGAATGGTTCACTGGACAGAGAGGTGGAACCTTACTATTACTTACAAATCAGGGTTAGTATTTAACTGTAAGCTTAGAAATATTCAATTTGACTAATGTGCATGGAATTTATAATTTAAGTTTAAGAAAACATTGCTATTAAAGTAAGAAAATTCACAGGAAAGTTGATATTTGTTATCTAACCAAAGAAATTAAGCATTTTACTCCAAAAATTGTTTTATCAATATTCTGTGGTTAAAGGAATATTGCAGTTTTTATAGGCTACATGTATTTGTGTAACATTTTGCTGAAAGATTTTTTCCATATTAAAATTTGCTCAGGTCGGGTTTGAGAATATTTAGTCTATGATGATTCATATATTTGATGTAAACATTGGTAATTTGTAGGCTTTAGATAAAGGATATCCTCAGCTTTCTTCTGTTGTCAATGTCACAGTCAGAGTTAGTGATGTTAATGACCATTCACCAAAATTTAATTCATCACAACTCACAAGAAACATTTCAGAAAACCTTTCAGGGATCCAGGTAAATTATTTTTATAGAAAATGGTTTGATATAGATTAGAATTGCCTTGTATCTTGAACTTATGTTACCGTAATTAGAACTCCATTTTTATTGTCTTGTGTATCTTGACAGACAATAGCTACTGTAAGAGCAGATGATCCAGATGCTGGATTGAATGGGACCGTTGTTTATGAGTTGGAGGATGATCATGGGCTGTTCCAGATTGACTCACTTAGTAAGTCCAAGTCACTAAAGCAATTGATTTACAGTTAAGATTTAATTATCCATTGTAAATCCATTGAACTAACCAAGATAGAGAAAATGATGTTTAAAGAAAAAATTTTCAAAATATATAATTTTGTAATCTTTAGTGCAATGCAAAATCTATTATGAATTAGAAGAAAGTGTATTTAAAAATGTTGATAATTGAGCCCCAGTTTTTGATTTTAAGAAATCAAACATCTGTTTTTAGCTCACCTGAGCCGAAGGCTCAAGTGAGCTTTTCTGATCACATTTTGTCCGGCGTCCGTCTGTCCGTCTGTCTGTCTCTCCGTCTGTCTGTCTGTCCGTAAACTTTTCACATTTTCGACTTCTTCTCAAGAACCGCTGGGCCAATTTCAACCAAACTTGCCACAAAGCATCCTTGGGTAAAGGGGATTCAAGTTTGTTCAAATGAAGGGCCACGCCCTTTTCCAAGGGGAGATAATTACGAATTAGAGAAAAATTAATGGCATTTTTAAAAAATCTTCTTCTCAAGAACCACTGGGCCAGGAAAGATGAAACTCATGTGGAATCATCCTCAGGTAGTGTAGATTCAAGTTTGTTCAAATCATGACCCCCGGGGCTAGGGTGGGGCCAAAATGGCCGACCAAAGTTTTACATAGGAATATGTAGGGAAACCTTTTAAAATCATCTTTTCAAGTACTTCAAAGCTATGATTAGTGATAGTAATATGGAATCATCTTCAGGTAGTGTAGATTCAAGTTTGTTCAAATCATGACCCCCGGGGCTAGGGTGGGGCCAAAATGGCCCACCCAAGTTTTACATAGGAATATATAGGAAAAATCTTTAAAAATCTTCTTCTCAAGAACCACTGGGTCAGGGAAGATGAAACTCATGTGGAATCATCCTCAGGTAGTGTTGATTCAAGTATGTTCAAATCATGACCCCAGGGGCTAGGGTGGGGCCAAAATGGCCGACCCAAGTTTTTACATAGGAATATACAGGAAAAATCTTTTAAAATCTTCTTCTCAAGAATCACTGGGTCAGGGAAGATGAAACTCACATGGAATCATCCTCAGGTAGTTTTGATTCAAGTTTGTTCAAATCATGACCTCAGGGGCTAGGGTGGGGCCAAAATGGCCGACCCAAGTTTTACATAGGAATATATAGGAAAAATCTTTAAAAATCTTCTTCTCAAGAACCACTGGGTCAGGGAAGATGAAACTCACATGGAATCATCCTCAGGTAGTGTAGATTCAAGTTTGTTCAAATCATGACCCTCGGGGCTAGGGTGGGGCCAAAATGGCCGACCCAAGTTTTACATAGGAATATGTAGGAAAAATCTTTAAAAATCTTCTTCTCAAGAACCACTGGGCCAGGAAAGATAAAACTCACGTGGAATCATCCTCAGGTAGTGTAGATTCAAGTTTGTTCAAATCATGACCCCCGGGGCTAGGGTGGGGCCAAAATGGCCCACCCAAGTTTTACATAGGAATATATAGGAAAAATCTTTTAAAATCTTCTTCTCAAGAACCACTCGGCCAGGAAAGATGAAACTCATGTGGAATCATCCTCAGGTAGTGTAGATCCAAGTTAGTTCAAATCATGACCCCTGGGGCTAGGATGGGGCCAAAATGGTCGACCAAAGTTTTACATAGGGATTTATAGGGAAACCTTTTAAAATCATCTTTTCAAGTACTTCAAAGCTATGATTAGTGATATTAATATGGAATCATCTTCAGGTAGTGTAGATTCTAGTTTGTTCAAATCATGAACCCCTGGGGGTTAAAATTCAGTTCTGATCTGATATGTGCTTTTTCCTAGCCAATGTGCTCAGGTGAGCGTTGTGGCCCCTGGGCCTCTTGTTGAAATACATACTGTAAACGACTGAGATAAAAAGAGACATTGTAATGTGTAATTTGAGAGCTATCTTAGCCATTAAATTATAATTGGGCCTCTTAATTTGAATTCTCTCCTAGATGGTATGGTGTTCTGTACAAGGCCGCTGGATTATGAGGAGCAGGCTGTGTACAACCTGACAATCATAGCTACAGACATGGGGTCCCCGCCTCATAGCTCCCATACCAACCTAGTCCTGTATGTCACTAATGTCCCAGACAACAGGCCAACATTTAGCAACACCCTGTACAAAGTCAATGCCAGCATCTCAGATAGTGTGGGGAAGTCTCTACTGAACCTCACAGCGGGGGACAGGACCAGTTACACAATCACAGGTCAGGAATCAACCATATTCTTCTCCAAAGGATTTTACCGAATTTTTATCATGTACTTGTTTGTTGAGTAACTGTTGTTGATCACATGTTTCATGTTGAAGATATTCACTTTATAGGATGTTTGTATTGTTAAGGACAATGTAATGTTGTAGGGGGTAACCAAGAGAAGAGATTTAGTTTGAATAAGGATACTGGAGAGGTCAAAGTTCAGCGAAGTTTGGCTCATGGTCAGGCTGAGTACTTATTATCAGTGGAGGCCAAGGACACAGACTCTAATTTAACAGCTACAACAAAGGTAATCGTAGGAATTTATCAACATGTGTATAATTACTTAGTGAAAGTAAAACTAGGTTATAGAGAAGTTGGCAAATTTACGTCACAATCAGTAATTCATTATCCATATTAAGATTCTTTTAGCATATAGAGAGCAAATTTACAATATAGATTTTAAGGTTACCAAATGTATGTAGGTCTTCGTAAATATTGTGGACTTAGCCACATTGAGTTCATCAGTTCCCCATTACATGTGATGTTTTTTGTTGGGTTTGGTAAATATTGTGGATTTAGCCACATTAAGTACATCAGTTCCCCATTATATGTGATGTTTTGTAGGTCTTGGTAAATATTGTGGACTTAGCCACATTGAGTTCATCAGTTCCCTATTACATGTTTTGTGGGTCTTGGTAAATATTGTGGACTTAGCCACATTGAGTTCATCAGTTCCCCATTACATGTGATGTTTTGTAGGTCTTGGTAAATATTGTGGACTTAGCCACATTGAGTTCACCAGATACCCATTACATGTGATGTTTTGTAGGTCTTGGTAAATGTTGTGGACTTATATAGCCACATTGAGTTTATTAATTCCCCATTATATGTGATGTTTTGTAGGTCTTGGTAAATATCGCGGACTTAGCCACATTGAGTTCATCAGTTCCTCATTACATGTGATGTTTTTGTAGGGCTTGGTAAATATCGTGGACTTAGCCACATTGAATTCCCCATTACATGTGATGTTTTTGTAGGTCTTGGTAAATATCGTGGACTTAGCCACATTGAATTCCCCATTACATGTGATGTTTTTGTAGGTCTTAGTAAATGTTGTGGACTTAGCCACATTGAGTTCATCCGTTCCCCATTACACAGCCTCCCTGATGGAGAACAGTAAGGAGACTGTTGTGGTGTTTAACCTCACGAGTCGGGACCAGTACGGGGCGGGACTTGAGTACAGGATTGTCAGGACCGACCCACCAGGTATACACAGGAACAGCCTTAATCTGTAACTTGTGTAACTGTACATTATGTGATTATGACATTTTCTGATTCAAACCATTTTTTTTTAGTGAGACACAGATTAACATTTATTGACCTGAAGAATAATTCATTAAAATTTAGAGATATAAATACATGCAAAGTTTTATAAATGAGCTGAGACTGGGATAATGATAATTCTATAAAAACTTCTTTGCAGTGGCTATTGGATATTTCTACGTTACTTCTGGTCAGGTGTATTGTAATCAGTCTGTAGATAGAGAAACTATAAGTCTCATCACACTCCACATAGAATCAACAGAGATACAGTTATCTCAAGGACGGAAAAAGAGAAGTGCTAGATCAGGTAAACTGTAAACATCTCCAAGACTGGTAAAACTGTAAACATCTGTGAAACTGGTAAAAATTGTAACAGCTGTGTAACAGGTAGAGTTTACACATTAGCCTTTAATGGTAGAACTGTGAATATTGCTCTATAAAAATATCAAGACAGCAAATGCAGTAAAATACACTTAGGTGAACATGCTTACAATGAATTGATACTTATAGGAAAGGGATTTTCATTCCCCATGATTTTAAAATATATATTTTAAACATATATAAGATATAAAGAATTACACACTTAATGAGTGAAACCGTCCATCTCTGGAACTTTATTAGCTCACCTGAACCGAAGGCTCAAGTGAGCTTTTCTGATCAAAATTTGTCCGTTGTCTGTCGTCGTCGTTGTCGTTGGCGTTGTCGTAAACTTTTCACATTTTCATCTTCTTCTCAAGAACCACTGGGCCAATTTCAACCAAACTTGGCACAAAGTATCCTTGGGTGAAGGGGATTCAAGTTTGTTCAAATGAAGGGCCACGCCCTTTTCCAAGGGGAGATAATCCTGAATTTGTTGAAAATTAATGGCATTTTAAAAAAAATCTTCTTCTCCAGAACCGCTGGGCCAGGAAAGATGAAACTCATGTGGAAGCATCCTTAGGTAGTATAGATTCAAGATTCAAGTTTGTTCAAATCATGACCCCCGGGGCAAGGGTGGGGCCAAAATGACCGACCAAAGTTTTACATAGGAATATATAGGAAAAATCTTTAAAAATCTTCTTCTCAAGAACCATTGGGCCAGGAAAGATAAAACTCATGTGGAATCATCCTCAGGTAGTGTAGATTCAAGTCTGTTCAAATCATGACCCCCGGGGCAAGGGTGGGGCCAAAATGGCCGACCCTAGTTTTAGATAGGAATATATAAGAAAAATCTTTTAAAAATCTTCTTCTCCAGAACCACTTGGCCAGGAAAGATGAAACTCATGTGGAATCATCCTCAGGTAGTGTAGATTCAAGTTTATTCAAATCATGACCCCCGGGGCAAGGGTGGGGCCAAAATGGCCAACCCAAGTTTTGCATAGGAATATATAGGAAAAATCTTCTTCTCTAGAACCACTGGGCCAGGAAAGATGAAACTCATGTGGAATCATCCTCAGGTAGTTTAGATTCAAGTTTATTCAAATCTTGACCCCCGGGGCAAGGGTGGGGCCAAAATGGCGACCCAAGTTTTACATAGGGATATATAGGGAAACCTTTTAAAATCTTCTTTTCAAGTACTTCAAAGCTATGCTTAGTGATATTTATATGGAATCATCCTCAGGTAGTGTAGATTCTAGTTTGTTCAAATGATGAACGCCTGGAGGGGGGGGGGGGAGTAAATTCAAGCCCGATGTGCTCAGGTGAGCGCTGTGGCCCCTGGGCCTCTTGTTAAAATTACTTTAATTAATACTGTTATTTGCATATTCTTAGACATGTACACTGTCCACTCCATTCACTGAGGTTAAACAAAGTGTCTTCTTTGTTTTTAGGGGACATAATTTTGGAGGTCAATATAGGAGATGAGAATGACAACCCTCCTTCCTTTTCTGCGGCTAATGTAACAGATTCCCTGGTGTTTGGAGTGCCCTCAGGGGCGCAACCTGGAGATCTGGTGGGAGTAATAAAGGTACAGGGAGAATATTAAGGCACTGACTGGTAATGAATGATTTTTTGAAATGGAAACAGTAGTTACAGTGGTAACGAGTGTTTCTTTAATATGTTCATTTAGCAAAATTACATATACTACAGTCTAACCTGACTTTGCAACCCACTGTTGTATCAATTCACTGTTGAGGATGATCACTAAAGACGGGTTTGACTGTTTTAAAAGTTTACAGCAAATATTGAAGTTGTTGATGACTGTATGATCTGATTAAACTTATCACACGAGGCTAGCATGAGAACTGAGCACTCTAATATTTTTCTTCAGGCTGTTGACCCAGATTCTGTCAGTGCTGGGAGGGTGAGGTACAACATTTCTGGGGGAGATCTGTCTCAGTTCTATGTGTACCCTACCACGGGGCAGATAGTGGTACGCCAGGCACTGTACCGGGACCCCCGTAATGAGTATACACTGATGGTGACCGCTACAGACGAGGACGGGAAGAATGACACAGCCAATGTCACGGTCAGTACCAATCAAACTTAAAACATACCACAGAGTTGGACGCATCTGTTTCCTACTGGAGTATTTTGCTAAAAAAATATACATTAAACAACAGAAGTTTAGAATTTTGGTACAGTATCTAAGGCGTAGAATCATCAAACTTTGATGATGCATGTGCATTCTTGAAAAGTGTTAATCAAAAAATTAGCTTAGTGTACCTACTTTTAGAATATCACAACTACATTTAATTAAGTAATATTTTTTGCAATTTAAAAGAGGATTAGAATCATCGAACTTTTTTCATTTGATGCATTGCGGGTCCTTGGAGTGTTTCAACAAAATAACTTTTTAAATTTAAATGTATGTCACTCTGACCTACTTTTTGAGCTAAATAGTTATATCTAAGAGGCTTAGAATCATCAAATTTTGTTTCTTTGTCATTTGGGTTCCTTTATTAGGTTAACCAAAAAGTAGGTCACAATGACTTAGTTTTCCAGTTCCAGAGCTCTACCTATATATTTCAGATAGTAAGAGGCTTAAAATCATCAAACTGTTAGTTGATGCATAATGGAGTTTGTTAGACTAAAAGTAGGTTGGTGTGACCTACTTTTGTAATTTTAAGTCATTAGGCTTGGAATAGACATGAAATGGTTGTGCTTATTGGAAGAGCCTTTCTAGACCCTTGGGCCTCTGTTGTTAAAACAGTGCTCATTACCATCTCATGACTGTTTTTTTTTCTTTTTTTTTCTTCTGAATACTGGTGTTGAAGGAGTCTAGTTTCAGCTAAATGAATGGTTGTATTGTTGTTGTCAATATGTAACTTGTTCCATTATTTTGATGATGTTGTTATCAATATTTAACTTGTTCTGTTATTTTCTAACGCAGCTATTGGTGTTGTCCAGTTTCAGCTAAATAAATGGTTGTATTGTTGTGGTCAATATGTAACTTGTTCTATTATTTTAATGATATTGTTGATATCAATATGTAACTTGTTCTATTATCTTGTAACATAGGTATTGGTGGTGCCCAGTTCCAGCTCAGTGATCCTGACTGTACCATTTGCTAATGATCAGATGATGTCACACAAGCAAAACCTAGCACAGTTAGTGATATTTGGTTTTATTTTGTAAGGTCAAGTGTGAATTATCTTTCAACAAATAGGAGCATCTTAGGAGTCCCCACTCTCAAAAAAAAAAAATCAGGCAAAACCAAACACTAGTTTTATGGAAGATCATAATGCCCCCTTCACCAATGCTGATAGATGATCAGTCTCTTGATGTTCATGATATTTGTATAAAATGCATGTCTCTTTCTAGGAACTTGAGTGAATTGATTGGATATAAATGTGAATTTGAAAAAACTACAACACACACTGAAAACAACCGAATTGAACCATGCAGGTACTTACATTTCTTTTAATTAATTCTTGGTAAGAATTCTGATGTTTTCCTAGTGCAGATGCAATAGCAAATACTTCAGGTAGATGTATGGGAAGAATTTTTCTTTTTACAGAACTGATGTGATTCTTCATTGTATTGATCCAGCTAAGAATTTTGTGGTTCCGAAATATCTTGTTCAGGGGTAATTTTTTTTTTTTGTTAAATAAACAAATTCAGTTGATTTAGAATATTTATCCATTATAGTCTTATCAATAGATATGCACATGTGCAGCAATTAAATTTTAAGAGATGTTGTATTGTTGATTGAATACAAGTTTTTACTTGCATTTTAATTTAATAATATATTTGTCAGAATCATTCAGAACAAAAGTCAAGAAGTAACAGCCTTATTTTGTCGGGCCCTCGTTGACCCCTCACCCTGTGGAGGTTGTGATGATGTCACAGTTCAGAGAATCCCACTCAAACACTCCTCAAAGATTTCTACCACCGAAATCGCACTGATTGTGATAGGAGCCCTTATCCTCATAGGGGGATCTGTCGCAATCGCTCTAATTCTAGCTTCTCCACAAAAGTGAGTATAAAGAACACTTGAAATATCTATATTTACAGAACATAGATTGTATGGTCATGATGGGTGCCAACAATATTTTGGGAGAGACACAGTGCATATAGTACTACACACACATCATCTAACACAATTGTTGAACAAGAGATGTTGTAAAGGGTTTGTCATATCTGTCCGAATTTTTTCTTCTCCCAGGCATTGTCGTGGAAGTGTTGTATTGAAACGAATGGCATAGACATAAATTGACAAAAATACATTTTAAAATATTAATTAAGGCCATGCAAAGTTAATTACTTGGTTCTCAGGCCTTTTTTCAAGAAATATGATGAGGGAGGGAGGCATTTTTTTTTTTCTTTTTTATTGCCCCCAAAACATGATGAGGCAGTGTTTACATTGTACAAAACCTCAAAAAATGATGAGGGAGGTGATTTGGTTTTTATATTTTATTGATTTAGCAATAAAAAGGGTCAATGAGGCACCCTTGGAAGAGATGAGGGAGGGCCTGAGAACCAAGAAATTAATTTTTTTTTGCCTAAAGTAAAAAAATGTTTAGCTTTAGCTATTTAGTCCAAATGTGTAACATCAGCAATTAATTCAAGCACATATGAAATAAAAACTTAAGCTTAAAAGAAATCAGAAAAGATTATTTCAAATTAAAACCAAATTACATTTACCAAAATTAACTCAGATAATGATTTGCTTAATATAATGATATTGTAATGCAGAGATGATGAGGATAAGAGTGACAAGCAGCCTCAAAATAATGTTGACATGTGGGAATTGGAGAGTATGGCCACTGCCAGTCTGAGTAAGGCTACAGGAGCAGCAGCCGGAGTTGTCAACCCAATGTTTACCTCACAGGAAGTGGAAAACACCCAGTAAGTTATATATATCTAGTCATCCTAATGGTTACCACAAGTGGATGGATTGATTGTATCTTGTTTAACGTCCCTCTTGAGAATTTTTCACTCACATGTAGAAGCCACCACTTGGCGGTGGAGAGCTGCAAATTTCGTCCTATACTAGCTGGCACTGAGGGCCATTGAGCAATTAAAGTTCTTTTTTGTGCCTCAGTTCATACAGTCTCTTCCAACGGACCGCGGTCAAATTTTTATGGTTAGAGGAAAAAACATGGGTTCTTGGGGATTTAATTTTGTAGATGAAGAATTCTTGAATAGTAATATCTGTCATAAATAACATTTCATGGAGAACATAAAATTGTGGGTCTTTTCAATATACCTCGAAATCCCCGAAAATTAAACCCCAAAAAATTAGTGATTTCACAGTATATAATAGTTATGTGCTTGGTTAAAGTTGACAACAGACAGACAAACAGACAGGACAAAACAATTTACCCCCAGGATCTTTCGAGGGGGGGATTAAAAATAGCATTAAAATATTTGTTAAGATGAATTGCAATACAAAATCTTTTAAACTTAACACATTTATGACCCAATGCAAGGCTGCATGAGAGTCATTGACTTTATTTATTAAATTAAAGCACATACATATGTTCATAGCTTTCAGCAATACACAAATCTGAAGCTTGATTGAATTAGGTTTTCATCTAAAATGTTTGTATTGATTCAATTTGTGAAGGGCTATGAAAGCTGTCATGAATATGATGTACACACTGATAATAAATTGTGAAATTTATAAAATGCAATCGATGAGAAATCAGCTAATCTGCCAGTTCATGAATACTGAATCGGTGTAAAGGTCACAGCTTAAGTCTATCTTCAATGCATCTTCATACACACAAGTCCTACAAATCGGGAACAGCTGGTTCTGTCATAAATACGTACTTTCACAACATCCTGTTTATTTTTATTACTAATGACCACTTAAAGCTATCACTCCACTGGAAGCTGTCAGCTGTGGGGACGTGTTTACATAGTATATATTTATATATAAATGTCACACATATAGACAGATTGCACGACATATTGAAAAAATAATGGTAAATGCTCTATTTGAAAATAATAGGATTAACTGAAGAAAAAAAATTATCTATAGAAATTTACAAACAATACACCACCACTAAAAAATATGCACTTTTTTAGCTCACCTTGAGCCGAAGGCTCAAGTGAGCTTTTCTGATCACATTTTGTCCGTCCGTCCGTCAACTTTTCACATTTTCGACTTCTTCTCAAGAACCACTGGGCCGATTTTAACTAAACTTGGTACAAAGCATCCTTGAGTGAAGGGGAATTTAAATTATTAAAATGAAGTGCCAGGTCCTCTCACAAGGGGAGATAATCAAGATAAGACAAAAATAGGATGGGGTCATTAAAAGATCTTCTTCTCAAGAACCACTGGGCCAGAAAAGCTGAAACTTATGTGGAAGCATCCTGGGGTATTGTAGATTCTAAATTGTTCAAATCATGACCCCTGGGGGTAGGGCGGGGCCACAATGGGGAATCAAAGTTTTACATAGAAATATATAGGAAAAATCTTTGAAAATCTTCTTCTCAAGAACCACTGGGCCAGAAAAGCTGAAACTTATGTGGAAGCATCCTGGGGTAGTGTATATTTCAAATTGTCTTAATTATGATCAGTGGGGTAGGGTGGGGTCACAATATGTATTACAAGGGTGAAAACTGGTAAAGAATGGAATGGTCAAAGCTTCTCAGGTGAGCATGGGCCACATTGCTCACCTGAGAAGCTGCCTCTTGTTTAAAATTCTGTTTTTATTAGGCCTGCATTATTAAAAGTTTAGGGGCATGTAAATTTTGCTTTGTGTATTCTTTGTGAAAAAGCCTTATTAATAATTTCCTTGGGTTTCCAAATTTTTTTGACCTCATAGCCATTAATTATCCTTGAGACTGACATATAAATTTGTACTTTTCAAATAGACTTAGCCTTGGCCATAATTTTTGAAATGTTGATCCCAAACTTTTTTTAGCTCACCTGAGCTTTTCTGATCAAAATTTGTCCGTTGTCTGTCGTTGTTGTAGTCGTCGGCGGCCACGGCGTTGTCATAAACTTTTTACATTTTCATCTTCTTCTCAAGAACCACTGAACCAATTTCAACCAAACTTGCCACAAAGTATCCTTAGGTGAAGGGAATTCAAGTTTTTTTCAAATGAAGGGCCACGCCCTTTTCCAAGGGGAGATAATTATGAATTAGAGAAAACTTAATGGCATTTTAAAAAAATCATCTTCTCAAGAACCACTGGGCCAGGAAAGATGACACTCATGATGAATCATACCCAGGTAGTGTAGATTCAAGTTTGTTCAAATCATGACCCCCAGGGGTAGGGTGGGGCCAAAATGGCCGATCAAAGTTTTACATCGGAATTTATAGGAAAAGTCTTCAAAAATCTTCTTCTCAAGAACCACTGGGCCAGGAAAGATGAAACTCATGTGGAATCATCCTTAGGTAGTGTAGATTTAAGTTTGTTCAAATCATGACCCCCAGGGGTAGGGTGGGGCCAAAATGGCCGATCAAAGTTTAAAGTTTTACATAGAAATTTATAGGAAAAATCTTCAAAAATCTTCTTCTCAAGAACCACTAGGCCAGGAAAGATGAAACTCATATGGAATCATCCTCAGGTAGTGTAGGTTCAAGTTTGTTCAAATCATGACCCCGGGGGGTAGGGTGGGACCAAAATGGCCGATCAAAGTTTTACATAGAAATTTATAGGAAAAATCTTTAAAAATCTTCTTCTTAAGAACCACTAAGCCAGGAAAGATGAAATTCATATGGAATCATCCTCAGGTAATGTAGGTTCAAGTTTGTTCAAATCATGACCAGGGGGGTAGGGTGGGGCCAAAATGGCCGATCTAAGTTTTACATAGGAGCATATATGAAAAATCTTTAAAAATCTTCTTCTCAAGAACCCCTGGGGCAGGAAAAATGAAACTCGTGTGGAATCATCAACAGGTAGTGTAGGTTCAAGTTTGTTCAAATCATGACCCCAGGGGGTAGGGTGGGGCCACAATGGCCGATCAAAGTTTTACATAGGAATAAATAGGGAAACATTTTAAAATCTTCTTTTCAAGTACATGTACTTCAAAGCCATGATTAGTGATATTTCTATGGAATAATCCTCAGGTAGTGTTGATTCTAGTTTGTTCAAACCATGACCCCCTGGTAGTTAAAATTCATTCCCCCCCCCCCCAACCTCAGTAAACTGTCAGTTCTGATCTTATATTTGCATTTGCCGTTGAGCTCAGGTGAGCGATGTGGCCCCTGGGCCTCTTGTTTTTATTTCACTTTGTATTACTTGTGATGAGACCTTTCTTTTAGAAGAAACATTTTTGACCTCTTGACATTTTATCTAAATTGACCTCCTTTTGAAAAATCTTGAGCTTGGCACTAACTTTTTTACTTTGTTTTGTAGGACTTCTCCGACAGCTGAGGCTGAGGTTGAAGAACAGAGCAACTCAGAAAAAAATACGACCCGGAAGAGAGCAACTTCCTACGAATCTCAGGAAGTAATTCTGGATTTCCAGGAAGACGTAATTGACGATGACGGCAACCACCAAATTAACCACAGTAATGCTGACAGCGGAGTGGAGAACGAGTCTGACTCCAGCCACTCAGGTTCCATACAGACAGTGAACGAGATGGAGGCCTCGGGAAGACCATCAGAGGGCTCAGAGGGAGGAGCTGAGGGAGGGATCGAGATAAAGGGGAATTCCTACGAGACAAACTCACCAGGACATGAGAGAAAGAGCATTTTTATCGCCATGGAGACAGGGGACACGACTGATGATGAGATAAGCTATGATGGGTCCATTGCCTCTGGAGGTGATCAAGAGATGAATGAGGAGGATTCCATGGATGGGGGAGTCGGGGTGGAGGAGACAGAAGAATCAATCAATCAGGCATGTGATGAAACAGGAGAACTGAGTAAACCCTCGTCTGGGGTCAAATCTGTCACATTCAAACCAGGTCCCCCGGTGGTGGAGGAATATGAGGCTCTGGAGGATGAGGTGACTTGTCTGTAGACAATGAATCACTATAAACAGCCCAGTGCAACATGTGCCATGCACCACCATAAACAGCCCTGTGCAATATGTGCCATGCACCATAAACAGCCCAGTGCAATATGTATTATTTATAATGATTGTACAGTGAAATTTTAGGTTGTGAATTGATGTACATATAATCTTAGATTACCTTTTTTATGCCCCATTATCATCTGCCTGTCTAGCAGCAAAAATATGTTATAAATGTTACCTATTGAATGGTTCATAGTCCCAAGGCTTCTTGTTTCACAGATATGTGTTTCATGAGAAACCTTTCTTTGGTTACCAATGCTTTAACCCTGTATTTCCTGTGACTAGACTTTTCTTTGGATACCGTTTTTATTTACTTGCAGTTGACAATTTTCATGTTATTTTGAAAAATTTTGACCTTGGTTATGTGCTGCTGTATGAGGACATAGGTGTTACACAAACACGTGTGGTTTCATTTCAAGATATATTTTTATTTCCAATTGCTGTGAACAAACTTTAATGGTTATAAGTTGTATATATATTTTCGAATTGCTCAATATTTTTTTTTTTTTTGTAAATTAATGTAATAAAATATTATTATATTTGTTGTGATCAATTTTGACATTTTTATCCCTGTATATAGCATTTAAAGTACATGTACTATGATTTTCTACACATGAACTAAAATACTCAATCCATCTTCATGTATAGATGCGTTACTATCAGTTTTATTTTAGGTGTCAAGCAACAGCTCAATAATGTAGGATGTATTGTGTATATAGCATTGTCCTCAAATGTGATAAGTTTATGAAAATTGATGGATTTGTGTGTAAAGAAATTGTTAGAGCTGAAAAGGATCATTGAAAAGTAAACACATGAGTCACATAAATGTATTGAATTTAATAGACACATTTTTAAAGAAATATTTATCACTAACAGAACTACGACCAGCATTTCTTTGTCATACATGTAACTATTATAAAAATTTTCATGTTGCTTTAATTTTATACGTGTCAAAAAACAATAAAGAAAATTATTCCCTTGAAGAAAGCATTTTGTGGTTTCAGTCCAAAGAAAAATCCACAATCATAGACTTGGCGAGTTGTTCAGATTCGCCATTTTAAGGTTGGGAATTGACCCAGTGGTACACAACACATGAATATGTTACACATATACAGTAAATCTCTGGATATATTTCTCTCCTTTGATTGTATTATTTGTGACCCTGTCTTAGCTTGATCAATAGTTTATGTATGGTGGGTAACTCCTGACAGCTGGTGCCACTTTACAACAGACGATCGAGGGTGGTTTATCATCTCCTGCCAATGCAGAAGTTCGTTTCCGCGCGCGAACATGAACGAACCAATCACAGTCTTTCCATAAATTTCGTCATGACTAAACGGTGTCTTCGTAGACGTCATCAACGAAATTTCAAAACTACATGTATCTACTGTCTTTCCTGACACTGAGAAAGAAAACGATTCATTAAATGTGGGTTCTGTGGACGCTCGATGTTGCATGGTGTTCTTTGTCTTGCACACTTTACGACCGTGTAACATCTGGATCCTCACAAAGACATCTGAAATAAGAGAAATACTTGAGGCCCGAGTCTTTTATGAATGTGTTATTCATTCATCACGAGTCTTGACTTCATACTCACGCTTGTTTTGATCGATGTCGATCTGTCTGAGATTTTTGGCTTTTATTATCACCACTTTAATTTTCTCAAGACTAGGTAGATAAGTAAGACCTATATTTATTTCTCCCATTGTCGTGTGAACCTGAAATTAACGGGAAAAAAATACTGAAAAACATAACTAAACCATCGGCAGATCCGTGAATAGCAAGATTGGAAACCATCCTTAACCTGTGAATCTGGAAACCATAGTTTACCTGTGAATTTAGTTCCAGATCTCGGTACATGAGATCACCTTTAGTGAGGTCAATGTCTTGAAGAGGAACCAATATATGACCCAAGGAATGGCGCACTCGCCTCTTGTCGACGTCATAAACAGAGAAACGTAACACTCGGGTTTTCATTTGATCAGGAGATATCTACAGCGATATAAAAATATATTTCAATATCTTAGATAAATCATTTTAAAAATCGAGTTGAAGCATAATTTTTTTTTATCTGATGTATTACAAATATTTTATCTGTTAGAAAGTGTTAACTTGTTGCAAAACCCGCTTATTCACAGATAAAATCAAAAGGGAATGTGATATTCTCGGTAGTTAGTGTATATTATGAATATGAGATGCTACACGGAATACAGTACGTATTCATGATTTAAAAGGTAATTTATTTCATTTGAGGCATCCCTTAACAAATTATTGACAATCTGTCAAAGTTTCCAGCTAAGAGAAAAGTTTTTGTAACGGTACTGTAATATACAGTTGAACGTTTGTATCCCGAACACTATGTTGAATGCCACGCAGCAAATATACCCTTGTCTTGTTTAGGTTTAATTTGATAAATGCGATTTTTTCGATTGTACAACCATTCTCTGTCTGCTTGATATAATTTGTTCAATATTTGATAAATATTGTATATTCAAACCATTTTCTGGCTTTTGAAAATCTTAAAATCCAAGAAAATGAATGCAAACAATGCACATATATTTGGTGGTGTTAAAGTAAAACTCGAAGTGCTAAAGCACTTTTTTCTTATTGTGGAAACAACTGAACCTACATTTTTCTTCTTGATCCGTATCACGGGGTCAGTTTTCCGATATTCCATTAAAATCCGATTACAAAAACAACCACTAATGCGAGATACGTTTTACTAATAAAATTAATCTTAGGCAGAATTCTACAAATTAATTTTCATCTTTTCATAACTGAGCAAATGATGAAAATATTAGTACGTTTTTTACAGTTGTATATCAAAGATATTTGACCTCCTGTGTTACTTTGAATCCTCGCAAATATATAATAGATACGATATTATACGTTATTTAAAATATAAGAAGTATGGATACAGTCATGTACTTCATCGTATGCAGTATTTCGTGCGTTTGTTAGAGGAGTGTGAAGTAAGGATTAGTCCATACGTGGTTCGAATCTACCGCGGGACGGGAGACTGTTCCTTTAGATGACACCGTATAAACAGAGATCCCGTGTCGCAGAAGATGCTGGCACAAAAAAGATCATTTGCTGCTCAATGATCATGAGTGCCGAGTATTGGTCTAAATATTTGCAGCTCTCCACCAGCAAGTGTTGGCGCCTCCCTATGAGTGAAAAATTCTCGCGAGGAACATCAAATAACAAACAAATCATCATATAGTTATAGAAATAGTATAATCTTTGAGGTTTTGAACCCTGCATATTTCGAAGTTCGATATTAATTCTAGGAACCGAAGTTTGTATTATATATTTACTAAGAAATTCTAAAGCTTTGTTTCTTTCGCTTTTTGACCCTGGCCATGTATAAAAGACCTAGGCTTGTTACTCTCTCTTCGATGTGTTACTAATATTCCACCTTTCCATAGAAAGAATTATTCAGGATTATCATACATACAAAGTCTGGTCAAAAAGCAGAATCTGCCTCTCGACAACATAGTGCGGCCATGACGTGCAACGAATGTAGCACCCCATAACTTATTTGCCAAAGGGTGTCATTATACCATAGATCTATCATAGAATATTTCATACAGTTTGTATAACTTAAAAGATTGGCGATCAGCAAAGACTGTAAAGGCGACAATTTCCAGCTGTTGAAGGTTCACGTGGCCGTGGGCGAGGGGTGAAAGTAGCAGTTGACGGATGTTCTAGTGTCACGGGACGAAGAGAAGGTGACGAATAGCACGGAATGACACGTGCACATGACGATTCATTAAACTGCGTCAGAACTACACGTGTCAAATGAAATACGATATTTCAATATTGGGTATTTTCTCTCTCCTTTGGTTTGTCAACGTCCAAAAACAAGGCCTAGACACTTCGTGACAAATATAAGTTTTCGTTGTCTACTGGGAATAACTTACCTGACAAGTAAACTCATTTTACACTAAGGTCTATATACCATACCTATGAAATATTATATATTTATTGACTAGTTTCGAGAGAAACGTGCATGCGTTTTGTCGGGCCCAAGAACAAAACTGTTTGCCAGAGGTCGTTAGGAGGCAGTTTCGATCGAAGGTTGACAAATGCATTTTGTCTGGGAATACTGTCAATAAATGTTTTGTTTTACCTTTTATTGTTTTTATATATTTAATTTTTATATGCATGTATTCTGTACTATCTATCGTGATGTAAACTGGGGTTTAGCTCCGTTACTGTCGAAAACCAACGAATGCAAATGAGATCTAGCTGACCCCGCCAATTGCGTAAGCGGTCCAACATCTCACTCTGCATCAAACATCGATACGAAATGTTTGGGAGGTTTTTTTCGTATTTGTATAGGAACATTTTTAAAAGTATAGCTTTTTTAATTTTACTCGAAGGTTGAGGTGTAATTCACATGAAAAGTAATTTACACTCGAAGTAACTTATTTTGAAAAGTATTTTACATTGAGAATAATTTACCTGAAAAGTAAAACTTTCATTGTACACTGGGGCCAATGTTTTCCTGCGGACTTTGGATACTTTACAATTACGTTCGTCTGGAAGAAGAAATATTTTAACAAAGGGGTCCCTGGGAGCGTTATCTCTTCCTCGCCCTACAAGAAAACGAAACAATTCAGAGAATTTCTGCCCCCCATTTAAAACAAACTATGTGAACGAACCAATTAAAGCAGGTAAAAAAGACCAAAAAAGTTCAACCTTGACCTTTCAGCTTTGGGTCATATAAATAATTTGGGAGTTAAAGAAATTCGTGGTTTTCAGTTTCCTTGCAAAATTTTACACATAGAATTAAGTTTATATTCTAAAAACTAAGTAATATGTGCAATATATAATTTTTTTTATAAGAAAAAAATCAAGAAACCGTTTTCATCCATTAGTAGCCATCTTTCATGTACATGTGAAAATATTTTTGGCATCGATTTTTTTAACTACTTTTTTAAATGTCATTTTTAAGATACTGGAAGTAATTAAATTAACTTCTTTAAGAATCTCTTAGAGAACTTGAGTAATCACCGAGAAACAATTTTTGCAATAAATGAATTTCTGGCATTGACCTTAAAATCAATGTCTGGAAACAAAAGGGTACATGCAGACGGATGGACGGTGAAAGAGGTAGGGACAAAAATTCCAATTCAATATCACGTAAATTGGTCCTGTTACCTGGCAATTCTCGAACTTTGACCAGGGTCACGTGAAGTTGTTCCACGGCGACATCACAGAGTACAGAAAACCAAAGTCGGCCATGTTCACTGGGCTGTAAGTAGAGCGAGTCCTCGTCCGAGTAATTTGTGGATCTGTACAGAAAACAGAAAGAGAACGTGAATTTTAATTGATTTCTTTTAATTCATAGTATGTTCGATTTAAATAAATTTTGTGTTTTTTATATTATGCTTGGATTTTTTTTTAGATTTTAAAATCGACAAAGTTTTCAAAAATTAAAAACTACAGAGAGATACAAAGACTGACTTTAAATCACGCAAGATAATCCTAAGTGTTTTGTCTTGGCAATATGAACAGAGCTGTATAGTTTCTGCTCCTTGTATAGACGTAGGTTGCAAAATGTCATCTTTTTAAAGTACAAAATCGAACCGGTGGCAACGTAATACTACTTTACAAAACCCGTATTTACACTTATGTTTTTTTTTATTAGAATATGGTAAATCTCTTTTTAATTTAAAAGTATTTTGCTTTATACAAACGCATACTTATAGCAATTTAGAATATTGCGCAGTTTGAAAAGTGGTTTCTTTTTACATATGATTTTTAGGTGACGCATTAGATTCAAAGGTAATCTTGAGGAAGCAAGTATTAATGCTTAATTATGCAATTTTTTTTTTTAGAATGTCCACATACTTATAAAGATCTGGTTGCACGTGACCCACAAAACTGTGCGTGGTGTGTTGCTTGGTCGGGCTCTGAATACTGTCGTAGCTGTTTCTGGGCTGGACTCTCTCCGGCGGAAGAGAAAAATCCGGAACGTTGTCGATAGTCATAGACCGGACAACGATTCCACGCACATCCGGCGAAACATCCGGACACGATTTCCGTTTTGTTGGTTTTGGAGAAGGATTTCTGGAATATGAATATATTTTATCATTTAAACAATACGTAGATACAGTTAGGCAGCGGTCTATTTTAATATAGTCCTCTGGTCCTAACGATATACATGTACTCTACCAGTATACAAATATACATATTATATAAATATAGCCCTTTGATGAGGTCTATCCATAGATATATCGACTTCACAGAAATGCATATCGACAGAGCACGAAGTGCCAGGTCGATATGCTTTTGTGTGAAGTCGATATATATATATCTATGGATTGACCGAATCAAAGGGCTACATTTGCTATATTATTTTTTACAAAGATTTACTCAATCAACCATAAGTTTTCTCTCTTGTCTTTTTTTAACACTGAGAGACTAGAGATCCAAATTAATTAATCTGTTTATTGTAATGTGTGTGCCGATGGGGTAATTTAGAGGACTTCCTTTTTAAAAGGTTAATTTGTCTAATTAAGTTTTGTATTGATTTTTGAAAAAAACATATCTATTATGTTTTAACATAAAGTGGATTCTTCTTCAATGCATCTTAATGTATTACTTATTATTACAGAACATTGCATAAAAGAGTTGAAGTTGAAGTACAATCTTTTTTTTTTTTTTAAGAAAAATCAAGTCATACTCTGTCTAAGCTAGTTTGAATTCAGCACAAATGTTGTTTTACAGAAAATTATATCCTTTTTTAAAAGCATTAAGTCGATATGCATTTCAGAATCTATAAATAGTAACTCAAGTCTATATGCTGTTATATAATTGATCAAGTTTGAGCTAATCAGAGAACTTGGAATATATGAGAAAAATAATATATGAAATATATATCCAACAGATCTAAGATATGTTGATTTTGTCTTAAATTTATACATAAAACATAAACAGCCGTCAGTACCTTGAGATGGGTGCTGATTTTGATTCTAAGATGCGATTGGACTCGTCCCATTCATTCTTCCACTTTCGTCGTTTTTTGCAGAAACGGCAGGCGAGAACCGTGATGATAAGGCAGATGACGAAAACAATGACTCCACTTACGTAACCAATAGTTACCAGAACTTGATTGTCTAAAGGAAGAAATTTTACTATACATGTAACATAAATAGAATTTAACAAATGTGGAATGTTTAAACAGGCTAATGGGTCTATACGTGTTCATCATTGGAAAGCTATTGCATTTGGGAGGGATGCAAATTAATAACAAGCAATTAAAATATGGGCCGTTTTTTTGTGGCGGTATACACCCGAGAACCAAGATAAGTCTCTGTGATACGTCAAAACTATATTGCTACTGGATCAATAACCTAAAGAACAATCAAAATGCTCATACAATATCTACAATTCTTCGTTAACAGCTGCCTAACATGAATTTTGAACATCCGAAATGAAGACATGAGAAAGTACAACCCACATCCCAGTAGAACCTGGGGTATGAAAAGAAGATAGAGATTGATCTGCACGTTGTAAGAAAGCTGAGGGCTTCCATCATTCAGGGACTCAAGTGCAACCCACAGAGAAAACGACTGGAAGGAGAGGTGGCAAAGTGTGAGGCGACGTTTTGGCATATTTTGCCTTTTGGTGATATCGCTTATTCGAATATGTAACTAAGATGCTCTAGAGTCGCGGAGTAAGAGGTTGTTCCTGAAGTCGCGAATTCCAATCCCACTGCAGGACATACCGGAGCCTTTGGATGAGATTGTATAAAATGAAGTCGGTGTTAACGCGAAAAGATCCCTCACGGCTCGAAGGCCCTCAGTGCCGAGTCAGTAGTAATGTAGAAAGATTTTCAGCCCTCCACTGTCAAGTGGCTGCGTCTCAATATGAGTGTAAAATTCTCGAAGGACATCTTACACACAAACAGGCAAACTTAATGGCACTAAATACCAAAAACGGCTCCTCATAGTAAAAAAACTGTAATGGTAGAGATGCATGGTAACACCAACCGGAAAAACTACATTGTATCTGAGGACAGGTGTTATCGGTGTCTCCACTCTATTTTTTTCAAATGTATGATATATAAACTGGCAAATACAACTATAAAGAATTTTCCGGTATATATCTGATTTCTGTAGTAAACCATTTGTTTTCTATAGCAAATATATACTAGCAAAAATATTTCTCTACTCAAATATGTCTGGAAAATAGTCTGTGTCTGGAAAACAAAATAGGATAAGCGTTAAAGTAGCCAGAGGGGATTTTTTATTTTACTTTATACTAATGATGTAAGGAAATTAGCCCAAGCATGTGGTATTCGTATTAACATTGTCCGGAAATTAATGTTTCCATCCAGTTTTAATATAATGACGTCATTTGCAGCCGAGAAACGGGAAAGACCATCCTCTGAAGAAGTACTTCGGGAGAGATTTTGAAAGATAAGAAATTGAATTCAGTTTACTAGTAAATCAAAGTAGTGGCGGTGTTTTGTCAAAACAAAACAACAATAATACACGTATCAGTCACCAGACAACCTATCTTTTCATTAAACTAAATTGGTCACTTTAAATGTCCGTGTCCTGGAGCGGTTTCACTCCCGACTCAAAGCAACAGTGAAGAGGTCAAACATGTTACGCTGACCAATTACTTTGGGTAAACTTGTCCTTTCTATTGCCCATTCATTTTGATCACGATTTTCCGTGCTGTTAATCATTAATAACTGATTAGAAATATTTGGACATCACAGATTTTTTTCATTTAGTGATGATTTTTAATTATAAAGGAAAATAACAGGGCAATGAAAAGTAGACAAGATATGAACCTATAAATAATTATTAATTCCTGTGTAAATTTTTTTACATTTACTAAAGTATTCAAGTAATAATGAAAAACCTTTTTTTTTCTATAGCTGATGAATTTTATAATTTCAAAAGCTTTAGAGAAAAAAAAATCATTTTCGAAACAATACATGTAGGTACGTATAGTTATGAGGTCAACATCCCAACAAATCACTTTTATGTCGAAATCATATCGGTTAACTAGTTTGTTATGATCGTTTTCATTCGTGCGGTTAAGTGTTTAAAATTTAAATTGATTTCAAAACATCATTAGAAAAAAAAATATATATGCGTCGCTTAAAAAGGAATTATTTTTAGGGTTATTTAGTTCACAAAAAATAAGGATATTTTAAAAGAGTTACTATAAATCCTAATTTCTGTAAAATATGTTTAAATTTCATATTCTTATAACTTAGTATATTCTCAATAATTACTTAGACATATATAACATACCTTTATACCAGGGTGGTAGGGTACTGAGGCCTGGCCCCGGGGCAGTAGTGTGGGGGGTAGTGCCCCCTCCCTCCTCAGTGGGCCGGATGTCGACCACCCCCATCCTCGGTCCTACATTCTCTGTTCTGACAGTATCCACGTTGAACTTCAGCTGTAGTATGACGTCAAAATGCGATCAATAACTTTACCTGGAGAAACACCAGTCACGATATCTTTCTTTTATTTAAAGTGACTCGACTCTTATCTCCTTTACGTGGTCGCCGATGTCGGAAGTAAGGTTATGCATCTCTCCATCAAGACGTAGAAAATATTACAATCAAGAAATACTCGCTCTGCCGGAATAATAAAAAAAAATCAAATCAGTTCAATTACATTAACAAAAATAAACCACTGAGAGCGGAACTTATATTTTTTTTAAAACGTAAATGGAATTCAAAATAAACAGGATATGTAAATGTTTAGTATGTACCATCCGTGCCTGAGATAATGAGCTTCACAGCAGACTATGTAGGTAGAAATAATGACAGTAGCTTAATAATCACTGTATATTATCGACAAACAGCGTTTCATCGTGGCAGTCTTACAACTATTTTAGTTCCCCTGCTATCAGCGATTTTGATTGTAATTTGCAAGTGATGTAATGACCGACAGATGTTGCTGAATTAAGTCAGGATATTAATGGCATGGCTTCAAACCTTTTTCCATAAGCAGGTCTGTTTTAAGTTGAACAGCCTCTGCAATTTGATTCCATATGCTTCAAATGATGGACAACTGTCCAAGACATATAATGTGTGCATCGCATTTTTACTCTTTATCACTTTTTACGTCCAGCATTTGTTGCACATAAAGTGATTTGATATTCTGAACCAATATAGTACTTTTTGTAATTTTTAAAAATAAATAAATAAATCAATTAATGGAGGTAAACTGACACTTTTAGTCATCATAATTTAGTGTGCAGTGCCTTTCATTGAAAAAAATATAGCTCTTCAAGTTATGTTTATATCGTATATTTATACTGTGCCATATGTTGTAATACATTTATTTGAACTTATTTGTTATTTTCCTTTTTTTGTAAACAATGTTGTTGTCTTCTTTTTCTCCTCTTTCGCCTAGATCTAGACTTGATATGTTGTATCGTCATTCCAAACCAGCTAAATGTCGTGTCGCCATTTCGACTTCTCATAGCTATTTTGTTGTCATGTTGTTGTTGTGTTATAGCTACTGTCACTAGTATTGTTCCAATTTCGATGTAGTATAGCTACATGTAGTCATGGTGTTGTCATGTTTTAGCTACTTTTATGTTGCTGTACCGATGTAATGTTTATATAACTACTATCATGTTGTTGTTTTTATTGATTTAATGCCGTTAGGTAAAATGTTGTCTTGTAGGCCAGCTTATGCTAATGTTATATCATTTAGGTATGATGTTGTCTTGTAAATGATACTGTTATACCGATGGCATACTGCCAGATAAGTTGTTTTTTGTACATTGTTCTGATACCTTTATTTTATTGTTTTATTAGGTATGATGTTGTCTTCTTTGATTCTGTTATCATTTAGGTATGATGTTGTCTGGTATGATACTGTTATACCGATGACATACTATTAAATAAGATGTTTGTACATTGTTCTCTTGTTCTGGTACCTTTATTTTGTTGTTTTATTAGGTATGATGTTGTTTTGTACACCAACCCATATGATACTGTTAAATTTTTAAAGGTGAAATATTGTCGTGTATGTATTTTTTTTTAAATAAAATAAACATTTCATGGACGTGTTTTCTTGACATGTTTTAGCTCATACGAGGTTGGCTCCTGATACTTTACATGTAAGTCTTCAGCTTTTTTGGTCAAGTATTTTTTTTTCATTTTCTACGAACATAGCTTTATTAAAAATCAAATAAAAAAAATGGGGTTCGAATCGATATGCTTCTTTTGGTGCTACAGTACATTTAATATGATCTTTTTGCACTGAAATTTGTGTCTTAATCAAAAATTACATATTCGACGTTTTCCCTCCAATATTTTTATCCAAATAAAGCATGGAACAAAATAAACTATAAATCTATTTCTAAAAAGGACACTAAAATATCTAAAAATTTACATCATAAACCCCAACTTTTGATGTTCTTTTCTGAATATTTAAGATAAATTTGACCTATCTGCAAAAGTTTAAGACTTTAAAATAATTCTCTTGCTGATTTGATTTTCAATGCTACAAAAATCACATTTTGTGAGTGCAGAAAGGTCAAATAATTGCGAAGCAGTTTGAAACCTTTTCTTAGTCACGATTTTAAAAAAAAGTCAATTGTATGTTAAAATTGGCTAATTTTTACCTGGACGTTCAGAATATATTTACCATATTTGTCGCAGTTTGTGGAAAGAATTCATTGGAAATAATTTAATAAATATTTCATAACCAGCATAACACATTTCACTGCAAAAAACAACTTTTAGTGCAACCGGCATTGAAAAATAGAAATCTAAAATGAACAGTACTGTATATAGTTCAAAGGATAAAATTTAATCATTTTCTTATAAAAAAAAAACACACACACATTCCGCCACAAAATATAGTTCTTGGCTTAATCCTACTAGAGTGGAATTTAATTGCGTTTTTTCACTGAATAGAGTTCAATTTGCTTTATAGAATCCAGATTCAGTGTTAGAACTTAAAAATGACGCAGAATTATAGAAATAAAGGTACATACCAAAATCTGCTCAAACGCTCAGGATAGAACCTCCTTACTTTTTTGATTGAATCTGGTCATTTGTTTCTCATCGATTGTGATGAACTTTAAAACATTTTCATTTTCTTCTCCACAATGGCAATTTTAACAAACTTGTCACAAAAATGAAGAACGGGATCCTGTTTTATGGGAAGATAAATAAAAATAAGTGAATGTTTAATAGCAACTTTTAAAATTCCTCTTCCCGGGAACAACTGGTTCAGAAAAAATGAAAGATATGTGAAAGCTTCATTGCAAATTGAAAATTCTGGTTTGTTCAAATCATGACTCCGTTGGATAGGCAACGAGAGTTGGAAACGTGGGATAATTTATGCATAACACAGGCTTCGTCCGTTATGCAAAATACCCCACGTTTCCAACTATCGTTGATGCCCTTGCATACTCTACTAACTGTGCAGTGATTCTTTAAGTCACGTAGCTTTTTTTTTTTTATTTAACTCCCTCCCCCTAAAAATCGTTCGAAAATTACAAAACCTGTGAAATATATTTGAGATTTTTGAAGCTTCAATTTTGATTATTTTTCCTTGCTTGAAAAAAAGTTGTTTTCCCTTTTTGTGTTCGTCATTTGTTTTTCTGTCACCACCCACTCGTCCCTTGAGGCAAAAAAAAAAAATCAGTATAAAGAGACATCAAATATATTAATTGGGATTTAGTTGAACTTTTCCGAGAAGGAATTTTTAAAAGTTTACTTTGAATTATGAAGTTACAATGTAGGTGCGAGGCTTTTAAAATACTGTAAAAACGTTGGAACTTTGTTGTTTTACATAATTTGTTGCTAATCATTTCCTATAAAACTCCCTCTATCTCTCATCCGTTACATTTTTACATCGGCAACTTTCTGAAGTTTATTTTTATCATTTATTAATGATTAATACTGTCATTTTATTTATTTGTGGGCGGAGTGTGGGTGTGATGAAAGTGGTTTGTTTGTAAAGCCTTTAAAAAAAAATTTTCATAAAAACAATCCACTCTGGAAGGGGGTAGGGATAAGTATTTAAGCGATTGAAAGTGTCCGTTTGAATGCCCATCTGTCGACCTTTTTTTTCCTCTCCAAATTCTGCAGTTTAGCCTGGTTCAAATAAAGCAAGGTATACATGTACACAAGATATCACAAATCAATACAATAGGTTAACATACAAAGACAAGAGAGAATTTGTAATCTAAGAGAAATAGGAATTGCATTATATACAGTACTACATAAAAGTGCATTTTACTACAAAGGAAAGAACATTTTGTTTAACATGAACATTGTAAATAGTAAATACATCAAATTAAAATAGAATGAGTTCAAAATGTATTGTTGAATAGTATTAAAAAAACTGGTTATTGGTATGAGAATTAATGTAGCAGCTGCTGTTGAAAAATATACACAAATGTACGTATTTATGCCTTAATTAATCTTTTTTTATTAACACATTTTCAACTTTTAACACTCAAAATTTAAAACCGAAAAGTATGAAGTCTAATTTTGAAATAACAATTAAAATATTGTTTATGGGTGATACAATTATGATCCTTCAAAAGGAAAATAAAATATTTGAGGACCGTTAAGAATGAGATACGTATTATCTGCACAATGGGATATTTGATATTCCATCTGATTATTTAATGAATGTTTGGCATTCAAAATTACGAGTTCTTTTCACATCTTTAAGTTTAATGATAAGTATAACAAAGAAGTCATTATAATTAGCAGTAATTATTGACCTATTAGTAATTGTCACCGCTATATAATCTTCAGTTGTCGTAACAACTGTTCACCAATAAATACCCATCACGGTCAACTGGTTTTAAAAGATGGCCGCCCGAAGGAGACCACAGGTAATACTAATGATAATGTTGAACAAATTAATTTACATCTATGTAGTCTACCTTGTAAATGAAATATCATAATTTCCCTGATATGTCTCCTGTGCCTATGACGTTAATCAATGAGTTAATCGACAAATAGAATAATTAAGCTAGTTTAAAAAATCAGTCGCGTTCGAAAAGTGCTGGAAGCAAAACAGAGATTGCGAGAGAAGCTTGTTACATGTAATTAAGGGGAATTTAAAGGAGTCAGAAACACATAGGACCGAGAAACGACGAGTTGATTTTTGATGTCTTAATCTTAACCAAACAAACATGGTTCAATATTGATGTTTTCAAAATTATCTCGTCTAATAGTCTATACTCTCGTGGTAGGTTTTGAGGTGTAATACAAAGTACTATAATAGAATTCGTAAATTCAAAACAAAACAAAAATAAAATATATACTGGACTGTTTATACTGTCGCGTCTGGAGTCGCGCCATATGTCCGTTAATCTGCCCGTTTGTATGATTGAAGCAATATCCTATATCTCTGCCTCATGTAAAAAATAGAAACCCTTCAGTATGTTCACCTATATCTAAACTTTCGTGTGAATATTAGGATTTTTTTTTTACACAGTTAGACTAAAATTAGACTGAAAATTTATTTCTCCTGTACTCGGCTTCTAAGTTGACAATACAAGAGGCCCATGGGCCACATTGCTCACCTGAGAAATGTGCCTAAGAAAAAAAAAAAGCAAAAATCAATCCAGTATTGAAAAGCTTAAATGCGTAAGTGGTCCCGACCTACCTCTTAAATAGGGGGGTTTTGATTTGAATCAATACCATGAATCTATACTAACTGACAGAATGCTTACATATTTAATAGACTGCTGGCTTTTTACCATTTTTGTCCCACCCTACCCCTGGGCCCAGGTGGTCATGATTTGAACAAACTTGAATCTACACTACCAGAGGATGCTTCGATATGAATATGACCAATCACGGCTAAGTTGTTCTTGAGAAAAAAATTTTTTCCTATGTCTTATTTTCATCGTCTATTCCATCCTTACCCTGGTGGTTATGATTTGAACAAATTTAAACCTACACGACCAGAGGATGCTTCCATGTTAGCTTCATTTTTCCTGGCCAAGTGGTTCTTGAGAAGATTTTGAACCATGTCATCAAATTTTCACTATTTCTTCATTATCTCCCATTGAAAGAGAGCGTTGTCCTTCATTTAAAGAAACCTGAATCCCCTTCACCCAAGGATGCTTTATGGCAAGTTTGGTAGAAATTGGTCCAGCGGTTCTGGAGAAGAAGTTGAAAATGAAAAAAGTTTACAGAAAGACAGACGTACGGACGACGGAAAAAACGTGATCAGAAAGGCTGAAAGCTCAAGTGAGCTAAAAATGAATACATTCAGAATCTGCGGTGATCGAAGGGGAGAGGGTTGAGGGGGGGGGGGGGGCAGGACTCTGAGCTTGATGAATATTGAACATAGCAGGTGTTCGAATCATTGTATTAACCTCAAAACATAAAGATTTGTATACTGTACTTGGAATTCCCATCGTCATCCCCGTTTTGACCTTTCTTTATTCGATTTAAGTGTTATACCAACATATACAACTGTTAATATGCGATCTCATAATGAGGGTATATCACATATCTCACTGGCATACAAATTATTGGTCAATATACGGCCGATTTACTCTGTGCATCTTGACACATGCATCTTGGATGCATGCATCTAACTTCACAATGTAAATATTCCTTGTTTCAAATTTAATAGGTGATGCATCTTGACAGATCGAATAGAACTTGTGTGTCAAGATGCATGGAACTGACCAATGAAAAGTAACGCCAGAGTTGAGATTGAATCATAAGCCTTATTTTCCTCTATATGGTTGCAAAAATTGCTTCCCATGATACACAAAACAAAGAAAATATTAATTAAAACTACAATTAGAAAAAACGAATTTGATTATATCTAGGAGGTATTTTTTTGGAATATATGTAAATTATATCCTCCAAGATAAGGCAAAAAATATCAGATACTTAAAATATGGAAGGAAAATTTTTGGTTATTACAATATGAAGATGCAACTTTAAATCGTGTATTCCATATCTAGCTTTTATTTGACTTTTTTTTTTTTTTTTTTTTTTTAAATATTGGAATGTATATTGAATAGAATTATATTAAAAATGTTAGTAACTGGTAGAAGATTAACTGTGACTATTTCCATTTATTCAAGGAGAGAAGAGCACAGCATCAGAGAAGTTACGATGCTGCATTTTGTTCCGAGCTGGACCGGAAGTACATATGTCCCGTCTGTCTGTCCGCTCTCCATGAACCAATGCAGACGTCTTGCGGTCATCGGTTCTGTAAATCTTGTATTTTGGGAGTTATCAAGTACGTTTATCTTTTGAAATTAAATTTAAAGACGCATTATTGTACTTATGTAATACTTATCAAAATCCACTCTCTGAAACCACAGGCACCTGACGTTACTTATTTTTCTGATAATAGATTAGGTAGGGGTATCTATTTATATATTTTTTTTATTACAGGAAAAATACCGGTAAGTAACGCCAAGTGCCTGTGTTAAAATCTTATGTTTTAGAGGTCCGCCTTTGCCCTGCTCCTATTTTGAATTTTTTTAATGGACTTGTCAGCTTGAATACTGTTCGTAATATCTATATTTTTCATCTAAGTGTTAATAACATATATTTCTGGAGATGACATAGAATTCTTTTCTGTGTAAAATTTTGTTAAAATAAATAATTTATGGAAATCAGTGCATTCGAAGAAAGGGTCCAACTTTATCAATGCTCTAAGTATTTTAGACACGTTTCAAACAGTCGGGGAAATGGTTTTTGTTCTGTTTGTCCGTCTGCTTGTCAAACCGTTTGTCCGAAAAAGCAAACTTTGTCCGAAACTTTGGAAAGATTGGTGCTAGGGCTTTCATATTTCATTTGAGTGTTAAGTTCTGGAGTAGTGTAGATTTTTAATTGTTAAAATCATTACCCACGGTGTAAGATTGTGCCAAAATAGGTATTACAAGAGAGAGCAGTAGGGCAAAAGTCACTCAGAGTGAGCGTTGTGGCCCATGGACCTCTTGTTTCGTATTATATCCTTTGTTCTTGGAAATGATACTTTTAAGTTTCGAGATTCAGGTTTGATCAATTTTGATTGCAATTTCTTGACATGTCTTTAAGAGATTAATAATTTGTTAAAACACAATTTACAAAATTATGTCAAATTTATAAAAGAAACTGCTGCAGCCCTATACGCTTCTGTGACTGACATATAGGGTAAAGAATTCCTGTTTTGTATTGCACAACAAAATTTTATTCAGAAAAATTCAGACTTAATATTGCAATAAGGCTCTTTAAAAAATACATTGTTTTCTGAATTTTTCAGCGAAAGAACCCACGCCAAATGTCCAGTAGATAATGTGGTGTTTAAATGCAACGAAGAGGTAAATATTTTTTCTCACTTTCATGTTCGCAATAACAGTGGTTCCAGAAATGTTTTCATTTAAAACATGGAAGTGGACAACCACGATAAAAAACAAGTATGAAAGAAGATCGTTTTAATTGAAGAAAAAATCTTTTTGAAAGGACATCTTTGCAATTTTACCATTATACAAACAGTAGCCTATAAAAAAAAGGGGTGGGGGGGCTAGAGAATTTTAATGGTCGAACGTTTACTATGCAGAGAGAGACAGAACTAAGGTGCACATGATTGCTATGTTTTGTACAAACCATCGTTTCCTTTTCAGTTATTTGAAGACAAAGCTTTTCAGAGAGAAGTTTTATCACAGACAGTGAAATGCGGAAACCACGATAAAGGTTGTGCATGGATGGGGGAACTCAGGTCTTATGAGGTATAATTTTTTACTATTTCCAGTGATTTCACATTTTGTCATTTTGTTTGTTATCGCGAGAATATATTGATTGCTCTTGATTCATCTGTGTTTATCACTACAATTTAATGTTTTGTGGACAGGAGCACGAGAACACGTGTCTGTACATCTGTGTGCCATGTGACAACAGCTGCGGGATCTCAGTCCCCCGACATAACCTGACAGAACACGCCACAACCTGTGAACGACGCCCGGTCAACTGTCAGCACTGTAACTCACTGATTCCCTTCACAGACCTCACGGTAATGTTTTGTTTATGCCTCCACCTGAATATGACTGGGAAATATAGTATTTGTTATCACCATGCCGCCTTCCCATCTATCTTTCCATCATACACTGCATGTAGCTCAGTGTCATAAAAATTTTGCAAGATATTTTCGTTTAAGCTTCATATGCTGAAACATTGATGACCTATTCAACTGCACTTACTCTTTGACCTTTCCTTTGACCCTAAACAATTTAAAGAAAATTTTATCAAACTTTTATGCAAATATACATATTGATGAGAGATATTCAAGGGCATGAAAACCTTGACCTCTCCTTTAACCTTAATCTTACTGTTATGATTACAAACACGTCAAGATATTTCTATCAAACTTCATAAGCTGACACATATTGAAGAGAGCTATTTTACATCATTAATATTTTTTTTTTACCTTGACCTTCCTTTGTCCTTGACCTCACTTTTCTCAAACTTGTGTTTGGCTTGGTTTAAAAGACACTATTCAAGATATTTTATGTATATAATGAGATTTTAGTGAGTAAAAGACCTAATACTGTGTATAATAGGTAGTCAAGGGAAATATACATACTTAACCATCCCCATCCACCTGTTTTTATCATTTTGCAGATATAAAGATATAGTTAATTGAGTTAGGAGTTACAAACTCTACAGCATCAAGTTTATCAAAGGGATTTCAACATCTGTCACATTTCTATGAATAAATGATAATCACATATTTTTTAGACTTATCCCTACTAGCAAGGTTTGAAATGCACATTTCACATATATTTTAGCTGATTATTTTGGTTCCCATTTCAGAAACACCAGGTTTTGGCCTGTCAGAATTTGCCTGTCCAGTGTACCCTGTGTGGTCAGACAGGGATCTGTAGGAAGGACATATCGGCTCACATCGACATTACCACCGGAGACTGTCCCCTTACTGTCATCCCCTGTCAGTATGCATCCTTTGGCTGCCAGTTTCAGGTAGAGATTATGCTTCAAACTCTCTGCAAGTCCCTTTAAATCACTTTCTATTAGTGATCATTTTATTTTTGCATCTCTGTGCTTCAACTTCTGCTAAAAAAAATTGTGTTCACCAGAGACCTTGTCTTATTGAAAATTATACATACAGTTATTAAATTTGATGAATTTTTGGGGTTTATTTCGAAAATAAGAGCTGGCATACTTTAATAGTTATAAAATTGTAGAATTATAGAAGAGCATATATAAATTTTCTTAAAATTAAAAAAGAAAGAAAATCTGTATTCCATCACTTTAACACATATTGAAATTCTTCTGTAGGACAAGAGGTGTAACATGACTGACCATTACCGGGACGCCGCAAACAACCACATACTTCTACTGGTCAGAAAGGTGTCTGATCAGGAGCAAAGGATCTCAGCACTAGAAAGGAGTCTCCACGAAATACAGCAGGAACAGGAAGATCACCATCACCCCACATCAGATTAATGTCATTCATCAGGCCACATCTAATGTCATCCATCATGTCACGTCTTATGTTATCCATCATACCTAATCTGATGTCATCCATAATGCCACATCATATGTAATCCATCATGCCACATCTTATGTCATCCATCATGCCACATCTCATGTCATCAATCATGCCACATCTGATTGTCATCCTTAATGCCACATCTTATGTCATCCATCATGTCACATCTTATGTCATCCATGTTACATCTGATTGTCATCCATCATGCCACATCTTATGTTATCCATCATACCACATCTGATGTCATCCATAATGCCACATCTTATGTAATCCATCATGCCACATCTTATGTCATCCATCATTCCACATCTTATGTCACCCATCATGTCACATCTTATGTCATCCATCATGCCACATCTTATGTCATCAATCATGCCACATCTGATGTCATCCATCATGCCACATCTGATGTCATCCATCATGCCACATCTTATGTCATCAAGCATGCCACATCTGATGTCATCCATAATGCCACATCGTATGTCATCCATCACATCACATCTGATGTCATACATCACACCACATCTTATGTCATCCATCATGCCACATCTTATGTCATCAATCATGCCACATCTGATGTCATCCATCATGCCACATCTTATGTCATCCATCACACCACATCTTATGTCATCCATCACACCACATCTGATGTCATACATCACACCACATCTTATGTCATCCATCATGCCACATTTTATGTCATCCATCTCACCACATCTAATGTCATCCATCATGTAACATCTAATTGTCATCCATATTAATGCCACATCTTATGCCATCTTACACCACATCTCATGTCATCCATCATGCCACTTTTGATTAAAGTCATCCCTCATGCCACATCTTGTGTCATCCCTCATTTTATGTTATCTATCATGCCACATCTCATTATTGTCATCCTCCTTATGATGTGCTCCTTCAGGTGAACCCCATACAAAGAATATGGAAGGATCTCCTTCAAATGAACTTGTTATATACTTGAACTGACTTGTTATGTGAACTTTTTAATCAGAACAGAGGACCTTGTTTTATGCTCAAGCCACTGATTCATAAGGATCTAGCATTTATTGCCATTTAGAAAACAAATGTATTACATGTGTATTTTGTTTTTTGCATTGATGAATAAAACTAGTAACAGTATTTATATTATTTATTTCATAAAGAATTTCTATGTCAGATAAAGCAATACATACTTGGTGATCATTTTAGGAAAAACAATGCCATTCATTAAAAGAACTTTTTATAATCTATTTAAAAACCTAAACATATAAAATACTGTACATCAAATACAACAGTTTATTCATTTAACATTTTTCACTATAAAAATGTCAACGCTCTCAATTTTTATTGAACCCCCCCCCCCTCCAACCCATCCTTTTCCTTCACAATATAGCCAAATGGAAATACTCACATTTACTGAGCAGATCTTTAACCAAATCTACTTTCTTCTCTTTTGCATCCCCAATTAAGTATCAAAATATGAAGCCCCCCTCCCTCCTTCAACCAAATCTACGAAGCTTAGAACCTGGCTCCAAGGCCATAGACTGAGAATAGACTTAAGTCAAAATTTAGATTTTGAATTTTTTAATTATTATCTAATGAATATGCCTAAATCTTTCAAGTTTGTAAAATATTTGAATACAAACATATCTTGAAAATTTTGTTTCAACATTTTAAAATTTATTTAAAAAGTTACACTGATTTGAAATTTATTAGGTCTATTCTCATTTAATACTATGACTGTTTAACTCTTGAAAAAGTTGAAAGCTTTCAGAATTGGTAAAGAATGTTAGAATTAAAGAATTTTGAGAAAATAGATATTAAAAATGAGAAAACAGATTGTTAAATCAACAATTTGGATTTTGAAGTCCTTATTTACCGGTAATCAAAATGTTTCATTTCATATTCCAACAAAGGACTAACAACTATATTGTGGACATACAGGACATCACATATGTAAACGTATAGGGACTGAACATGTATATAAGAGGGCACACAGGTAGTCAATCATGTAAACAATCAGTAAATCACGGGACTTGTAAAAATCTTGCAGTGAAACCTTATTGGTTTGGTACTGGTATATTTTGTAAATGAATCATTGTCTTCTAATAAAAAAAATAAAACAGGCAAGAAAGACACATTTCATTTTACTGTCAGGTTAAATTTGGCACTCAAATCAATACGGTACATTCGCAGTCCGTCTTGATGGAATTCTTAAAAAAAAAATGCAGAGCTATTGCAAGAAGTTCAATAATGGATGATGTGTATCTAGCACAAACATGACTCAGGAAACAGTAGTTATATGTACAGTTGTAGCAGTCACCATCCAACTACAGTGGACTTTCTCATAAAAATATTACAGCATGGCACAATATACTGGTAGCATTTAATGCATAAACAGGATTCTCCATACACTTGTTGGTAATGTTCAAGGAAAATCTGTTTCACTAATCTGATGGTAACGTGTCAACACACAGAACGTAACAGGTACTCGATGTTACACAGTTCACCCTACAGAGTGTAAATCAAGCGAAAGCGTGGTTCACCATACCTTTCCTCTCCTCTGCTGCATCCTCCGAGGAAAGTCTCCTTTCAGCAGGGCGCCGATGTAAATATGTCCAGTATGGCTTAAACTACAACAGAAATTTCCTTCATTAACTCACTTATTGTTTGATGGCTTACATACTTTGTCCTACAATTAAGGTATCCTAGTTGTCTCCCTTCACACCTACAAAATTTGAAGCCATTTGACCAATATTGTGTGTATTGTTCTTGTGATTTCCAAATAAATTACGAAAGGTAAAACTAGTGTTTTCAATTCTCATTACTGGCTGTTAGGCATTTCAGTATACATGTAATAATATAAAAAATGTATTGACTAGTACTGCAATATTAAAAACAATAAGAAATCGTGGACAGAAAAAAACCTTAAATTGAGGATTTTTGTTTTCACTTTTATCTATTAAAGCTTCAATACTATGGTTGGTAAATGGTTATCATATTCGTTCACGTAACAATAATACAAATGTGGGGATAACTCTTAAACTTTGATGGTGATCATTGCCAATTGTTTTCACTGAGTAAATCTTAAGCATTATATTTGAAAACAAAATACCAAATTAAAAAAACAAGGGGGAGGGTCACTTTGAGTGAGACAGACACAAGTGGGGATGAGAATCTAAAAATAAGTTTTACCTATCCTTCGTTAGTGTTGGAAGAATAAGTACTGTGTTTTTAAAATAAATCCTCAAGTAAATTTTAGTCACTGTTTCATAAAGTGTTTTTTAAAAATTCTTTTAAGAAGTTATTAATAATTTTGGAATGCTGCTCCTTGATGGTAAGATTTCTAACGACAGGTATGAAAACTTACCACATTTTTCTGTTTGTAGAAGACATATAAAACTAGCATTGTCATGGAGATAAACAGCACCCAGCAATACAGCGTCATCATACTGATTTCTCTCCTCATCTTGCCTCGCTTGTTGCTATTCCAGCGGGATGTTCTCGTGTTTTCCTTTAAGTATGGAGCTCGGGCATAACTTTCCTCTGTAGACAAAAGAAAATCTTATTATAGGT